CTCCCCTCTTTGCTCCTGCCAACGTCAAGGTCAAGCCAGAAGCGCAGCTTGCTCAGTCCTTGGCTTCCCAATACCCGCGCCAAAACTCGCTCCGTCGCCTTTGCGCCGTCGCGGCTTGAGCATATCGCCGCCCAATTGTCCCTCGCTCTTCTCCTGCTCGTGCCCTCTACCAACTCACTCTCACTCTCACTCTCGGCTCCCTCATTCAATGTCTCAACGATCATCACATACCCTTGCCGCATTCTCAACTACCCCTCCTCGCCTTGATCTCCCCGTCCCGCCCAATCACTAGTGGCCTTCTCGTAATCTATCTCGGCCTTCTCTCAACTCGCGCGTTGTGAGGTGCTTTCATTGTGATGTCGCTTGGCATAGATGTGCACGCCACGCCGGCTTTGAGATTTGAGAGGGATCAGAACAAGTACCTGACCAAGCCCGCAGCGCCGACTTTCTCCTTCTCCCTCTTGCGCTCCCTCTCCCTCGCTGCCTCAGCTTCGCCCTCTGCCCTCTCTGCTCCCGCCTGTCGCTCCTGCTCTCCCTCGCGCTCCTCGTCCGAGTCCGGCGCCAGCCTGACGCCGCCATTCTCCACTTTGCGCCGCTGTTGCGCTGCGGCACGCTTCAAGCGCCGCCGATGAGCTCGGCGCACGGCGTCGTCCGCGTTGGCACTTGACGTCGCCGCCTGTCTCGCTACTGGCGCAGATGTCGAGGCAGAGGCAGCAGCAGCAGCGAAGTGCCCAAAGTCAAGCGACGCCAAGGGCGTCTGTGCGCGCAGAAGCACCTCGGCATCCCTCGCGCTGCGCTCCTCGGCACGCTGCCGCAGCGCGATTTGCAGCTGTTGCAGTGCGTGGGAGAGCGACGCGGCCGTTTGCTGCGGCGGCGGCTGCTGCTGCACTTGCGCCGTGCTCGTCGAGGCCGAAGAAGACGGCGCTGCTGCGGAGGCAGGAGCGAGCCAGCGCAGAATGGCGAGGGGAGGCGGCGCAATCGCAAGCAGAGGCAGCTCCTCCTTTGGCGCGGCGCTCGAGGCGTGCACGGCGGAGAAGTCGGCCTCGGCGGGAGAGGCGGGCGTGGCGGGAGAGGCGGGAGTGAGGGTGGAGGGAAGGGCAGAGAGGGAGGTCGTGTAGAGCTCTAGGAGGGAATGGATGATCTCTGCGCGGCATGGTCAGCGATGCGCTCGGTAGCTATGGGGGCGGGCGAGCGCATTGGATAGCGAGGGAACGTGACACTGCCGAAAGAAGGAGGCAGCCTTCGGCGCCCTGCTCCCTGGCCGGTGCCTCGCTTCGACGGGCTACTGCACTCTTGCCGCAACCCACCCCTCCTCCCTTGCCCATCTACGCCTCGTGTCTGCCTCGGACAACGCCCTCTCTGCCTCTTGTGCGTTCCCGTCGCTCTCTCCTCTTCGTACGCGCAGCAGCACCGAGACTGAGCACGGCAACTCACCCTCCAAGTCCTCGACGCCACACCGCCACCTTTCCGCTCCCTCCTTCTCAAAGAACTCCCTTATCCCCCCTTCCTCCTCCTTCTTCTCCGTCAGGACCGCCAACCACACACACGCGCCCGCCACGGCGTGCACGGGATAGCACGCGCAGCTGAAGCAGCGATGCGCATCGATGCCCATCTCCCACGCCACGCGCGTCGTCTGCTTGCTCAGGCCGAGCGTGCGTGCAAACTTGAGGAGCAAGGAGGCAAAGGAGGCCGGCGGACGCAGCGAGAAGGAGAGCGAGGAGAGGAGCAGCTTCTCGAGGGCAAGGAGACGCTTGCGCTCGCCGTCGATGAGCTGCGTGGGAAGTCAGCCGCTGCGACGAAGCGAGGGGCGGAGGCAAGAGGCCACGCACGCCCGCCTCGACGTTGGCCTCGGCCACATGTCCCCGGCGCACGTCGCGCCGGCCATGCACGACGCCGATGAGCTCGGGGCGGCGGAGCGCCATGCTGGCGAGGATGACGTCGCGCGCCTTCTTGGTCGTGTCGCACATCTTGGCCGCCAGTGCGAGGGCGGCGACGGGGGCGTCCCACTCGCGCGCGCCGCCGGGCGCGACGGCGGCGGGGGCGAAGAGGTGCAGGCGCAGCAGGAGGGACTGTGCGAGAGTGAGCGTGGCGGCGGGGAAGCCGATGCGCGCGGCGAGGGCGACGAGGAAGGCGAGGTGCAGCGTGCGGCGGCGGAGGATGTGGGCGGAGCGCGTGGGCTCGAGGAGCGCGCCGAGCTCGGCGGGCGTCAGGTAGGGCGTGGGCGCAAGGGTGAGGAGCGACATGATGGCGAGGGAAGCAGGCCGGAGGAGCGAAGCGGCGCGGTGCAGGCAAGGCAGGGCCGTGCGGGCGGGCGGCACATCACGTGGGCGGCCCCAGGCTGAGCCGCGGCTGGACGAGGCGGGCGCCTCGACTGAGCGAGCGTTGGCTTGCACGCCGGCTCGCTCCTCCACTTGCCCTCTCTTCCGCACCACCACCTCCTCCACGCACACCTTCGCCGTCGCGCCACATCGCCGCTGCCTCGCGCGGCTGCCTCTCACGCTCGTCTCCTCGCGCCAGCTCGCCATGTCCGCGCCCTCGTCGTCGGCGCCGCCCGGCCCGCCGCCGGGCCCGCCGCCGGGCCCGCCGCCGCCGCCGCCGCCCGCGCTCGCCTCCTCCTCCAAGCTGCCTGCGCCGCCTGCGCCGCCTGCGCCGCCTGCCGCACCTGCGCCGGCACCCCTCGCCGCACCCGCGCCGCCCTCGGAGCGCACCATCGCCCTCGAGCGCACCTCCTTCTTCCAGGAGCTCGAGCTCGACCGCATCCTCGCCGCCTTCCGCCTCAACCCCTACGACATCCTCGAGTGTCCGCTCGAGGCAGACGCAAAGACGGTGACGAAAATCTACCGCAAGAAGAGCCTGCTCATCCACCCCGACAAGGTCAAGGACCGTGAGTACTGCACCGCGCGACGCAGCGCGAGAGGCGAGCCTGCGCGAAAGGCAGACGCGTGGGCGCTGGCTGGGGGCCCGCATTGCGCATCGTGGGCAGAGCATGGGCGCATGGCCCGTTGCATCGCTGCGTCTGCATGCTGCTTCAGCGAGGGCGCAGCTACGCACGTTGCGCTGCGCCTTCTCGCGCGCGGCTGCCCAAAATGTGCAAGAACAGCATGCAGGGGTCCAGACGCGAACGTGGGTGGCGCGGTCGGCGGCTGCACTTTTTTTGCCACAAAGTGCTGCGATACGCTGACGGAGCCACGCGCGTGGAGATCTGGCCTATCTCTCGGTGACCGCACAGGCAGGGCTCCGGCGGCGCGCGCGAGGAGGGCTCAGGGGCTTTATTGGCCTTGATGAGGTACCAATTCTGCCCCCCGGGCGCGGCGCGGTGCCGAAGAGGACCGCTGCGGAGCCGAAGCGAGAGCCACGCAACGTGCCCTTTCTTTGCATCACACATCGCTGCGCACGACACGTGCGTGCGTTGAATATTGGGGCGTGGGACGCACGAGAGGGGTCGAGGAGCTCGACGGCGAAGGAGAGCGTATGGCGGTAGCTCGAGGTCCTACCTTGATCCAGCGTCACGGGTAGGCGCGCACGGGCATTGCGAATGGGCTTGCTCTCAATTGGGCGGACGCCATCGTACGACCCCGCTCCTCTGCGCCTGCCGGCAGCCTTCTCTCCACATCTGCATCGAGCGTTTGGCGTCGAGCTTCCGCCGAACAGGGGTTCTATCTCGCTGCGATGCGCCCATCACACGATGGCCTCGACGGCGGCGGGTCTATGGTGGCGGGAACGCACATGAGGGAGAGTGGTCACTCTACGGCGCCTTCCGTTGCTCATCTCGGCGCAGCGTCCTTGCTATCGCTGCTTCCGCCGACAGGTGCGATAGGCACCCGCCCTTGCCCCTTTGCGCCGCTCGTTTTCCTATCTACAGCTTCCGCTGCCTCGTGCTCAGCTGATCTTGTCTTCTTCAGCTCGCGCCGTGCAAGCCTTCGACCTCCTCAAGAAGGCCTCCTCTGTCCTGCTCGATTCCGAGCAGCGCGACACACTTGACGAGGTCGTCATTTCCGCGCGCGTCATGGTGCTGCAGGACATGAAGCTGCCGGCAGACGTTGCGGCCGAGGATGAGAGGCTGCAAGACCTGGTGCCTTCCTTTGAGGAGCGCGTGAGGAAACGCACGAAGGAGCTGATGGTGGATGATGAGCTACGTCGTCGTCGGTCAGTCCTCCCTCGCCCCCTGGAACCCCTCGCTCTACTCGCTGACTCTGCAGTGTGCCTCTCAGATCCATCAAGATGCAGCACGAAAGCGAAGGCGAAGAACAGCGCCGCAAAGAAGCGGCAGCGCTGGAGCGCAAGCGCAAGGCGGAGGAGAAGGAGACGTGGGAGAATGGCCGCGAGGAACGCGTGGCGGGCTGGCGCACGTTTGCGAAGAGCGGCGCCAAGAAGAAGGTCAGTCTTTCGTCGTCGTCGTCGCGGTGTCTGCTGCCGAAGGTGGCTGGTGGCTGATGCAGCGCTTGCCGTTCGGTCGAGCAGAAGAAGGGAATGGAAGTGCTCGGCTAAGCCCTTCGAGGACCGTCTCGTCGAGCTGTCTTTCTGAGCGCCGCGCTCGTCTCTTTTTCTCATCTCCTACTCGGTCTCCGTTCCCTTGCAGCCGCATCCTTCACATCCACGCCCTCTCCAGGCCCGCTCCCATCTCGTCACATCGCTCTGGACTTTCTTTGTCGCAACTCGACATCTCCTCTCCTCTCTAATGTCCTCAGCTAACCCATGTCCCGCTCTCCGTCTAATGATCACCCTTCGCAACGTGTGCTTGGTGCTCTCGCATCGGGAAGAAGGCAAAGGCGCTTTCGTTTTCTCACGGGGGGCGTAGAGATGGGCGGGCACGAAGAAGCGAGGCTCGTGCGGGGAATGGGAACGGGTGTATCGAGGAACAAACGCGCGGTCACGAGATCTCTGGCATCTCTCTCGAGAAGCGTGCCTGCGCGTGGGTCTGGGTGGCTGGACAAACGCCGAAACTGCGAGCGCTTCAAGCGCGCGTGGCCCGGTAGCTAGACGCGGGCAAGGCAAGAGGCAAAGTGTCAGCAACCTTGGGGTGGAGGGAGGAGACCTGCAAGCCCTCCATGGGACTCACTCCGACTCGGCCGACATGCCCAGGCTGGCGAGCTCCGAGCTGGCCTGCGCCAGCACCTCGGCGGCGGCCGCGTGGTATTCGCTCTGGCTGCAAGCGGGAGAGGGAGAAATAAAGGAGGCAGCGCGTCAGGAGCTGTACAGAGGACAAGGCGATGACCGGAGAGGCCATGATCTCCCCCCAGGCCTGTCTCTCGTCTACGCACGCTTTGACAAAGGCAGCGAGCGACTTGATGCCCTCGGGGTTCTCCAGGACCGCCTTTTGCGATGCGATGGCCGCCTCTGTGGCCTCGACGAGCTGGAGCCGCCGCGCGAGTCAGGGGGGGAGTGTCAGCGTGCACTGGCCCAACGGACAGAGTTGCAGTGCCTCCAGAGGCAGCACGCACCTTGTCCTCGGCCTGCTCCACCTCCTGGCGCTGCGCATCCAGCTTGGCAGAGTTGCCGCTGGCCTCCGAAGCCTTGAGCGTCTGGCGCCACGAGTCGAGGTGCAGCCGTGCATCGCGCACAGCCTGGCGCGCCCTGAAAGGAAGAGGAAGGGAAACTGGCGTCAGTATTGCCCACGTGTTGCTGCGATTCCCTGTGCGCTCCTTGCTCCCTCGCACGCCCGCTCTGCTCGACTGCAAGTCTCGCCCCCTCAATGTTCCATCTCCAGCACCCCGAGGCGGACTCACTTAGTAGCCACAGCAATCTGCGCGCCAAAGCCCTGCCACGGGCTCAGGAATCCCTCGCGGATCGCATCGTCCTGCGCCAGGCGGGCATTTCCGACGCGGTCCTGCGCCAGGGCAAACTTCTGCAGTGCCTCTCCCAGCTTGCCCTCTTCCTGGCCCGCGCCCGCCGCACCCGTCGTCGGGCTCGTCGGCAGGCCAGCGATGTTCGTCGGGCTGGCGCCGAGCTCCAGCGCGCCCGAGGCGGCGCCGCGCGAGAGGGCGTGGGAGAGGGTGCGGTGCACCTCGGGCGGCGCAGAGGTGGCCTGGACCGTGGGCAGCTGAGGCACACCCTTGGTCGCCGACGCAGCCCAGGACGTGACGCTGTGGCCGATCTGCTGCGACAGCTGCCCGATCGACTCTTGCACCTGCGTCGGGTAGTCGTAGCCCTCGGACTCGTAGGCACGCGTGATCCTGAGGGCGAGTCAGTGTGGTCCTCGGCAGAGGCAAAGGCCGCGTGTCGACAGCTGCACCGCGCATGGGCGGACAGCCCGCCGGCCTGGCACGTTCGCTTGGCAACGACGACACATGCGTGCCGAAGCGAGCAAGTGGCCAGCTGGCGCTGCACTGCAGCGCCAAGGCACTCGATGTACTGCGCCCCTCTGAGCGGCGAGGCGGAGGCAAGGGTCGGGGCCAGGCGCGGCATGCGCTGAGCCAGGCGCTGCGCCCCATGCCTCGCTCCTGCTCGCTCACACTCACTTGAGCAGGTTGTTGTGCGCCAGCTTGAGCGCGTCGACGCGGCGCTCGAGATCCTTGTACTCCTGCGGCTGCGCGTGGGAAGAGGATGAGCATCAGCCTCTGCGCCGGCGCGCGCGCCGCTGTGCACTGACGAGCTCGGTGATGTCGTCGGCATCGACGGCGCCGAAGCGCTCCTTTGCCTGCTGGTTGAGGTTGCCAAAGCCGCGCGATATGTTGGCGCCGAGGGGCGTGACGTTGGCCGAGACCTTCTGGGTGAAGGCTTTCCAGTTGTCCATGCTGGGCGTGGGTGTGTGTGGGTGGTGAGGGGTGGTGGAGGGGAGGAGAGGCGGCGGAGGGCAGAGGCCGGCGCACGTCGAGTCGCTGTCGCCGCCGTCGGCGCACGGAGCACCGCCGCGCCCGCTGCTGCCAGCGCCGCCGCACGCGCTTCGCCGCCGTCGCTCCCGCGTCTCGCCCACGCCGCTGGCTCTCGCACGGCAGCGGCGCGCGCCTGCTGCTGCTCTTCTCGCCGTTCCTTTCCTTTCCGCCGCCTCATCCACTGTCCTGTCCGTCTCCTCCACCCAGCAAGCCGGCCCAGCATGGCGTTTGCTCTTCTGCGCAGCAGCCTCGCCGCTCGCAGCCTCGCGCGCAGCTTCAGCACGTCGCTGGCGCTGCACGACGCCGCCGCCGGTGCGACCGCCGCCGCCTCGTCCAGCTCGGCCGCCTCGCCGCCGCCGCGTGCGTCCCGGGCGCCTCGCAACGCCGACGGCGCTTCTTCCTCTTCGCGCCCGCAGCGCTCTGCCTCTTCGGCACGCGGCACTTCCCGCGGCGGCTCCTCCTCGCGCGGTGGCTCTGCACGCGGCGGCGGCGGCCGGTCCAGCGGCGAGCGTGCCGACCGTCCGCCTCGTCGCTTCGACGGCGGCTCTTCGTCCGAGCGTCGCGTCGTCGTGCCGGCCAAGATCGACGTGCCCTCTACCGAGTGGTCCTCGCCGCTCTATGCCATCAAGGGCGCCGCTTATCTCCCTGCCGGCCCGCCCGTGCCTGCCGAAGTGGCACTCGGCGCAGACGGCAAGCCAGCCTCGCCGAAGCCACTGCGGAAAGCAGAGCGGTCACTGCACGTGCACTTGCGCAAGGGCGTAACGACGCTGGGTCCCGTCAAGCCCAACGAGGCGCGCGCGCTGCCCGAGGTGGAGCGCGTGGCGAGAGAGGAGAAGGTGCTGGCGGCGCTGGGAGGACAGGTGCTGCGCAAGGCCGAGCAGGAGGCCAAGGGGGGCGAAGGCGTCCTCAAGAGCGCGGCAGACGTGCTGGAGCAGAACGTCACGGTTGGGCCCGAGGGCAAGGTGTGGGTCGTCAAGCAGATGAGGGAACTGATGAAGTAGGAAGATGGACACCGCAGACCAGAGAGGGAAGGGCGCATGGGCTGGGAGATGAAAGCGAGGCAAGCACGCGTGGGTTGGGAAAGAGCGGGAGGGACCAATTTGATAGAGTACAGTTGTGTGCGGTTGCTTGACTGAGTGCGTGGCCCGGAACTCCGCTCCCGTCTCTGCGTCTCGGGCGCGACCAGGCGTGGACACTGACAACAAAGGCAGTCTCACAGCTCTCGGCGCTGCATTGTGCTGCCCGAAAGGCGAGTGAGTGATGGACGAGCGTCCGACCTTCTGCGCTATTTCCCGTCACGCAGGCCTGTGCATAGCGGCGCCTTGCGCTATCTTCCTGGTCCTGCTTGACCAAGCCTTGCTTGTCCGCCGGGTGCGAGAGACAGCCACTCATGACTTTGGCTGCACTTCCTGCGCGACAACTCACGCGCGTCGTTCTCAGCGTGAGAGAGGCTCTGTCTCGAGAGGAGCGATGGTTGGAGCGATGGTTGTGAAGAGAGAGTCACAGCGCGTTACTGCGGGCTTCACAGGCATAGTGCCAAGTGACTGCGGCCAGCCCGAGGCATGGGGCCGATAGAGTCAGAGTCAGAGTCGATGCGATGCGCCCGATGTGAACGGCAAAGCGGCGTTGGGGGTGACTCGAGCCAGGGCAGCATCTTGCCCGACACGCTGGCTCGCTGTCCCGTAGGGACGCGATGGATGCGGGCCTCAGCCAGCGAGGGAAGGGAGACGACGAAAGGAACGTGACATCCGATGGCAAGGCAACACGCGCACTCTCGCCTTGTTCTGCCGGTGCAAGCCGGACGGTGAGCAAGCAGGCGACGCCACACCAGAAGGGCGTCGCAGGATAGGCTGGAACTCTCCTCACACGCGCAAATGGCGCTGCCCGGCGTGGCGGACTTGCGACTGTGAGCCCGAGGCGTACGCCTCGCCCGGCTGGCAAGAGCGCCAGTGTAACATGTGAGGGGGCCGGCCACAAGATGGCCACCTCACTCTTCACGCAGACATCGGTATCAGACACCATCGTCATTCCCTCCATCCTCTACTGCTTGAGCAGCTTCTCGATCTCGCCGCTCTTCTGCTTGGCGAAGAAGTCGTCGCAGCCGCCGACGTGGGTGCCGTTGATGAAGATGTTGGGCACCGAGCGCTGCCCCGTCTTCTCGGCGAGCGAGTTCTGCAGCTCCGAGCCGTTGGACATCTCGTCGAGCTCGAGAATCTTGATGCTCGACTGGTTGAGCGAGGGCAGGGCCTTCTTGACGCGCGTGCAGTCTGGAAGGAGAGGGTGAGCAAGGGAAAAGGGCGACATTGACGACCGCGAACTGTCTTGACGAGGCAGCTGGCAAAGAGCAAGTGGCATCGCAGTGCCATTCCTGCCCGCCTACCACTCATCCCTCGTCTTGCCTCCAGAGGCTGTGCACCTGGCCCCCGTGCTCGCGCGCGCCAGCATTTGACGACCTGACTGCCCCTTGGCCCTCTCGCCTCGCAGCACCGCGCCCTCGCACAGCCACTCACACGGGCAGTAGCTCTTGCTGAACACGGCAATCACGTTTGCCTTGATGACGTCCTCGACGATCTTTGCGGCCGACATGCTGATGGTTGGTATGAGTTGTTTTGGGTGGTGCGTTGTGTGGTGGTGAGAGGAAAGGAGTGGAGGAGCGTGGCGTGGCGATCTTGACAGGCGCCGGCGTGTGGAGCGTGCGCTGGCGCAGCGCCGGACGTAAGGCACCGCGCCGGTTGCCGCGGCTTGCGTCATTTGCCGCGCTTGCCGGCGTGCGGCCTTGTTCGGCCGACACGCAGCGTGGGAACAGCGGCCTCGGCGCCGCTCTCGCCGTCCCGGGCGGCGCGGCTCCAGCGCGCTTCCTCCTTCTCCACCCACCCACCCACCCTCCTCACTCTTCGCTGCACGTCGTCTGCCGATTACGCAGCAATGGACTACCAGAACCGCGCAGGCAACAAGGGCGCCGGCGTCGCAGGCGCCAGCGAGGCCAATGTCGACCGCCGCGAACGCCTGCGCAAGCTGGCGCTCGAGACGATCGACATCAACAAGGTGTGTGGCGCGCAATGCGACGGGCGGCAGAGCACACCGAGCGACAGCAGGACGTGGGGCCAAATGGCGACGCGCGCGAGGTGTGCGGTGGTGCGGCGTCGGCGCAGGAGGAGCGCGGCACGGGCACAGGCGAAGGCCGCTGAGGGGACGGCGTGGCGCGCGGCGAGCAGGCGGGCAGAACATCGAGGGGTAGCCGCTGGCTTGACAGGTTGTGCATCGCGGCAGCCGCTTGCACGCTTCCGCCAAGTGTGCTGCAAGCGGGGCGCCAAGAGCGCCAGTGTGCGCTCGCAGTGCTTGCGGCAGTCCGCTAATCGCTCGTGACGACCTAGGGCACTGGCTGCAGCCGCAAGGACGAGCCGCAGGCGTGAGGACGAGACGCGATGGCAGCCATATGGCGACGCTCCAGCCAGTTGCATAGGCTCCCTTTCCATCTGCAGTCATTGCGCGTCATCTCAGTTCGCCCTCTTGCGGCCCGACTTCTTGCTCACCCGCCCTCTCCCGCACAGGATCCCTACATCCTCCGCAACCATCTCGGCTCGCTCGAGTGTCGCCTCTGCCTCACGCTGCACACAAACGAAGGCTCCTACCTTGCGCACACGCAGGGCAAGAAGCACCAGACGAACCTCGCACGGCGAGCCGCTCGCGAGGCGCAACAACAAGCCACCTGGGCGGATGCACAGCGGCTCATCACCGGCCCCGGGCATGCCGAGACGGAGAAGAAGCGCTTCATCAAGATTGGCCGGCCGGGATACAAGATCACAAAGGTGCGCGAGCCGAGCTCGACGAACGACGACGACGAGGAGAGCGGAGGACGCATGGGACTGCTGTTCCAGGTGCACCTGCCCGAGATCAAGGAGGGAGTCAGACCGCTGCATCGCTTCATGGGCAGCTTTGAACAGCACGTCGAGCTGCAGAATCGGGCGTGGCAATATCTCGTGGTGCGTCTCGCGCCTCTTTTCGCCTCCCCTGCCTCGCTCGCTGCTGACGCTCGTCGCGCGTCAGGTGGCGGCAGAGCCATACGAGACGATTGCGTTCAAGCTGCAGGCGCGGGAGATTGATCGCTCGGACGGCGTGCTGTTCAGTGCCATGCCGGGCGCGAAGCCAAAGGAGGAGCCGGGCACGTGGAGCAGCTGGGACGCCGATACCAAGACTTTCAGTGAGTGCGCGCGCAGAGCCCAGCCCGGAACACGAGCGGGGCATGCCGGCGGGTGAGCGCGAAAACGTCGGGCACGCGCGCCACTGTCGTGGGCGATGCGGACTCGAAAGGAAGAGCAGGCAGAGGCGCAACGATTGCTGACAACGGCGCCGCTCACAGCGATTCAGGTTCTGTTCCGGTAACCACGTGGCGCCTCGACCCCCCTTGTACTTTAGCTAGCAGCAACGTCATCTTCATTGCTTTCTGGCCGCGCGCAGGACGCAGCAGCACGGTGAATGACCAAGCGAGCATGATGCAGGCCAGTCTGCAGGCGCATCTACACGAGGTATATTTCACATCAGAGGCACAGGCTGACTGGAGGGGAGAGCTCTCAGCGAGCAAAGTAGATGACTTCGGCAGATCGCAGCGCCTGCAGCACTTCGAGCTGCTGTGCCGTAGGGCGATGCGCAACGACGACGACGTCGAAGAGGTCGTCCACGTCGTACTCCTCGCCGCTGGGCTCAGCGTGCGAGGCACAGCGGCGGCGAGCAAAGTGTGCGGCCTCCAGGCGCGGCCACGGCGCCGAAGCGACGGCGTCGTCGAGGTAGGAGACGGCGAGGCCGTGCTGTGTTAGGTGTTGCGCGGCGATGAACGCCGGAGCGTACGCCAGCGATGCCTGGCCGGGCTTGAATGCGAGGCCGAGCATAAGCACGCGAGCCTGCGACACGCCACGGCCCTCGGCGATGCGCTTGGCCGCAGCGGCAATCTCGAGGGCCTTTTCGGCGGGCCGGGCCTGGTTGCGACGCGCCGCCTCGCGCAGCAGCGGGGCCTCGCAGTTGGCCAGGATGTACCATGGGTTCACCGGGATGCAGTGTCCGCCGGCGCCGAGCGACGGCGAGAAGGCCGTGTAGCCAAAGGGCTTCGTGGCGCTCGCGGCACACACCTCGTGGATGTCGATGCCCTTGCTCGCGCACACGTCGGCCATCTCGTTGACGTAGGCGACGAGCATGAGCCGCTGGCAGTTCTCGAAGAGCTTGGAGAACTCTGCCGTCTCGAGCGAGGCGACACTGACGACAGAGGCAAACACGGGCTCGTAGAAGCGCTGCACCTGCGCCAGCGAGGCGGCGTCGATGCCCGAGACGACCTTGCTTATCTGTTCGAACGCCGGAGAAGTTCTACCAGGATCGACACGCTCCGGCGAGAAGCCGACGTAGACGCCGCGAGCGCGAAAGGCAGCGAAGAGCTGCCGCGTCATGCCGACGGTGACGCTCGACTCGACGACGACCGTCGAGCCGGGCCGTGCGTGCGGCAGCACCGTGGCCGCGGCCGCCTGAATGTGCGCCGAGTCGACGCTCTGGCAGTCGGCGCGCAGGATCGTCGGCACGGAGATGAGGGCGAGGTCGAACGCCTGCGCCGCGACACTGTCGCTCAGACTGCCGATGACGCGCACGCTCGAGCGCTCGGCGAACTGGGCGCGCAGTGAAGAGCGACGCGCCTCGCTGATGTCCAGTGCGAAGACACTGTAGTGCTGCGAGAAGCTGCGAACCAGCTGCTCGCCGACGTAGCCGGCGCCGACGACGAGGACCGTGGGCTTGTGTTGAGTCTCGCGCTTGTGCATCGGGGCACCCCTGGGGCAGCAGGAGTACACATCAGCACAGGCAGCGCTCTGCGTAACTCCGTGTCACTCACTCAATCGCCTTCGTCTTGACAGAGGCGGGCGCCTCAAGAAACTCCGCGGCCGGCCGCAGGCTCTCGGGCGAAGCTTCGTGCGACGGGCGTCGCGACATGGCGTGCAGCGCCGCGTCGCCATCGCCAAGGAGTACGTTGAGGTACTCCAGATCATCAGCCGAGGAGGCGCTGTCGTCGCCTTCGTCCGGCGAGCCATCGTCGGAGGAAGAGCGCATGAGCTCGGGTGTCGACGGCGGAGAGCCATCGTACGAGACGGAGCGCTCTAGCTGCGGCGTCGAAGGCGCAGTCGAGGGCGTAGAGCCGTAGCCGTTGTGTTTCTTGTCGGCGGCATCGTTGTCGTCTCGACACTCGAGCAGCTTGATCTGCGGCAACAGCGAGGAGACTGGGCAGGAGGACGAGGTGCTCATCTTGGAGATGCCGTTGGTCATCGCCGGACATCTTCGAAGCGGGGCTCTTGCATCTTTAAGGCGCCTCGTCAGTCCGGCGGCTGGCGAGCCAGGCTGCATCTTGCCGGCCGCCGGGCTGCTCGCAGCTCATCACCGACATGCCCTTGACTGGGCGACGTGCCCTCCACGAGCGCGCAGCCAGCTCGGGCAAGTCGCCTCTGAGTCTGTGACAGCGTCTAGCCTGCAAATGCAGCGCATGAGCTCCCCGTCCCCTTGTGCCAGGCGATGCGCACAGTCCTCACCGGCTTTCGTCGGCCTCCGAGCGGACCGACTCGCTCACTTCTCAGCACTGTCCCGACCTAGCGCCTGACTATTCATGCTCCCACTCCCGCGTTGGGCTCGTATGGCCTTCGCTTCGGTCTGCTCAGCATCAATGCGTTGTGCTCGCCGGCGCCCGACGGAGGCGAAGCAATTACGCATTGCTCGGAGTGCCATGCTGGCGTTAATGCGATGTCTGCCGTCTCAGAAACGGGAAACATGCGCTCCCCGCCCCTTCTCCTTGCCCACGCCAGAGACAGGGTCATTCGCTCCCGTCTATCCTGCAAATACGAGGCTTGAGGTTGCTCTCGACGCCGGTGCATCACGCCTTTCCGCAGCCGCAAGTGCGAAGCGGAGGCTGCCACGACGGCAGCAGCATGGGAGCTTGGCCAAGCGCAAGGCACCGACCAATCGCAAGCTGTCGCTCCATTGGTCCTTCTGGATGTCATGCGCTCCCCACAGCAGCTCTCAGGCGGGGGCAAGGCACCGCTGCACTAGCTTGGCAAGGCATCCCGCATGTTCGCGCCCCGTACGCACACTCGGCCAAGGAGCTCTTCTTGCGCGGCCCGGCGCGCTGCAGGAGCGAGTGCCCTACCTTCCGCACTGTCTGCCTCTGTTGGCCGAAGCAGGAATTGCTAACTTAGTGAGGTGCTGCTCGGACGCTGTGCATGCCCGTGCTTCAGCAGCCCTAGCTCGTTGTGCTCGACGATGGGAAGCGATGCGCCGGCGATGCGTCACGTGTGGCGCATTGCGCGCGAGAAACCTGGGAACGGTTCTGCATGGCGGCATGACAGGTGTCGGCGTGGCGAGCGGGGCCCATTTCCGCCGGCCCTGACAAGCCGGCGGGCAGGCAGCGAGTATGCGGCACTGCACCCCATTTTGTGGAGAGGCGCCTCATCGGTGCACGGCGGACCGGGGCTTTGCCACGCGGTGTGGGAGAGACAAACGAGCAGACCGACGAGCGTGCGCGTGCTGCCCGCGGCCCCAGACGAGACAGCTCGATCTGCTGCCGCGCGCCATGCGATGCGAATCGCACCGTGCTCGATTGCGTGCCGCTCAGCATGCAGCACGCAGCATCAGGAGCGTGGCGGCAGCGCAGAGTTGCAGCGCTGCAGGTCCAGCCGCTCAGGGCGCCCACATGCACCGTTGCGCAGCAGCCAGCGCCGCGTCTCTGGTACTTCGATGCGAGACACGCGACGCCGGCAGCTGTCAGCTGCCTCCGCTCCTGCTCCTGCATCTGCCTCCGGTGCCTGAAGCTGACCCGCCACAGCGCTCGTGTTCCAGCTCGCTGGACCGGACCCGCGCTCCGATGACCATCGGGCGCGTCGCAGCAGCACGCGGCGCGCCGCACGCCACAGCGCAAGCATGCCGGATCCTCGTCGTCGCTTGCATCCCGCAGACTCACACTTGCCGCTGCAGGCACACACGCGCAAGCACACGCCTCCATGCTGTCCTGCAGCAGCCAGCGGGACTGCTTCCCGCGTCTCATCCGCAGCAAGGTGACCCTCCTGCATCTGCCTCGCACACACGCACGCTCCGGATGCCTGCTCAGATATCGACGATGCCGGCAATGCAGACGGGCGATGCCTCTGCGCCGCCCTGCGGTGAGTGCATGCGCTGATAGCACCGTCTGCTTGTCGGTATGGCATGCATGACAGGTCAAGATGGACACGGGCAGCCCGGCTCTACTCTGGCCCCTGACGGACAGGATCAGCGGCCAGTCGTTGTGCTTGCCCACGCTTTCGGCCCGGAAGAGTGCCGCCTTGTCCGCCTGCAGTACTCGCCATGCCAAGCTGCTGCAGCACGGACCTCGAGGCACTGCAGTGATCGGCATCGAGACACTGCCGTATCCGGCGTGGACGAACTGCATAGCGGAACATGCCTCGTCGCGGCGAGTGCTCGTCACTTTTGTCGGGGCGTGAGAAAAGCCAGCCGCTCTGCGATTCCAACAGTCCGGCGCCTCTCTGCGATTCCAACAGTCCGGGGCCCTCCTCTCGTTGTATCTCTTCCTCACACTCCTCACGTCGCCATCGACGTAGCGTGACTTTGCTGCGCGTCATCTAGCGCTCGCGTTCACGCACGACTCGACGCTTCACACTCTCACCATGGCAGTCCTGGGCGGCCTCCTGACGCGTGCAGCGGGTGCGCAGAAGCGCGAAGCCGGCAAGACGGCCATCATCGGCTGCATCATCGCCGTCAACGTGATGCTCAGCGCGCTCTCCTGGATCCTTCCCGACTTCTGGTTCGTCTTCATGCCGTTCATCGCCGGTGCATGTCTCGTCAACTCGGCCATGGTGCTTTCGCTGCTCGGCTTTTGGGCGGTGCGCCGCACGCGCGCGGCGCTCAGCAAGCGACGCAGCGAGACGGGCATCGAGAAGGCCAAGCGCCATGTGCCGGGACTGGATGTGCGCGGCATTGCATTCGTCGTGCCGTGCTACAACGAGTCGCAGCAGGAGATCGAGGACACACTGCACTCGCTTCTGGCACAGGAAGACATGGAGCGGCACCGCCGCGTCTTTGTCGTCTGCTGCGACGGCCGCGTCAAGGCTCGCGGCGCCGAGAAGGAGACGTCGCGCATCCTCACGGAGAACATCTTTGCTCCCTCGAGCGGACGCTCGGTCGTCTACGTGCACACGACGTACCTCCGCGCCTATCGTACCTGGCTCGGCGACTGGATCGACATTGAGTTCCAGTGCGGCATGTACCACGGCGTGCCCTACATTCTCCTCATCAAGGCGGCCAACCGTGGCAAGCGCGACACGCTCATCCTCGTCCGCTCGCTGCTGCACAAGTACAACCTGCGCGCCGACCCGCGCTCGACGCGCTACAGCGCCGAGTTCTTCGAGAGCTTCGCGGTGAGTGCAGCAGGGACTCTGTCTTGAGGTGCAGAGCGCTAATGTCTGTCTCGATGCAGCGGGCCAGCGCCGAAATCAGCATCTTCGATTATGACTACCTCGTAGGCACCGACGCGGACACGACGTTTGCGCCCGAGTGCTCGCGCCGCCTCATGGCCACGCTCGAGGAGGACTCGAATATTGCAGGCGTGGCCGGCATCGTGCGCGTGCGCTTCCGCGCCGGCAGTACCGGCTTCTGGACGCTCTACCAGCACGCCGAGTACCTGCGCGGCCAGGTGCTGCGGCGCCTGCACCAGAGCGAGGTGACGCGCCAGGTCACCTGCCTGCCGGGCGCCTGCCAGATGTTCCGCGTGCGCGAGAGCACCTGCGGCGACCAGATCATGGCGCTCTTCGGCCGCCATCCCAAGGACGACGACGGACTCTTCAGCGTCGTGCGCGCCTTCGGTGGCGAGGACCGCAATCACGGTGAGTCTCGCCGAGGCACGCGCGCTCTGGCCTCCGACTCACGCCTCGCACACTCTCAGTCGCGCTGCTCTTCACGCTCTTTCCGAAGGACACGACCCGCATCTGCGTTCGCGCACACAGCTACACCGACCCGCCGATGAGCTGGAAGGTCTTCCTCTCGCAGCGCCGCCGCTGGTCGCTCTCGACACAGACGAACAACCTGATTACCATCTTCGGCCGCGGGCAGAACCACTGGGAGCGCATCTGCTCGATCATCGACATCGTCATCTGGCTGATCCCCGTGTTCATCTTCATCACCCTGGCTCAGGTGATCCGCGCCTTTGTGCACCACTCGAACTTGCCTCTTCTGCTCGGCCTCTCGTCGCTCATTGTTCTGCCGTGGCTGTGGACCATCGCGTCGGTGTTCTGGGTGCCGAACGACGGCAAGGAACGCTGGCGTTACGTCGTTGGCCTCGTCCTACTCCTCTTCTGCGCCTCGGGCATCAATCTCGTCGTCACGGCGTACACCATCTGGAACATGACCGACTACTCTTGGGGCAAGACACGCGCCCTCGAGAAAGGCGAGGAGGACGCCGCCACGCCTGCGCCGCTGCCGACCGCCGCCACGGGCCCGGACACGGTCGACTGCCTCCCTACGCTGAGCCACGACCGGCGGCAGGCCACCGATAGCGATCACGACTCCGCTCTTCGGCACGACATCGACAGCGACAAGGCTTCAAGCAAGTTTGAGCAGAGCTCCGCTCGCGACTCCGCCCACGAGCAAAGCCAGCCTCGTTCGTGAGGCGATGTACCCAGAGCGAGGCTATGCCTCCGAGACTCTTGAACACACACACCCCTCCGGGCCTTCCCACACACACCCTCTTTTTCGCACCCTGATTCTGCCCGTGTCGCCTGAAATACACACACTCCTTCCCTGTGCACTGAAGTGCAGCCTCCGATGGCGTGCTCGCACTGCCTCTGGATGAGCTGCAACTCGCAGCCCGCCAGCGGCCTCCCGCGAGCGACCATCCTGCTCAGCGCCCGACGCTCCCCAACGTGCTGCAATGCAGATGCAGAGTGAGACAAAGAGCGCTTATGCACATCTGAGCCCGCCGGCCAAACAAGCGGCGAAGGAGCAGGACAGGTCAGAATCGCATGAGCGCTTCATGCGCCGCTTTGGCAACAAGCGCGCACAAGCCGCGAGCGGAAACAGGCCGCGTCGTCCTGCGATCGTTCCGGGCTGCAGCGGGACTCCCGCGAACGTGGCGGAGAGCCGAAGGAGGCCCCTCTCTGGCTCCCGAGAGTCGAGAGCGTCTCGAAGGATGCTGTGCGGTGCGGGCTGCGGACCCTCGACGCGCCACGGTCGCTGTGCTGGCCGCGCGGCGCGGCGCCTGAGCGACAAGAGGCTGCGCTCTGGGCGCGCCTCCGGGCTTGTCCATGCGAGGATAGAGCAAGCCTGCATCGCCGCAGCGAGCCACCAATGTGGGCCAGCCTTCGCTGAGCATCCCTTAAAGCGGACACAGGCGGTGTGTGTGCCCCTCGTATGAGCGTCAGTTGTTCGTGCGTGCCTCTCCGGTCATCATGTTCTTGTCTCTACGCGCTCTCGTCCTCGTCCTCTCTTCGCTCGCGCTCTGCCATGCTGCCGCGCTCGACGGGCCATCGCTGGAGCGCCGAGACGCGCGGCCGACTCGCACACAGACCAACGCCGCTGCTGCGGCGACGATCCTGACGCCGGAAGAGGCTTGCGTGCGCTATCACCTGCCGGAAGTGACGAAGCTGCTCGACGAAGTAAGTCGGGTGTCTTTGCCGAACGCGGCTCCTGGCTCACCTCAAGCAGTTCCCTCCTTTGTGGCAGACGGCAACGCCCGTCAGCCAGGCGGCCAAGGATCTCTTCGCCGCCATCGAGCCGGGCATTCCTGACATTGCCATCAAGGGCCAGCCTCCGGCAGCAGGCGTGGCGTCGACGGGCTACAACGTGACGGAGGATCCCGACTGCTGGTGGACGAGTCCCTTGCACTGCGTCACGCCCAAGCATGCCGGCCTGCCCGACGACCTTTACCGCTGCGAAGAGCCGCGCACGCTCGGTCTCACCTTCGACGACGGCCCCAATTGCTCGCACAATGCGCTCTACGACGAGCTGAACCGTCGGAACCAGGCGAGTGGCAGCTGTGCTGCTGGCAGAGCACGTCACTCACCTCAGACGCTCGAACAGAAAGTCACACTCTTCTACATCGGCAGCAACATTGCGATGTGGCCGCTCGAGGCGCAGCGGGGCATCGTCGACGGCCACGAGGTCTGCTTGCACAGGTGAGCGCAGCAGTCTGGCTGCGATTCGAGATGGTAACGTCTGACCACTTCTGCTACAGCTGGTCGCACCCGTACCTGACCGGCCTCACCAATGAGGAGGTCTGGGCCGAGCTGTACTACAGTCTGCGCATCTCGCAGGCCGTCATGGGCATCACGCCGACCTGCTTCCGCCCGCCGTACGGCGACATCGACGACCGGTGCGTGGAGAGAGTCACAGCAATCCGCCGCACACGTGCTGATCTAGCACCTCTACAGCGTGCGGTACATTGCCAACTCGCTGGGCGTGCGCGTCATGATCTGGAATGCGGACACGCACGACTACGAAGCATCGCTGCTACCTTCCGAGGAGATGGGCAGGGCGCAGGTCCTCGACAACTACGCCGCGCTGGAGGAGTCGGCACGCAACGGCACATTCGACCGCTCGGGCGCCGTTGTGCTGTCGCACGAGCTGCGCAATCTGACCATGCAGCTCGCTGTTGAGGCGCTGCCGGGCCTGCAAGATGCGTTCGAGCATGTCATGCCCGTCGGCGTGTGCGCCAAGTGGGTAGCTCCAGGTCGCTCGTCTCGGTTCAAGTCGCTGACGTCGACGCTCGCAGCATCACGCGTCCGTATCTCGAGGACATCCTCTCTCCCAACTTCGGCGACTACGCCGCCGGCAACCTGCTGCCGCTCGGCCTGCCCGCCGGCGGCTTCATGCGCATTGCCGACACGCTCGTGCCCGAGGCCGACGTGGGCCAGACGATTCGAGCGTTCACTGCTGCGCACCCGCCCAACCGCACGCGCCAGGCGGATGTGCTGCTCAACACCGTCTTCCCCACGACGCCGTACGCGGCGAATGGCAACATGACGCTGCCGCCGCCGGGCCCCGAGCCGCCGCTGGGCTCTGCGCTGCTGCGCACCGCCATCATCCTCGGCACGGGCGCCGGCGTGCTGCTCGTCACGCTGCTCGTCGTCGTGCGCATCCTGCTGCGCAACCGCAAGCCGAAGCCGTCGAGCAAGACCGAGGTGGCCGGCACCGCGCCGGCTGCTGCCGCATCCGCGACGAGCGTCGCCGGCGAGACGGACGCGGGCAGCGAGCCGTACAAGGTGCACCTCGGCGACGCGACGCCGATGAGCGAGGCCTCGGGCACGCTGCGCCGCTGAGCAGATCCGACACGCCGCGGCGCCTGTACATAGAGACGGCCGCTCGCAATACCCACTCATTGACGTGCTCTGCTGCAGCGTCGAGTGACTGCTTGGCGGTGCATCGTGGCGTCCGCATGCTAGCTGCTGAGGCTGATGTTCCCGACGGCGTCTGCTGACGCCGAGAGAAGAAGTGGGCGAGCGTGTGCGTCGACGAAGAGACGACGAGGCAGGTGCTGGCGCCGTCACGTTACGCGTCGAGGCCGCGTTCCTGACGTCGGAAGCAGGTCATCAGCCCGACGTCCGACGTCCGTAGCGCGGCGCAGCGATGCAAGCGATGCGTTTTTCCGCACGTCGTCGACAGCATTCGGGCTGCGGAGCGTGCCGGAGAGGCGGAGGCTGTCCTGCGAGGATGCAGCGAGCGGAAGGTGCGGCTCAGCGAGGGCGGCGCCGGCGGAGCGCCGCACCCCGTCCGAGCGAGTGGATGCCGAGAAGAGAGATGCGGCTGCCATGCGGCGCTTGCGCCTGCTCGTGCGCCGAGCGTGCGATGTGGAGCCCCCGATGCATCGAAACGACGCTTGCGCCGGTCGCTGATGCGTGCTTACGGCAGCGCACAGAGGGCTGTGCTGGTCCTGTGCGACGTCAGACCACGGCGTACAAGCGCGTGTGAAGCTGATGCTGGCGAGTCGAGTCTAGTGTGGGGCGGACGGCGACGCTTCCGACGGGAGGGGACATGCACGGGCGAGAGAGGCCGCACGCTGGGTGCTACCGACTCGAGCGTCGTTTGTCGGGCCGCGCGCGCTCTCGCGATGCGATGCGTGGTCTGCTGCGGCGCTGCCGCTGATGCGCTGAGCGCGGCGCGTTGCAGCTGCAGCGAAGCCGCGGATGCGGCGCACAGAAGCGTGAAGGCCGTAGCAGCAGAGGAAGGCAGGGCGGGAAGCAGCGATGCGGCGATGCCCGCTGCTCCGAGCGGCCGGGCGTGCGGCCGTAGCGCTGAAAGACGGCGCAACAGATCGTGCGCACGAGACAAGCAACGCGCAAACCGAGCAGGCTCAAGCATGAAGCTCCGCTCGGCGAAGCAGCACCGAGAAGGAGGCCGAGCTGCGCTTGCATGCTCCACTCCGCTCGCACGAAGGTGCCTGGCCGAGGCCGCGGCCGATGGTCTGATCCCAGCTCATGCACAGCTGCGCATCGCCTTGCTCCTCTCCACAGCCTCTCTCGCGCACCCTTGCCGACCCCAGCGCGCCGCTCCTTCAGCTTCTTGCCCCGGCTGCGCTGCGCCTCAGCTCGGCGCCCAGCCGCGCGACCTCGCTGCCTCGCGGCATCTTCGCCTGCCGCTGCGCACCTCTCGCATTCCTCTCTTTGCAGCCACGCCGTCGTGACGCTCTGCGGCCCTCGGCCGCGCCTTGACGCACTTTCCACCGCGCTCTGAGCCTGCTCCGGCCCGCCGCGCTCAGCCTGCATGGCCGGCCCAGGCGAGGCATCCGGCTCGGGCAGCGGCAGCGTCGGTGGTGCAGGCTTTGCGCATGGCGCAGCGCTGGGAGCGCAGGTGCGTTCGCAGCCCGTGTGGTTCCAGCCGGCACCCGGCAGCGCCGCATCTGGCCTCTCCCTCACGCAGCTGGCCGATGCCTTCGTCGACACGGCGGGCGCCGGGCCTTCGGGCGCGCCTGATGCGTCGGCACGCAGCAGCGGCGCAGCGGATGGAGTGGCGCAGGAGGATATGGCGTTCTGGCAAGCCTTCTTCGAGACGCCGGCGGGCGGGAGCGCCGCGCAAGGCCCGCACGCCGGCTCAATGGCGCAAGACCCAGGCGGTGGCAGCTGGCACGCCGGCCCCTCGGTGATGCGGCCTGCACCAAGCCAGCCGCACGACTTTGCACCGGAGATGGCGCCTTTCCCGCCCAGCTCGTCCGCCAGCTTTGAGCTGGAGCCAAGCTGGGCGCCGACCTCACTGCCAGCGGTGCCACTGGCGCCTTCGAGGTCGCACGATGAGCGGCGAGCCTCCACGAGCGCCGCAGCATGGCGAGACTTCGAAGCGACGTCTGCTCCGTATGCTGGCTCAGCGCCAACAGCGGACAGCGCGAGCACGCTCCAGCGGCCCCAGCCCGGCATATCGCACTTGGGAAGCGCAGAGGGCGCGCCTCCACCTCGTCCGCGGCAGCCCGACTCGCTCTCGCCAGACAGCGCAAGTCTCGGCATTGGCGATGGCCCTTCCGCTTTCGTCTTTCCGCCACTCAGTACAGCGGGCATGGCGCCTTCTCTTGCGCTACCACACGCGCCCCCCGAAGGGCAGCCGCTCGAGACGACGCCTCCTCCCACTGCCGCGGCAGGCGACGGCAAGCGCGCCTCAGTGGCATGTCTGCTGTGCCGCAAGCGCAAGCTACGTTGCGACCAGGCACAGCCATGCATGCAGTGCGAGCGCCGAGGCCTGCAGTGCGCATACGAGCTGACGGCGAGCCAGGTGCACCGTACCGACGACAGCGTGCTGCGCCGCAAGCAGAGCATGACCTCGCAGGGCGCCTTGGGCCGGCCGGCGCCGGCGAGTTCACACGATTTGGCAGGCCAGAGACCCTCGCCGCCGCAAAAGCGCAGTTTCGTTGCTTCGCCGCCTCCTTCCTCTGCGCGCGACGCAGAGGTCAGCGGTATGACGCGAGCAGACGACGGCTTCGGCGTCGACGACATGCCCGAGCGGAGGCGCCGCATCCGTAGTGCACGTGATGTGCGCAACGACCGCCTGCATGCCAGTGGTCTGGCCTCCACGGAGCCGCAGCAGGATGTGGCATGGGTAACATGTGCGCCGGCGGGCCTCGTAAGCGCCATGGAGAAGGTGCGCTTGGCCGACGAGAGTGATGGCGAGGAGGATGCTGGCAGCAACTCGTCGGAGGTCGAGGAGCCGCAGCTTGGACGAGAAGTCAGCGGCGATCACCTCATGAATGGCTGGTACGACGATCTGCTCGGCGAGCTGGGCAGTGTGCGCGCCAATGCGTAAGTAGCACTGTCGAATGTCCTTGCCCGCGTGTGTGCTCACGGCAGAGACTCAGGACACGCCGTCTGCGAGGCCTGCTGCTCGGCTTCACAGCTCGACACACCGTCACCTGTCTCGTGCTGCACACGCCAACGCTGCTAGAGCCCACATTCTCCGAGTCGCGGCGGCGCAGCGTGCACCCAGCACTGTACTTTGCCATTGCGAGCATCGCTGTCGTCGATCACGAGATGGACCGGTGTGTGACGTGTCTCAAAGCCGCAGAACGCATCTACTGACCTGCGACCAGGCTTGAGCCCATCACTGGAGTAGTCGAAGAAGCTAGCCCGGCGACGCGTGCTCTATCCGAGCGGCTCTCGGCCCGCGCTTTGCAGTACATCCAGACGGACGCCATCTCGCAAGCCAGCTCCGGCATGACGATCCAAGCCGCTCAGAGCGCTCAGGTCCTGGCGCTGATCAAGCGGGGCGATCTGCGCGTGTCGCTGCTGGAGCTTATTACGCGCGTCGTCGAGTCGCTAGGCCTCATGCGCCTCGTCAAGCTCGAAGACCCCGAGTCGGCGCGGCCCATAAAGCCGCACAATCCAGCTTACTACGAGCTGCCGCGTCCGCCGCCGCCGGGCACTACAAGCGTAGCAGAGGTGCGCAGAGAGCTCATTGTGCGGCTCTGCTGGGCGCGGGCAGTGCACAGCGCAAGGCGGGTGCAGACTTGGCCGTGAGTGCCCATCAAGCCTCTTGCAACCATACATCCCGCTGACGGCACATGCAGGGATGTCATGCCGGAGAAGTACAAGTTCGAGGAAATCATCCCTGCGCCCGGCCACTGGTCTGCGCAAGACTTCCTGCGCCAGCACCAGCTCAACTCCAGTCTCGAGCTGTACTTTGTCTCGGTGAGCTCTGCTGATGTCGCTGCCGCTGGCTCGCTCCGCTGACATACTGGTGCGCAGCGCCACCTGTTCAAGGTCGCCGCGTGGTGCTACTACATCGGCCACCGTGCGCTCATGTGGCCGAAGCCCAGCATCACCAGGTAAGGCCGCACATGGCGTGTCACATGGCGGGCGCTCACCTCTGCTCCGTCGTAGTCCGTTCCAAGCTGTCGGCGTGTTCCGCCGAGCGCTGGCCACCGCGTCGCAGATCGAGGAAGCAGAGAGCCACTTTCCCTTCTTCCGGCCGAAGGACAACAACGACCTGATCCGCACCGTCCTCGGCCGGCATTGCCTGGGCGTCGGCACGGTGCTGACGAAGCTGCGTCTCAATCTCTATCAAGTGAGCGGCCGTGCAAGCCTGTCGCACACGCACCCAGCTTACATCTTCGTCTCAGCGCGGCAGAATCTGGCGCGGCCGCAACGAGGACGTCTCCGCCTCCGTCACGGCGCCCTCTGGCCTGCCGCATTCAACCGACGTATACCTGAGCTATCTGCCGCACATGATTGCGCGCATCGAGAGCGACTACGCCTCCTACAAGGAGACGGGCGTCTTTGCGTCGACGCTCTACGAGGTCAACTGCTGGCAGCGCCACGTCGCCTTTGCGACCGAGCTCTTCCGCGTCACGCGCTGCGAGCTCTTCGTCGGGCCCATTCAGCGCATGATCGCTGCCGTCTCGGCACAGGTCGAGGCGCGTTCGCCAATGCCGCCCAGTCCCGCATACGAGAGCGTCGACTGGCCGGCGCTCAAGACTAAAATCGCCACAGTGCTCGCCAAGCGTCGCTCGTCCGAGTCGCCCCATGCCCCGCCCGTGCTCGGCCCGCAACCCTCACCCTGACCCTCGATACCTCGTCACACCAGTCACACCTGCATCTGATGCCTGTGCGTGTCCCCGCACAATGCATCTCTATTACCACCGCGTGCGTCCCTTGTGCATATCGTGACGTGCGCACGCTCAGCGCTTCGCCTTCTTCGACTTGGGCCGCTGCGCGCCGGAGTCGCCGCGCTCGGTGCCGGCGCCCTTGCCGGCAACAAGGCGCTGCATGATGCGCTTGACCTCGCCGTCGGGCAGGTTGCTCGGGCTGTAGTAGGCTGCAAGACGTCGTGTCAGCGGGCCTGCAGGCGCAGCGTATCCCGAGAACCGACTCACTCGGTGCGTACTCCAGCAGCCACTCCGGGCGCACCTCGGTGATGGTGCGGATGAACTGCCAGCGTGAGGGTCAGCTGCTGCAGCGCATCCACGCACGCAGACTGCACTCACGTTGCGCGTCGTCAGCACAAACTCGTGGTAGAGCAGGAACGGCGGCATGCTCTCGATCGTCGAGCTCGGGTGCGGCGCGACGATCTGCCCGTCCATCGTCGCGTAGCTGCCCTTGCTGCCGGACGCCTCCTTGTGTGCCACCTGCATGAAGAAGCTGCCGACGCTTGTCAGCGGGTTCGATGCAGCGCTGCGGCAGCGTGTGGCTCACCCGCATGTGATCGCTTGCCGGATCTGTGTGTAGTAGTTCTTGTTCTCAAACGGCGTCGAGACGAGATCGAGGTCGTAGCGCTCCATCGTGCGCGAGAGCTGCTGCCGCACGTTGTCGGCCTGTTGCAGCGTGCGGTACGAGAGGAAGTTCTGCCAGCACCAGTTCGAGGCCGTCGACGGGTCCGGGCAGTCTGGGCAGGACGGCAAGCGTGAGCACAGCGCAGCGACGAGAGTTAGCGCGCACACTTACTCGTCTTGTAGGCGTGGTACACGTTCAGCAGGGTCAGGTGGTCGCCCTCGGGATGAGCAAAGGCAGCCCGTGCCTGGTCGGCCTGCTGCCGCTGCGCGTTTGGCCGCACGAACACGTTCGGCACCGAGAGCATCGCCGCCACGGTGAGAATTTCGTTGGAGCACTTGAACTCGGGGCTGATGATTAGCATCTTGGCCAGCTGCGGGTCGAGCGGGAATTCGGCCATGATGGTGCCGAGCGGCGTGAGGTTGCCCTCGTCGTCGAAGGCCGCGAGGTACTGAGGCGGTGTCAGCTGGGTGAGAAGACGGCAGATCTCGATCGGCTCACGTTCAGCAGCTCGAGCGCGCGCATGATCGTCTCGGGCGCTGTCACAGAGGCACGTCAGTGCAAGTCGGACGCTCGAGGCGCGTGCGCGTGCTCACCGGGCGGGTCCATGTAGTCAAAGGTGACGAGGTTGTCGATGCCGAGCTTCTTCAGCTCCAGCACCGTGTTGGCGAGGTTGGAGCGCAGGATCTCCGGGTACGTCTGCTCGATGAGCTCCGAGACAAAGTCCTTCTCGGTGTACAGCCGGAAGCACTTGCCGGGCCGCGTGCGTCCGGCGCGGCCCATGCGCTGCTGCGCCGACGCCTTGGAAATCGGCGACACGAGCAGCGACTCGACACGGATGCGCGGGTTGTACACCTTCTGCTTCGAGAAGCCGGGGTCCACGACGTAGACGATACCGTCGATCGTCAGCGACGTCTCGGCGATGTTGGTGCTGATCACGACCTTGCGGCCCGGCGGGCCGCCCTTCTTGAGCGGCTCGGGCGCCGGCTCGAAGATGCGCTGCTGCTGCGCCGGCGGCAGACTCGAGTACAGCGGCACCACCTTGAGCGGGCCGCAGAGGTCCGGCTGGCTCGAGCTGAGCTCGTCTGCCTCGGCCTTGATCTTGCGGCACGCGTCCTCGATCTCCTCCTCACCCGTGAGGAACACCAGCACGTCGCCCTCGTCCTCGGCCTGGTGGATCTGCAGCACAGTGCGGATCGCCGCCTCGAGATAGTCTGGCTCCGGCTCGGGCGTGTAGAACGTCTCTACGGGGAAGGTGCGGCCGGGCACGCGCAGCAGCGGTGCGTCGTTGAAGTACTTCTGGAACTTGAGCGCGTCGAGCGTGGCGGACATGACGATGATCTTCAGGTCTGGCCGACGCTTGGCCACGTCCTTGAGCAGGCCCATCAGAATGTCGGTTGCCAGCGTGCGCTCGTGCGCCTCGTCGAGGATGATGCAGCTATACCGCGAGAGCAGGTGGTCGTTCATCGCCTCGCGCAGCAGCATGCCGTCGGTCATGTACTTGAGGAACGTCGTGCGCCGGTCAGTGCAGTCCTCGAAACGGATCGTGTATCCGACCTCCTTGCCCAGCGCGACTGAAGCGGCGGACCAGTCAGAACAGCTCAAGAGCACACCTGCGGCTCGTCGCCGCGAGCAGCCTTGTCACGCCAACTCACCATCCATCTCCTCGGCCACGCGCTTCGCCACGCTCATGGCGGCGACACGACGCGGTTGCGTGCACGCAATCATGAGCGGCGCCTGCTGCCCATCGTCGCCCGTCACCTTCTTCGTGTGCGGCAGATCTGAGTATGCCACGAATTGCGGGATCCTGCAGACGGAATGTCGGTCAGCCCAGCTCCAGCTGCCCAAGCGGCCCCGGCGTGCTCCTCCACCCAGCCTCGTGGCGCTTCTGGCCACTCGTGCACATTGCACGAGCCACTCACTGCGTCGTCTTGCCACTGCCCGTCTCGCCGATCATGACCATGATCTGGCTTTCGTTGAACTTCTCGTAGAACTCGTCGATCTGGTTGTAGACGGGCAGCGCCTTGCGCTTCTCGAGAATGGCGCGGTAGCGGGCGCTGAAGGCGCGCCCGGGCGTGGCGGCGAAGGGATTGATGTCGCCGTCCATGGCGCGGCGCGCCTGCTCGCCCGTCACCTTGCGCGGGATGAAGCCGGCGAGCGGGTCTGAGCCGGCAGCAGCGGAGGAGGAGGCACCGCGCTCCTGCGGCGGCAGGTGGGCGAGGTAGGGGTTGTCGCGCGGCGCAGCCGGCGGCGGGCCCGGCGGCGGTCCTGGCGGGCCAGCCATGGTGGCAGAGAGCTCAAAAGAGGGAGAGTGGGTCCGCTGCTAGTGCGCTGCGAGGACGAGCGCGAGAGTGAGGCGGCAAGGAGAGGCGTGGTGGAGAAGACGGAGGCGGCGAGAAGCCTTGCTCGCCGCGCGCAGTGTCAGCGGCGCAGCGTGCGCGCCTTCGGCTTTCGGCGGCCGGCCAAAAAAGTGGGCGCGGCGGCTCGACTTGAGGCTCCCAGACCTTCGCGTCCAACGATCGTCTTGCCTCACCACCTCCATCCCCACCTCAGCATCCGCATCGCACGTCTAGCATGGGCAAGCCGTCGACCGTCGGCGGCAAGCAGAATTTCCGGCCCAACAAGGGCGTCCTCTTCGGCGCGGGCAACGACGAGCTGCAGCGGCCCAAGACGCGCGCCTCGCCCGTGCCGCCGCCGCTCGAGTCGCACGCCTGGCCGGCAAACGTGCGGCGCCTGACACACTGCGTCGCCTCGCCGCTGCTGCCTCAGCACTTGCACTCGTTGTGCGCCGAGATCGACGACGCCGACCCGCACTCGGACGCCAGCACGGCGGGGTGCGTCGTCGTGCGCCTCATCCCGCGCACCAGCCCGCACCCGGCGCGCGGCCAGTACGGCCTCTTTGCGGCGCACGACCTGCCGCCGCGCACGCCGCTCTGCGCCTACTTTGGCACGCTGCACACGCAGCAGGAGACCAACGAGAAGAGCGAGTTCGACCTGGGCATCGAGGGCCCGGCGGGCGAGCAGCTGGGCATCGACGCGACCAAGGCTGGCAGCATTGCGCGATGTGCGTGAGAGCCGAGCGGTGCAATGCCGCACAGGGATGCTGACACCCCTGACACAGTCTGCAACGACTACCGCGGCATCCTGCCGCGCGCCAACGCCGAGTTCAAGGACTTCGTCGCCGAGGCGGCCGGCTCCTCTGCGGCGCCGCAAGGGCTGAGCGAGACGGCCTCGCTGCAGAAGGCGCTGCCCGGCGCGGCGCGCAGCGGCGCGGCGCGGAAAGCTGCGAGCGAGAGCGAGAGTGAGGAGTCAGACTCCGGGAAGGAGGATGAGGAGTACTCTGAGAGCGGACAAGAGCAAGACGCTCCCGCCCAGGCTGCCGCTGCGCCTGCACCGCCCGCACGGCGGCCACGCGTGCTCGGCCAGGCCATCTACTCTGGCTCCAAGCCGATCAAGCGCGGCGAGGAGGTCTGCGTAAGCTACGGCAAGGGCTTCTGGAGCGGGCGGGAAGGAGGCGGCGGCTAGGCAGCAAAGCACGCCGCAAGGGGCAAGTCTCTGGGGTCACACGTCACGATCAATACACCGCGCTACAACTGCAACGTCGCGCTGTGCCGTTTTGATGTATTTGCGATTGCAGCTGCTACTTGCGGCCGAACGTGTTGCCCCAGCCCAGTGCCCGCTCGCCCGACTCCAGCGTCGGCCACGACTCGTTCGCGCTCTTCTTGACCTGCGCAAAACGTCGATGCGTGATGAGCGCTGGTCGAACAGAACGTCGACGATGGCGGCACAACTCACCAAGACGAGGTCCAGCTTGAACTTGGTCAGCCGGAAGGAGCTCGCGGCCGCATCGATGGGCGCAAAGGGCCGCAGCACGCGCTCGTATCGCCGCTTCGAGCCGCTCGGCGCGTCGGGCAGTGCCAGCGCGATCTTGACCTGATGCACTGATCAGTAGCTGCACGTACAGCATCAACCGGCACGAGGGCCGGCACTCACTTCGCTCTCCTCAAACTGCACGCTCGATGCCTCGGCATCGCAGCCCTTGGCATACACCGTGACGCGCACGTCGGCCGGCGTCTCGTAGTGGTCTATCCGCGCCTCGACGCGCTCGATGCCATCTGCCGGCGCCTCCTTGACCGGCTCACTGCCCACGAACAGGTGCCCGTGCGCTGCGTCGGTGCAGCCTGCGATCGTGAGGAAGTCGGCAAAGTCGAGCACGCGCCGCTTGCAGCACGTGTAGCCCTGTGAAGCACGTCAGACTCGGCTCTGAGGCGCATGGAGCGCACTCTCAAAGCGTCTCAGCCCACCACCTGCTTCTGGCAAAGGCCTGGGGCTGAGCGAGGCTCGCTCGCTCGCAGCTGCCAGCGCCCACGAGCGCAAACGATGCCGTCATGCGCCACGCAGGGCTCGCCCCACTAAGCCGCTCGCACATCCTGCCGCTCACTCACCTTGCTGCCTTCGTGGAAGATGGCCGTGCCCTTGTGGTATGTGCACTTCTCCGCCGCGCGATCCCGCTTGCCGCCCTCGAACTTGGCCGAGCAGCCGGCGCGCTTGCACGGCGCGCCAGCCGCAATGGCGCTGCCATCGGCCTCTGGCGGGTCCTGCTCCTCCGGCTTCTCTACCGCCTCCTGCTTCGCCTGCTTGGCAGCAGCCGCAAGCGCTGCAGCGCTCAGCGGCGCCGCCGGCTGCGTTACGGGCTTGGGCGCGGCGGCGCCAAAGACCTCGGTGCTGCCGTTTGCGGTGGACGAGGGCGCAGCTGCCGGCGCCGCCTTGGGCTCGGGCTTCTTCGGCTTGACGTCAGAGTGCGCTTCTGCCGAGGCGCACGGCGGAATGGCGAGGAACTGGTCGAACTCGAGCACGGGCTTGTGCGTCTCGTTGCAGCACGACCACGACTTGAGGCCCTCGTGGAACACGGGCGCGCCCGAGTGGTGAGCGCACGGCCCCGGCGACGAGAAGAGCTGGCCGCAGCCGGGACGCGTGCAGATTGGCGCAGAGGGTGCCATGAGTGAGAAGTGAGGGCGGCGTTGGGGGTGTGGAGGTCGCAAGCAGCGAGAGAAGCAGCGAGAAGGAGAGCGAGCTCGCACGACACTGCCGGGCGCCATGCGATCACGTGGACGCTCCCACGCCCTCCACCTGCTCCCGCGCCCGCTGCGCACGGACTGCGCACTTCATCAAGCGAGGGGGCATCGATTTGCCTCTTCCTTCACTTCCACTCACTCCTGCTCAAGGCTGTCACTACTGCACATCCACGCACACGCACACAGCTGCGGGCACGCGCCACAGCTCGGCATCGCTCTTGCCCACCGCCAGCATGCCGTGCTCGCTGCTCGACCTGCCGCCGGAGCTGCTGCTCTACTCCATCCTGCCGCTGCTGCCCTCGTCGGCCGTGCTCTCCTTCCGCCTCGCCAGCCGGCGCGCCAACGAGCTCGGCAGCGACGCTTCGCTCTGGCGCGCCCTGCTGCTGCGCGAGCTCAACTTCCCCGCCCACGCCTCGGCGCGCGTCGCCGGCTGGCGCCAGCTGTATGCCGGCCTGCGCGCGCCGACGCTCTGGACGTGGGGCGAGGACAGCGAGGGCCGGCTGGGCATCGGCGCCGGGCACGATACGCGCAACGTGCCGCAACAGGTTGCTGCGCTCATCCGCCGCGAGTGGGGCGCGCCGTTCCCCGTGAGTCCGCGCTGGCAGGACGCGCCGCTCATCGTCGGCAACGAGCTCGGCGACCCGGACCGCGAGTGGCCATACTTGGAGGCGGCGCCCGAGTTCCTCATTCGCGAATCAGCCGGCATCGAACTCGGCGCGCCTGTGGAGCTACACGCTGCCGGCTGGAGCTTTCTGGCGCTGACGAGCACAGGCTGCGTGCTCACGTGGGGCGCGCTGCGGCAACGCCAGAGCTTCCAGTATCGCGAAGTCTGGACGCCGTCGATCCTCGACTCCTTCAACAAGCGCGTGCGACGTCTCGCTGTCGGAACCGCCGCTATCGGTGTCACAGACGACGATCACATCCTACAGTGGTCTGGACCGGACTCGCCTCGCGTCCTGCCGGACCTCTTTCCGTTTCATCGCGTCACGGACCGGCCGCGAGTGGAGCTGCTGGCAAGTAGCGGTGACGTGGCTGCCGTTGCTGCGCGGTTTCACCTGGACGGAGAGCAAGGATCAGCGACACAGCAACGCATCGCTGCCTGGAACACGCGATGGACAGCAGAGGTGGATGAGACGCACCGGAGCTACATCGACATTGGTCAGCGGCGAGGCGTACCTGTGGCCGCTCACGACGTCGCTGCGACACTCTTGCCCGAGCTGCCACTTCCGCCAGACGATCTAGCCGCCACCCTCGCCGATCCTTCGCTCAGTGCCTCGCGGCAGCACACTGCGCATACCACCGTAGCGCGCCTTGCGGCAGGCGAGCGGTATCTCTACGCCCTGACGCCGTCTGGTCTGCTGTACAAGATCGACATCACGCAGCCTGCCTGGCCGCCGGATGACTTTGTTGCAGATCGAGTGGAGGAGGAATGGCAGGGCGAGCTGCGCCACTTCGCCCGTGCCTACGGCCCTGGCGGCCGCCAGTGGCAGCTGTTGCGCGCCTTCTGCGATCCGCTCTTGCTGCGAGCCGACGCTCGGTGGGCTGCCATGGACAAAGCGCATCTCCTGAGCGCGCCGGAGTTGCGCCTCACGCACCTCAGCGCCAACTTCCGCTCGTTCGTCGCGTATTCGCAGCCCTCGACGAACGACGGTGCGCACGCACAAGGCATCGTACTGCTGGGCGACGAGGATGCCGGCCACCTCTCGCCGCCGAAGCTGCTGCCGGAGCTGCAGGGCAGCGGCGTGCTCAAGGTAGCTGTCGGCGACTATCACTTCGCCAGCCTGGACAGCGCCGGCAAGGTGCGGACGTGGGGCCAGTGGTCCAAGGGCGCGCTCGGCACGTGGGATGCCCACCCAGTCGCCTCGAGCCTCGCTGTCGCACCACCGCAGCCGCGCGGACTGCGAGGCGGCTTCCGTATCGGTCTTGCGGGTGCAACCGCACGACGCACTCAACAGAGCTTCGAGCCACAAGACGACGGCACGTCGCCGCTCTCGCGCCGCTGTGCTGCCCGCCACGTGCCGCGCGAGCAGAAGGAGCCGGTGCAGGTGGCGTTTGCAGACTGCGAGCGCCTCGCTGAGCCGGGTGGCAGCGTCGAGGAGCAGACTGCCAACACGTTCGTCTTCGACATCGCCCTGGCCGGTTAGTCGTATGCACTGCTAGACACCTGACATTTGCTGATCCTGCGCGTCACGTCAGGTTGGCACTCAGGTGCACTCTCCATCACGAACCGCCCGGGCCTCTTCGTCGAGCCGTCGGCGTCCGCATCGTAGCCGCTGTTCTGGCTCGTCTCCCTCTCATCATGTGTCTCTTCACACCCCGATACCACTGTACGACCACCTTCACGACACCACTGAATCACGAGACGCTGGCTGAGTTGTCACGGGAACGATGGTACAGGATATGGAGGTGTCGCGGGCTCGAGACGAGATAGAGGCGGGACAGGTCGTAAAGGCGGAACTAGTCGTAAGGCCGGGATGGCAGAGACCGGGCGATGGCGGAAGCAGCGTCGATGAGCGCGGCGCTTAGCCACCGCGAGCGGCCTTGAGCATCTCCTCGAAGGCAGACGAGAGCTGCTGATTCATCTGCTGGCCCTGCTGCGAGAGACCGGCAGTGGGCGTGCCCTCCTCCGGCGCAGGCTGAGCAGCGGCCTCGGTCGGTGTAGCCGTGCTGGCCTCTGCAGGTGTGGGCTGCGCCTCGGCGGCAGCGGGCTGCGCAGCACTCGATGCCGCGGCCTGCTGGCGCTTCGGACGGTATGGCGCGTACGTCGTCTCGGCGCGCGCCGAACGCATCTGCTGCAGCATCGCCTCGAAGCCGCTGCGAGAGAGAGAGGGGGCGTCAGACTCAGCGCGCATGCCAATGACGAGGGGCACGGTGCTCACCTTGCCAGACTTGCGTTCGTGTCGGCGACATTGGGCTTCGGCGCCGCCGAGGCAGGCTGCGCTGCCTCTTCCTGCTGCGCCTTGCCCTTGCCCTTCTCCTCGGTGCCATTCTGCGCCTCGGACGTCTTGGCAGCCTCCTCAGCCTCCTCGCGCTCCATCTGCTCCATCATCGCGCGCTGCCTCTCCTCGAAGCGGCGTGCTGCCTCACGCTCCTGCTCCATGCGCTGGGCACGGCTGAGGCCCGAGTGGCCCATCTGCGCCAGACGCTGCTCCCATGCGCTCGAGAGCGCCGTGTTCGTCTGGACGACGCGCTCGCTGGGCTGCGGCGCCGGTGTGCTGCCAGTCGAAGCGGCAGTGCTTGCTGATGCCTGCGCTGCAGGCGCCTCGTGCTCCACCACCTCGAATGCCTCGCTGCCGGCTGTGCTGCTGGGTCCCGTCTGCTGCTCGGCCGGCGCCTGCGGCTCAGGCGACGGAGCACGAGGACGGCCTAGACGCTCGGCGCGAGCGGCAGCTAGGTCTCCGAAGGCACGGCCCTGCGCCTCGCCTTGTGCACGGCAGCGCGCCATGATTTCGTCGAGCGACGGCGGCGCGGAGCCGCTGGTGTTCGAGTCCGAAGGCGCAGCGCCAGTCTTGGCCTGCTCAGCTGACGCAGCAGGAGCCGTGCTCTCGCTGGCAGCCGGCGCAGCAGACGGCACCGCAGCAGCTGGCGAAGGTGCAGGAGATGCTGCGCCACGAGCCTGCATCGAATGCTGCTGGCTAGCGCCAGTGGAAGCCGGCGAACGAGGAGTGCCCGTCAGAGCCATGGCAAAGTCGAGCAGCGGGCCGATGAGCGGCGCCAGCGCGGGAGGCGCGCAGTTGACGAGGGCTGCCTGCAGCGACGGGATGGACGGCGCGGGCGAGGAGCCTGGGGCATGGCCGGACGTCTGCGACTCGGTCGCAGAGCGCGGCTCGGCAGCTGCTGCTGCCGGCGCGGCTGGAGCGGCAGACTGCGATGCAGACGTCGCAGACGGTGCAGACTGACTTTTCTGCTCCTTCGCATCGACGCTTCCCTCGTGGCCGGTCTCGTCCGCGAGCTTGTTCTCGGAGCCGACGAACGCAATTCTGCCGCGGTGCGTCAGTGAGCTGCTCAATCGCACCGCCTTCGTAATCTCGCTCACTGATCGCGCGTAGGCAGCTTGGGAGTCCTGCTGATGACGCAGTCCCAGAGTTCGAACCTGCCTAGCGTGTTCATAGGCGCAGCGTGGGCCACGTCGAAATGGACGTGGCTGAACAGGCGCCACTGGTACTCTGACAGAATGAGGACCGGAGCAGAGAACAGAAATCGCTGCGGCGGCGTGACAGTGATGCAAAGACCATCGCCCGCTCCGAGGTTCCAGAGCGCAGCCAGTCTGCCCATCACGCTGGCCAGAGGCGCGTGACGGTCGACGACGATTCGCTGCTCGATGGCCGGGTGACCAGCGAGTGTCGTGCGGAAGTGGGCATGGCTCTTGCCTTCGCGAAGGAGGGAGTGGTCGGTCCTGGCGGCAATAGTCTCGGTGCCAGCTGCCAGAGAGGCGAGCTGGGCGGGAGTGAGGGGAGATGTGGAGGTGCTCATGCTGAGCGACGTCGTTGGGGTGCGGGATGGTGGTGGCCGGGAAGCAAGAGGAGCAGGTCGCGCGCCGCCGCACGGCTGCTGATGAGGCGCGGCGGCGGCGTGCGGCGCGCGCCGAAGCATCGGCCATGCGCAGCACCTCCACCCCCGCAGCGCGCCTGCTGCCGCTGCTGCTGCGCCTGCTGGTGGTGACTTTGCACTACAGAAGCGTCGCGCGGATCTCGAGCCCCACAGCCGTGAAACTAAATGCGTGGCAAACGAGGAGAAGGTCAGACCAGATCTGTTCCTGGCGCCACCTGCTGCGTCGAGGCTCGGCGCTGCGTGGGCTCGAGGCCGCCCGCGCCAGCATGCAGCGCGCCGGCGGTGCCGGCAGTGTCCACGCCTCACACGCTGCCCTGTGCACTCTGTCTATTCCTTGACCGTGTCCGCCACCACCTTTGCCGTCTCCTTGGCCTTGCCGCCCAGCACATCGAGCGCCACGAGCGTCTTCTCGTAGATGGTAAACACAATGCCGCCGCTGAGGATGAGGCGCGTGAGGCGCGGCGTCGTGCCCTTCCAGAAGCGCAGCACGCCCTCCTCGCGCAGCACCGTGCTGACGCAGTTGAAGGCGCTGCTGTAGCGCGCCGACTGTGCCGACTGCATGCGTGTCTTGACGACGCTGCGTAGAGGAGTGTCAGATGAGCAGTGAGATGCCCTGAGGCAGCCGAGGCTGCCTGCTCTCTGCTGTGATGTGCTGCCGCGGCTGCGTGCTCTCTGCTGTGAGGTACTCACTCGAATGGCATGGTGCAGTCTGTGCAAGAGGATCATCAGCAAGGCGCGGTCACCATCTTCTCGCGCATTCTACTCACAAACAGTGACAATGCCCGCCACAGCGCCCATGCCAAACGTCTCGATGTCGTTGGTCTTGCGGCCGTCCTTGGTGGCCAGGCCACGCAGCGTCGAGTATGTCGTGAGGCGCACGGCAGAGTTGGCGCCTTGCCGTGCCATCGTGGGGCCGAGGCCCTTGTAGATGCCGCGCAGACCCTCGGCGCGCACGATGGCGACGGAGCCGGAGAAGAGGCCCTGTAAGGAAGGTTCAGCCTCGGAGCAGGCCTAGGCTTGTCGTGCGCGACTTTGCATGGGCCTTCAGGCAGCGACTATGCAGGTCGAGCATGCAGCACTACGCGCGCCGCATCTCCAGCTGCAGCTTGTGTGTGCTGCCTCACCTTGTACAGCCGCTCCGCCTTCGGCTTGCGCCCATCCTCAATCAGCCGTGTCTTGATGGCTTCTGACGGCGTGACCGCCAGTGCGCCCTCGCAGAGGCCAGCCAGCAGGCCGGCAAGCACGGAGCGCGGCAGCGTCAATTGGCCAGTCTGCACAAGTGCATGTTAGTCTGCCGCCGCTCGCAGTGGCAGCACGCCGCACACACCGTCTTGTCGGCCACGGCCAGCTTGATGCTGTCGTAGGAGAGGAAGCGCACGCCCGCCTTGACGGCATTGCCTGCCACGAGTGCACTACGAGAGGCTGATCAGCACTCGAACAGCAGATGCGAACATGCCAAGACGCCGCACTGCTGCGAAGTCTCGGGCCGCGAAGCAACGATCTACTGAGCCGCTATTGTCTCTCGCCCGCACTGACACCGCATCTCTGCCCGTTACGCCCTGATCGCTTCATGCGCCGCGGTGCCAGCCAACAGGCCCTAGCAGCCGCCTCAACTACCCTCTGCACATTCTGCGATACTCACGAGCAGCCCGAGTACAATCCCCTCACGCCGCTGCGCGCCAGCGTCTCACGGACGATGTCGAGCAGGCCCGGCGGGCGCTTTCCCGCCGCGACGGCGAACTGCGCCTGCGTCTTGACATACTCGGTCGGATAGGTGGCGAAGCCCTCGACGGCGCCGGCGAATGCGCCGGCGACGAGCGAGTGCAGCGGCTGCTCCTTGCGCTTCGTCGAGGCCATGGCGTGGAGGGGGGTGCGAGAGGCGAGGAAGGCAAGGAAGAAGCGCGCCGCGCCGGCCTCTGAAAGGCGTGCGGCCGGATGATGCTCTGGCGCGCGGCACGCGAGCTTGGCCGAGTTCCGCGCAGCGCGTCGAAGCTTCAAGGTCGCGTGGCCGCGCCAAGGCTTGCTTCATCACCTCCATACCCTCAGCACATCGACAGCATGGACGACCCTGATCTCGCAGCCATCCGTGCCGCACGCATGCGCGAGCTGCGCGGCGGCGGCGGCGGTGGTGGCGGCGGTGGTGGCGAGGCATCGGGCAGCGGCCTGCCCGCCGGCCTCAGCCTGGGCGGCGGCGGCGGTGGAGGGCGTGGAGGAGGGGCGCAGGACGAGGAGGCGCAGGCACGGCAGCAGGAGCAGATGGACGAGCAGAAGCGCCAGCTGCTGAGCACCGTGCTTGATGCGCAGGCACGGGAACGCCGTGAGTGCTCGAGCCTCTGGACACTGGCGCTGGCTGCCAGGCAGGCCAGGCACGTCAACGTGCCCGCAGCCCTGCTGACACTGGCCTGTCCTGTTTAGTCTCGCGCATCGCCATGGTCAAGCCGCAGAAGGCACGCGCCATCCAGGACCTCATCCTGCGCATGGCGCAGTCGGGCCAGGTGCGCCAGCGCATCACCGAGGAGCAGCTCATCGGCCTGCTGCAGCAGGTTGAGGGCGGGCAGGAGGCGCAGGGCAAGATCACCGTGAGTGCTGCTGCGGCACCTGAGGGCGACCTAGCGAGGGAGGAGCGGATTGACCTCAAGCTGCTGCTGTGGAGCTCGCGCTCACGTCCTGCCGTCGCAGTTCACGCGCAAAAAGCAGGTGCTCGAGGACTCGGACGACGACTTCGACCTCTGAGCCCGGCACGCACACGTACAGCCGAGAGGGGTTGGCGGTGCAATCTGAGACATGGCACACATCGGCGCTGTGGCGTGTGATGCACGTATGGTACAGACGGACGTGGGTGGAGGCAGAGACGGAAAGGTATGGGCGGGACGACGGGAACAGGCTGGAGACAGAGGCAGGTGGATGCGGAAGGTATGTGTGTGGTATGCGAGCGACACTTCGCCCTCGCTGCGGCTTTCGAAGAGCGTACAGCTCGCGAGCAGGCGATACGAGCCCGGTTTCGCGGCGGGCGCAGCTATTCGCTGTCCGTGAAGAAGAGCTTTTCGTTCGCCGCCCTCGACGACTTGAGCGCGCCGACACCTCCTCCGCCCTCCTTCTTGACGACTTGGTGCTGAGAGCTGCTGCTCTCCGCTGCACGTCCAGCAGTCGAGTTGCTCGCCTTGATGCTGCGGTGCTGCGAGCGAGGCGTCGGCGTCTGAAGACTTGCGCCAGACGCAGGGTGCTGCGGTGCAGCCTTGGCCGAGGACTCAGGCTCGGGCTGCTGCTCTCGCTGCTTCTCCTGCTCGTCGTCTGTGATGACACCATCGTTGATCCATTCGCCTGCGTGGATGGGCGTCCGTGGCGACGCTACTGGCGGCGGCGAGGCCGTGGGCGCCCGCGGAGCGCCGCCAGGCGGGACACCATCGACGTCCGAACTGCTGCCGCTCGGAGCATCTGCCGTAAAGTCCATCGGCTGGTTGCGCGACGTGCCTGCAAGCGGACGAGCACGCGGCCTGGGCACCGGCGAGGCAGCTTGCTGCTGGGCGCGCTTGGAGGGCCCGGCCTTGGCGGCGCGCGTGGAGGTGGTCGCCGTCGTCTTGTTCTTCTTCAGCGGCCGACGCTGCTTGGGCGTGGCTTCACGCTCGTCGCTTTCCTCGCTGCTGCTGCGCAGGCGACGCTGGCGCTGTCTAGCCGACGCCGAAGGCTCAGCCTCGGAGACCGGCGAGGGAGAGGCCGACTCTCGCGCGGACAACGGCGGCGGCTGCGCTGCCAGTGCCCGCAGCTGCTTCTCGCGCAGGATCTTCTCGTGCTTGTGCAGCTCGATGCGGGCCCAACTCTCCTCCTCCTTCTTCGCGCGGCGGTCGATGAGGATGCCGTCCTTGTCCTGGCGCAAAGCACAGCGTCAGGACTGCAGGCCCGTCTGTCCGGCTCGTGGCTGCGGCTCACCCATTCGTACGCATAGCTCTTCGACGACGCCCCGGCCCGGCTGCTGCGGCGCAGGCCGCGCGTGTCCTCGCAGTCCGACTCATCTAGCTCCAGCTCCGACTCGCTCTCCTCACTCCGGCGACCGCGGCCGACATGAGCAATGTCCTCGACGGACTCCTCTGAAGAGTCCGTCGACGTCGCGCCGTCCGGCTCCGGCTCCGCGTTCTCGTCGCCCGCCTCGCCCTCGGCCTGGCTAGCCGCCTTCTTCTTCTTCTTGGGCAGCCGCGCGGCCTCCTTCTCGCTCGAGCGTGCGGCGCGGCTGCGCGGCCAGCCGTCGAGGCGCGCGTGCTCGCGGTAGTCGACCTTGCGTGCGGCGGCTGCGCGGCGCGGCATGGGAGAGAGCAAGGTGTGGGTGAGGCGAGGCGGAGGTGCTGAGCAGAGGGCGAGTCAGGGCGCAGAGCGGTGACAGGTGCGGTGATGGAGGTGCTGAGTGGAGCGTGATGGCCCAGAGCAGCGGCCCGCTCAGCGCTCCCAGGGCGCAGTCCCTGGCCCCCACTTCAAGCTGCCTGCTGGAGTCGACTCTTACTTCGAGGGACGTGCACGCATCGCTTTCAATCTCGCGCCTCGTTGCGCCTGCGCTTTGCCTCGTGCCGCAGCATGCACTACAGCAGCCTGGCTGGCTTTCGAAGCACTTGTATCTGCTCGTCATTCTTGTTGTGCCTCGTGCCTGTTCTTGTATGTGGCCAGATCGGGATGCGCTGCTCGGAGAGGAGAGCAGCCGGCGGCACTTGCCTCTCGTGGCCAGCGCCAGGAGGCACGTCACGTGCAGCAGCTCAGGGCAGCGCTCGCACAGACCGGCGGCCGGGCGCGCGGCGGGCAGGCGGCCAGTGTGCGCGCGCTGGTCGCCGCCGCGCCGCGCCGTGAGAAGCTCAAGCACGCCCGCCTTGTCCGCACCGCTCTCCCGCCCATCACATACCCCTCTCCCCTCCCGCACACCTTCCCACCGCAGCCATGGCATCCAACGGCATCGGTGCGTTGCTCGTGCCATCCGCGATGTGGCATCCGGGCGGCGGCACAGGCGCGCAGTCGGCGGCAGCAGGCGATGCATCCGCCCATGCGCGGCCCATGCAGGCGTCCCCACGCCGACGCTTCCGCGCACACCGCGGCCCCTGTCTCGCACTCTGGCGCACCTCAGGGGTGCGCTGTGATGGTCACAGGGTGACTGTCAAGGTCGTGCCTGCTGCGCTCCGCCGAATGTGCTCGAGCTATGGGGTGCACGGAGCGCCGGAGATGCGTCGGGCTCGTCTCAAGCCGCGGCTCGCTGTCGTGCCTGGAGCGGGATGGCTTCGTCTCGCGGCTGCTTCTCTCCACCGCTGCCGCCGAGCTCCTCACTGACGCCTTCCATCTCTCCCCACTCCCTGCTCCGCCATGTCTGCCTCCGCGCCCTTCCCATCTGCCGACGGCAACGATGCGCCCGTGCCGGTCGACTACTCTTCAGGCATCGCCAACCTGCCCAACCAGGTGCGTGGCGCTGCCGCTTCCGCTGCACGCTGAATCAGTAGATTGCTGTGTGCCTGTGCTGTGCTGATGCGTTTGGCTTCCTTCTGCAGCGGCACAAGATCGTGGCCAAGGCTGGCGGCCACTTCACGCTGATGGTGGTGGGCGAGAGCGGCGTGGGCAAGACGACGCGTGAGTGCAGGCGCGCGAGGCTGGACGGATGGGCCAGAGGCAAAGATGTGGGATAGTGATAAAGACTCGTGCTGGCGTCAGGCAGAGAGGGGCTGCCACGATGAGAGAGACGTCGCGTATGCCGAGCAGCTGCCAGGCAATCCCTGCTTGCCGCACTCTGATCGCACTCGCGGCCGCTCACACGCCGCGCCAGTCATCAACACGCTCTTCTCCACCGAGCTGGCGACGGGCAAGGACCACTCGCGGCGCCATGCCAAGCAGCTCGACAAGACCGTCGAGGTGGACATCATCAAGGCCGAGCTGGAGGAGAAGCAGTTCAAGGTCAAGCTCACCGTCATCGACACGCCCGGCTTTGGCGACTACGTCAACAACCGCGACTCGTGGACGCCCATCGTCGACTTCCTCGACGACCAGCACGAGATGTACATGCGGCAAGAGCAGCAGCCGGAGCGCAAGGAGAAGACGGACCTGCGCGTCCACGCCTGCCTCTACTTCATCCGCCCCACCGGCCACACGCTCAAGCCGCTCGACATTGAGATCATGAAGCGTCTCGGCACGCGCGTCAACCTCATTCCCGTCGTCGCCAAGGCCGACACGCTCAGCCCCAACGACCTGGCCATCTTCAAGCAGCGCGTGAGTTGCTGCAGCGGATGCAGCGTTGATGCTGCAGCACTGACCTCTGTGCGCAGATCCGCGAGGTGATCGCGCAGCAGGGCATTCGCGTTTACACGCCCCCGATTGAGTCGGACGACGAGGCGTCGGCGGAGCACGCAAAGACGCTCATGGGCGCCATGCCCTTCTCCATCATTGGCTCGACGCGCGACGTCGTCACCAAGGACGGCCGGACCGTCAAGGGCCGCGACTACATGTGGGGTGTGGCTGAGGGTGAGTGCGAGAGATGGACGCAGGTTTTGGAAGGGTGTGGAACAGCATGAAAGGCGGATGCTTGAGCATGGAGTGCGGAAGGTCAAGCATGGTGCCCGGGTGCAGATGCTTGAGCTTGGCGCCCGGCTACGTGGGCCGCCGCTTCATCCCGGAGCAGAATCTGCGACGGTCGGGAATCCCCGGTGGCACGCAAGCAGTGCCGCGTAGAGCGCTGCGACAGCGTTGTGTGCGCCTCAACACGCAGCCCAGACGCTGTGCCGCCATGCTGACGCTCCCTGCGCAGTCGAGAACGAGGAGCACTGCGACTTCAAGAAGCTGCGCTCGCTGCTCATCCGCACGCACATGCTCGACCTGATCAACACGACGGAGGAGACGCACTACGAGGCCTACCGCCAGGCGCAGATGGAGACGCGCAAGTTCGGCGAGCCCAAGGTGAAGAAGCTCGACAACCCCAAGTTCAAGGAGGAGGAGGAGATGCTGCGCAAGCGCTTCACGGAGCAGGTCAAGGTGCGTGTGCTGCAGCGATGGCCGTCTCTGGTGATTGCTGCTGACACTTACCGCTCTTGCGCACAGCTCGAGGAGGCCCGCTTCCGGCAGTGGGAGGCACACCTCATCGCCGAGCGCGACCGCCTCAACCGCGACCTGGAGCAGGCACACAGCGTGAGTGCCTCAAGCAGCGCCGCACCCTCTGTCCACCTGGCTCACTCTGTCTCCGCCTGCAGAACATCAAGCAGCTCGAGGCCGAGCTGGACTCTGCCAGCGGCTACCGCTCGATGAACCAGGCACCGCGCCGCTAAGGGTGCCCTGCTGGGCAGACTTGATATCTCGCTCGCCACCGTCATCGTCTCTCCTCCTGCCATGCACTGCCGGCGAGGCAGCGAGACTTGGCGTCCGAGTGTCGAGCTCTGCCCGTGCTAGCTCTGGTGCGCTCTCGTCATTCACGTTCCATGCCCCTTTTATGCCCTCTCGAAGCCTGCAACGATCGTTACTTGACTCTCTCCTGCCTTGTGCTGCTCAGGATAGCTGCTTGTCCACGTCGACGCTGCCGTTCACGCCGAGGGGCTGTGACGCGATGCTGCTAAATGCGGAGCACTTTGTGCCACCTCCGAGGCCCAAACGAGTGGGCTGAACACAGCGCGCTCGGAGCCGCGGCCTGGCTCGCGGCCACAACACGGCGACTCGCCAGGCCGCGCCCCTGTGGGCGCAGAGCAGAGCTCTCAGGGGCACATCGGCCCCGACGACCCGCTGAGCGAGAGTCTATCGCCTGAGTGCGCAGCGATGGCGCCTGCTGCTCACTACTCATGGCTTGCACCCACATCCACAGCATCATAGACACCCTCGCATCTCACTCGCGCCAGCATGCAGCTCTCCTCGTCAGTGACAACTCTCGCGCCGCTCGCGGACGCCAGGCACGCCGGCTGGGCGGCAGCGCGAGGCGCACCTCTCGCCGAGCAGCAGCTCAACGTGCAGCACCACAGCTTCTCTCCGTCTGCGAAGCCAGTCGCGACGGCATGGCCACGGGCACCGCCAGCAGCAGACAAGCAGCCTCGCTTCTCTCTCTCGCAAGAGCTCCCAGCGCGGCCAGCCGCACCGCTGCCGCCGATGCAAGAGCGGCCAGTGAAGCGCGCACACTCGGCTCCCGTGGTGCGCTGGTGGTCGCGCGGCATGCAGGTCGCCGTGCACATCATCACCGCCGACACAAGTGAGGCTGCGAGGCCTGCGGCACCGTCACTGTCCGGACGTGCTGCCATCGAGAAGCGCGGGCACAAGCGCAGCTTCAGCACGTCGAGCGAGCGCAGTCGCCCGGCCGTTGCGAGCGGCAGCCGCGCGACGTCGGCACCATCAAGCGACCATGGCAGGCCGGTCGTCTCTCGTCGCAGCCCCGCCGTGGCTGCACGCCACCTTGCAGTGCCAATGAGCACACTCGCCAGCGACGACGCTCGGCCATCGCAGCTGCGCCGGACGCAGCTGCTCGTGCGGCGCGGCGCCGAACTCGTGCCGGCCGGACCGCGCTCGGGCGTCGTGGCGCAACGCTGCCCTCACGAGCGTGGCGGCCGCTGCCCGCTGCGCCTGTCGCGCACGGCAGCCACCCTCAGCAGCGCCATCGCACCCAAGCAGTCCCATGCTCCACTCGACGCAGCCGGACGACGTCGTGATGTTGCAGCCAAGACCCGCTTAGAGCGCCAGCGCCCGGACGGCCACCTGCGCTCCTCCTTCTACTATTCTAGCGCATCAAGCAGCGACACACGCAGGTCGTGGTATGAAACTATCTAAGCATTGTCCCAGGTAAAGCGGCGGCTGGCGCGCGGATGCTAGGCGGGCTGAGCAGACGAGAAACAAGAAAGGGCGGCAGGCTGCGTCCGGCAGCGTGGAGAGCAAGGAGCGTGGGGTGGAGCATGCGAGTCCGGGAGTGGGGCTGTGGATGTGTGTCGGAGAGCGGCAGCTAGAGAGACCGGACAAGGCGGCCTTGCCGCACGTAGAGCATCATACATCGAGGACGTGTGACCTGTTGTACGGGGCGAGGAGAAAAGGAGCTGCGAGAAAGTGTATAGACACGCGGGCCAGGCCCAGTGAGACTGCGATGCGTCGAGGATGCGGTGACCGTTGGAAAGAGATTCTGGAGCAGGAGAAGGGAACGGCGACGAGAGGGAGCGATCATTGGAAGAGTGGCCGCCGGCTGTTGCCGCTGTGGTTGTCGGGCTCGCGCCGGGCGGCGCCCTGGAAGCGTGGCGACTCGTCGCCCCGTGCCGGGTAGTAGCCGCCGTTGGCGCCGCCGAAGCGTGCTGGTGGCTGCGCGGCGGCGAAGACGCGCGGCGACGAGTCCTCCATCTCGATGGGGTAGTGCTTGCCGACGGGCGACTCGAAGCCCGACGCGGCGTACGTGCGCGGCGTGTCGAAGCCGGTGTCGGAGAAGCCGCGCGGCGAGTCCCAGGCGTTCTGCGCCGCCGCCGCCTTGAGCGGCATCGTCGCCGAGCTCATGTTCTGCGCCGAGAGGCGTGCACGGCGCTTGCGGTCGCGCCGGCGCTTGCAGCACACGCACAGCGTGATGAGCGAGGCGAGCGCAACGACGAGGAAGACACCGCCGCCCACGCTGATGCCGATGATCTGCTGCTTCGAGAGCACCTCGTTGTTGCGGAAGCCGCTCGTGGCGCGGAAGGTCGGCGCCGTGCCCGAGACGGTGCCGTCGGCGCCTTCCGTGATGCCCTCGGCCTGCAGCTTGGCGAGCGCGTCGCATGCCTGCTGGTCCACCACAGTGTTCGAGCCGAGCACGGCGCCGAGGTTGACCACGATGGCCTGGCTGTCGCGCACGTTGACCGTGAACGAGCCGGAGCCGTCGATGCGGATGCGCTGGGCGGCGTTGCGGTCGACAACGACCGGTGCGCCGTTGGCCGTCTGCTCGTACGAGATGCCGTTCCAAGTCGTGTTCGTCGTCGAGTCGGAGCCGGCAGCCGTGAGCGTCGAGACGTACACCGTCTGGCCCTTCCACTCCGGCACGGTGATGGCAAAGGAGATGGTGCCCTTGTCGGTGATCGTCTCGGACGAGGGCAGCGTGTTGAGCAGCACGATGGCGTTGAGGTTGGTGCGCTGATAGATGCTGTAGCCGCCCAGGCGGTTCTCGTAGCCCGACGGCGGCGAGATGGACAGCGGCGCCACGCGCGTCGAGCACGTCGTGCCGACGAGCTGGAACACGGCGGCAAAGGCGTAGTACGACGGGCGCACGTGCGGCGGCGAGCCGTCGATCGGGTGCACGATCGGCTGCCACGGCGAGCCGTAGGAGATGTCCGTCAGGTGGATCTGCACCGACGAGACCTGCTGCGTCGAGGCGAACAGGAAGAAGTTGAGCGTCCAGAGCGCGTTGGCTATGAGGAGGGCGTCAGCTGCGGCACACGAGAGCGTGCATTCACGCCGCAGAGTGCGGCTCTGCAACGCTGCAGGGTTGCACTGGACCCTGCCGCGCGACCGCTCGACACGCTACGCCACCGCCACTCACCAAACGTGTCACTGATGCCCTGGATGCCACCGGGGCCCACACTGCCCATCTCGCGCAGGAAGTACGGCTTGCCGGTGATGAGCGCCTGCTGCGCCTGGTTGCTCCACTCGTTGAACTGGCGCACGGTGCGCGAGAGGTCGAGCAGGTAGCTCGTCGTCAGGTTGAAGCTCGACACGCCGACGTAGTAGAAGTAGTCGTGCTGGCTCCAGCCCGCCACGTACACGCCGTTCTCCACGGCAATGTTGGTGTTGACGAGCGTGTCGATGCGGTACTGGTGGCCCGTGTTCGTCGCCGTCGTCGCCGTCGCGGCCGGCTCGAAGAAGTTCTGCGAGATGTTGCGCGGCTGCAGCACCTGCCGGTAGAGGGCCTGCGCGTGCTCGCCCCACTCGCCTCCGTAGTCGTAGACGGTGTACGAGCTGTTGCGGTACTGGTTGTAGATGAAGAGATCCGGCTCGTTGCCGATCTCCATGCCGACAATCTTGACGCGCTTCACCGAGTCGAGCACCAGCTCGGCCTGCTGGATCATGCGCGCCATCGAGTCGGAGCCCTGGTACGCCAGGTTGAGCTGGTACGTGATGGGCGTGCCGAGCGGCAGGTAGTTGTCGAGCGCCTCAAAGTACTTGGGCCCGTAGAAGTAGCCGTCGGTCTGCGCGTCGACGCGGCCCGTGCCCTGCGGGTTCGGGTTCTTCTGCAGCGTGTACGTGCTCACGGTCGGGTCCCAGAGCATGTTGTCGCCGGCGTTGCCGCCGAGGCGGATGTGCGGCGGCCTGCCCGTGTAGTTGCCCAGGTTCTGCAGCAGCTGGTACGTGAGGTCGTTGCGCGTGTCCGTGCCGGTGAAGGACAGCAGGTTCGACGGCTCAATGCCCATGCCGCCGTACGAGGGCGAGAGCGTCGGCGAGAGGCTCTGGGCGCCCGTCTGCTTGTACGGGATGCCGCTGATCGACACCTGCGCTGCGGCGCGGGCGGCCAGCGACGAGACGCCGAGCACGAGCGCCTTGCGCCATGACGGCGAGCGCCGCGATCGTTGCGAGGGCATCTGCGCGTGGATGTCAGCATGGCTGGGGCGCATCCGCACGCACACACGTGCGGGCAGGAGCCGGGCCGCCGCCACGCCGGCAGCTGGTGCCGGGCACGGCGAGCAAGCGCCGAGCGTGCTCACCTTGCAAGGGCTGAGAGGCTGCAGAGAGGAGAGAAGCACGCCGAGCTGCTTGCGCGGTGCGGCAGGCTGCGAGGCGAAAGGCGGGCGTGGAGGAGACGCAGGTGGCAGCGGGCGAGAGAGGCGACGGAGACGCGGCGGCGCTGCGAGAGCGTGTGGGTGGGAGACACGAGAGAGAGAGAGCGAGACGAGGCGGAGACGAGAGCGAGAGGAGAGAGCGCTAGGCGGCACGGAGCGGCCGTGCGAGGGGGGCGAGGGCGATGGTGGAGCGGAAGGAAGGCGGCGCAGGTGCAGGTGCGGGTGCAGCGGGCGGTGCGGCGTCGCCTGAAGTTGCTTGCTTGCTTGCCGGCGCTTGCCTCGTTGGGCGGGCGCTGGGAACAGACGCAGGAAGCGAGATGCTGCAGCGTGCGTCGGCGTGGGCAGCAGCAGCGGCGGTGCGGCAGCGGATGCGGGCTTAAGATGGGCGGTGGATGGTGAGTGGCTGGAGGGACAGGCTACGTCGACGTCGGGTGTGCTTGTCGAGGAGGCCGCACCGCGCGGCGGCGGCAGCGCGAGAGCGGCACGGCACCCGAGCAGTGCAGTCGCCGCCAGCCAAGCCCTCTGCTGCGCGGCCCTGGCAGGCGTGCGCTTGCGCTGCTGGGCTGACTTGCGCTCGCAGGCGCGCCGCCTGCCTGATCTGCGAGGCAGCAGCGCCGCACCCTGCTGACCGAGCGCAGGCGCAGGCACTCGGCCGCAGTGTGCGCGCCGGCAGGGTTTTTGGCGCACCGCCCACGCCGCCGCCCCCCGTCAGGCTCGCAGCGTGCGGCAGGCGGCGTGCTTGCTTCCGCCTGCACTCTGCGCGCTTGGGCCGAAAGTGGCTTCGGCCGCCGCCGCGCGCTGCTCGCCTGCCGCCGCGTGGGCGCGGCATCGCCCCCGGAGATGCGAGGCCGAGCCGGGTCTCAGAACCTCGACGCGGCACGCCGGCAGCGCATGAGGCACGCCGCGCCGGAGCAGCCGCGCCGCGTCCCGCATGGCAGCTCCTCGCCATCACGCCGCTCGCTGTCGATCACCGAGAGCATCTCACGCCTGCTCCACCTCGCCGGCCCCTCTCGCAAGGGTCGGTGCACGCGAGATCTGCAGCGCTCATGCGCACGCGGCGCCCGCGTGGATGCGTGCGGCGTGTGGGTCGCCTCTCGGCTGAGACGCATCCTGCGGCGCTGGAGCACCGCGGCCTCTGGAACGGTCACACGCCTCGTTGAACATCGCCAGCGCACGGCATCTCGGCTCGCCAAACACCTCTCCGCACGCGCGGTGCGGGTGCTGCGCTGCGTATCGCAGACAAGCTTTGTCCTCTGAGCTCTGCGCTGCCAGCGCGCCATCCAGCGCTGCTTCCATGCAACCGCCGCAGCCGCCCGAGGTCGCTGCGGCCCGTTGCGTGTGCTCGTCCCGAGCCGCCGGGGCGGCAGCGGCCTGGCCTGCGCAGAAGGCGAAGATTCTGGCGCAGGAGCGGCTTCTGTCCGCGCACACGGCGCGCACGCCCAGCGGCGACCTCGGCGCGGAGGCAGCGGCGCACCACCTGCCGCAAGAACGCCGTTTGAGTGCACTTTGCGCCCCTCGGCGTCCGCGAACCCCTCTCTCGCCACCCCTTCTCCTGCCGCGCCTTGCTCCGCGCACAACAACGCTCCGGCCGAGCATGCACCTGCAGCTTGGGCCCTATCCGCAGCATGGAGATCTCGCTCGCCCGGTGCTGCGGAGCACGGCCGGAGCATGCGCCCCGCGTGTGCCGTGCACGCGACCTGCACGCGCGGCATGCGCGCTGCCGCTTTGTGGCGCTCTGCCGCCAGCTGGCGAGATGCGTGCGCGCGGCAGCGGAGAGAGAGGCAAGGGCTAAGGTGTGCTTCGCTGCTGCACGCTGCACGCACGGGAGCGGCCAAGGCTCGGCTGCATGTGCGCCGTGCCGTGCCGCACCGCACCGCGCCGACCCCCGACGCCAGCCCCAGCACGGAGAGCAGCCTGCCAGCACGGAGAGCAGCCTGGAGCAATCGCATGGAAGCATCGCGTGCAGGAAGCAGCAACAGGCTCAGGTGCAGGGGAGCGAGCTGCAGCTCGGCACACGCCGTCGCATGCTGGACCGCACGGCAGGGCCCACCGAGATTCGCGCTCAGCCCCTTCATGCTGCCCACCGCACAACACACGCCGCCGCGCTGCGGACTCCGCCGTCCGAGCCCCTATGGACAGGGTGCTCCGGCGCCCGCAGCATGCCAGCGCGGACTCGGAGTGCGCCATGCTGGTTCAGGAGCATGCAGCACGGCTCTGATTGGCAAGTCGGCAGCGGCATGGATGCTCCAGCTTGCGCTCGGCGCCGAATAAGGTGGGCTGTGCAAGGCGACGGCCGCCGAGCTGCTCCAGAGCGGCAGCGCGCAGCGTGCAGCAGGCAGGATGCAGCGGCATCGGGGGACAAGGCAAACGCGGCCCTGCGAGTGTCAGCCGCCAGCGCTCAGCGCGGCAGCGACGAGAGTTCAGAGTTCACAGCTCGGGACGCCTCGCTGCGCCAAGCAACACCCAGGCAGGGCGCGCCAAGGCGAGCGTAGCGTCCCGTCGCCTGCGCGCCTGCAGCGCTGATGCTGCGAACGTGAGAGCAGAGCGGCGCCGGCAGCGGCGCAAAGTGTCCGGCCTTGGCGTGATGCTGCCGACATCGCATCGCTCCTGGATACGGGCTCCGGGCCGCCGCTGCGGGAGCGGGTCCTGCTCAAAATGCACGCCCAGAGCGCAGCTCGCATCGTGCACAGCCTCCGAGCTGGGCGATGCTCGCGCTGTTGCGGAAGCCAGGACGGACGGGTGTGACGTCGACGGCTGCAATGCTGACAGCGAGTGACACGCTCAGGTCGGACGCAGGACATGGATTCATTACACAAAGGCTAGGATGGCGCCAGCAGGGTGCAGCACTGAGCGTGATGGGCTCAGCACGCCTGCAGGGCTACATATGGCGCGCTGTATCGGCCCCACATCTCAGGCCAGGACGATCTTGAGGGTGACGATCTGGAACGGCCGGAAGGCGAGCGCCACCGTCGTCTCGCCGTCCTCGCCGACACCGCAGCGCAGGCCTCGGCTGGCAACATCGACCCACTCGTCCGCCTGCTGCTCAGCAGACGGCGTCGCAGGCTCATCGTCGATGTCGTCCTCGAGCAGGTTCGTGAGCGAGACGGAGGCGACGGCCAGGTCCTTGATGTGCACCGTGGCGCGCACATGCGTGCCGAGCGCCTCGTACATGCGCAACACGATGCTCGTGCCGGCGCCCGAGCGCGCGTGGTAGTCAAAGTCGGCCTCGCCGCGCTTGATCGTCTCGAGCACCACGCTGCCGCCTCTGGGCTGCGTCAGCCGCACCGGCATGCGGCGTGGATACTCGGGTCCGCGCGAGGTGAGCGGCTGGAGGGGCGCATTGAAGATGCGCGCAGCGTGCACCGTGGCGACCGTGAGCGGGCCCTGGTGCGGCAACAGCGCAAAGGCCATCTGGTGCTTGCCCTCGTCGGTGTGCGCGTCGGGCTGCGGCACATGTCAGCAGATGGATCTGTCAGCGAGAGCGCTTGACACTCACGTAGGTTGGCGCCTTGAGCAGCGACAGACTGTGACGCGGCAATGTGAGCAAGAACGTCGGTGGCAATTCAGACATCGGACACTCACCGCATCCGACCTCCTTCGACACTCGCTCCGTATCTGCATCGCTGTCAGCTCCTGCTCCCGCCAGTCTGTGACAGACACTCACTTGCAGTCGTTGAGGATGGAGAGGCCGACGCCGGACTCCGACAGGTCGAAGAACTTGTGGCTGCAGACCTGCGATAGGAGGCATGAGAGGAGCATGCAGAACTGCCCGACGCCGTGCTCACTTCAAACTTCGCTGCGTCCCACGTCGTGTTGCGCGCCTGGTGGATCATGAGCGAAGCGCAGGCGTGTCGGAGCGCCACTGACTCACTGTAGGTCTCTTCGTCACGCCGAACGGCGTCTCGTAGCTCGCCAGATCGGCGCTGAGGACCGTTGGCACTTCGAAGCGGAGGAAGCGATGCTTCTCCTGAACAGGCAGAGAAGTCAGCTCTATCTCATCCGGCTCGCTTGCGGGTGACTGACATGCCAGTCGACCTCGGCATCGAAGCGCAGCATTGCCAGCGGGTGCTGCGCCTCGACGCTCGCAGACGTGGCATCGAGAGAGATGTGCACGACCGCGTGACTCTTGCCGAAGCTCGCCTCAAGGGCGAGCGAGGACCTCCAGGGCCCTTTCTCTGCGATGCGGACGGAGCTGAAAGCAATGTCCGTCGTCGTGTTGAGAGAGTAGACTGCGAGGAGGCACCCGTGGTCAGCAGTGTGCAGCTCTGTCGGCGCAAGCTACGCACTCTCCGTCTCCCAGGCATCGAACTGCGGCGGATAGTCCTCGCAGATGGTCAGGCCGGCTCGCTGTCCGCGCTGCAGCAGCTCCAGCCAGTGGCCATCCGCGTGGCGGGTTCGCAGGCTGCTAATGTGGCCCTTGGAGATGGAGAGCGACACGAGCTCGTTGCGCAAGGTGAAGGTGCCGTTTGACTCGGTCGCTGGCATGCACGTCAGCGCCCATGCTCAGGAAACACCAGCCGGCACGACACCTACCGTAGGCTCTGTGCTCTGGGCCGTTATGACTCGTGGGCCGAGCCTCGCCGGTGCCATGCCCGTCTTCCATCAGCACAAGGGCCTTTGCGCCGCCGTCAAGCATCTGCACCGTCGGCACGCCGGGAAGTGAGGCGAGGCGGGATGCTTCGACCTCGACTAGCTCGCGGCGGCGCACGTTGAGCGCGTTAGTAGCCTTGAGGACGTGACGAGAGCCGGTGGCCGCCTCGTTCGCCTCCTCGAGCAGCTTCGCGCCGAGCTTTGCCGTCTCCTTGTAGATGCGCTCGGCATCGTCGTAGACCAGACGAATGGAGCTCCTGGAAGTGTTGTCGTGAGTGGCAGTCGGCGCACCTCGGGCGCGTGATGCTCACCCTGGCAGCACGTCGTGGAACTGCAGCAGAGCAACCAGTCAGCAAACTTAGCGACAGGCTCGCGACGAGCGGCTGACCTGGCACAGCATGATGTTCTCCCACAGCTGGTCGATCTGCTCCTTGGGGTATTTGTACGTGCCCTTCTCGCGCAGGCTTGCGAGCGTGGCGGCGAGCTCGATCTGCGTCATCATGATCTCGAGCTTGCGATTCCAGCGCTTGATGGAGCCGTGGCTCGTCTGCACGCCGCGATGGAACTCAAGATAGAGATCGCCAGACCAGCGCGGCAGGCGCTCGCCGTTGTCGGTGCTGCGCAAGCGTCAGCGTGCACACGCTGAGGACTCAGCAGAGGCACTCACATCTTCGTGACGTGCTCGAAGAAGTCCTGAGCGCTCTTGCCCACGGTGACCTGGCGCGACCTCTGGATCAGCCGTGGTGAGACGGGGAACAAGCGACATACCTTTGGCATCTCGCTGTGACGCGCGGCGAAGCAGACATCGTCAGCTTGTCGTGCAACGGCAGGCAACGTGCGGCACTGACGTGTAGCCCTCATTGTGTACGGCTCGGGCGCGTCGCAGAGCCTCGAGCTCAGGCGCCGTCGGACCACCTCCTCCGTCGCCAAAGCCGAAGAGGTGAAGCGCCGATGGCTGAACGTTCAGGTTCTTGTCTGAGCAGCTGGTGTCAGTGCAGGCCAGAGCAGGGACCTCACTCGCACGCACTGTTCTTGATGCCGCGCACGAGGTCGCCGACACCGCACTGGCTGTCGTAGTTGTCCTTTGCATGTAGCGAGCCGTCAGTCAGCACTTGGCCTCCGAATCAGGCAAGATGCCTACTGACGACTGGCGTGAGGTGCGTGATAATCTGTGGGACCTTGTCAGCGTTGCACTGCCCAGCCTTCACAGCATCACACTCACCTGCGTGCCGTCGAGTCCGACCCAGACCATTGTGTTGTGCGGGAAGCGGTTGACTGACGGGCGGCACCTCAGCAACAGTCCCGCGCAGTCTCGAGCCAAATGCACCCACCGTTGCTCCAGCTCAGCTTCTGGGTGAAGAAGTAGTCGCAGCCTGCGCCTCGCGCGAGCGCCGGCAGCTGGGCGTTGTATCTGTGCGGCGTCAGCAGAGTGTCACGATGTGCAGGGCTCAGCGATACTCACCCAAACGAGTCAGGCAGCCACTGTAAGACATTCATCAGCACCGGACGAGACAGAGCACTTCCAAGCCACTCACGAAGATGTTTGAGCGCTGCCCGAAGCGGCTCTCAAAGTAGCGCTGGCCGTACAGGAACTGTCTGACGAACGACTCGCCGCTCGGCAAGTTGCCGTCGCACTCGACCCACGTACCGCCAATGGGCTGGAACGTGCCGCGCTTGACGGCCTTCTGCAGCCGCGTGAAGGTCTTGGGATACACTGCCGCACTCGAGTCAGGTACTGCTAGCTGTGCGGCTGGCAGACGCTCACTCACGCTTCTCGAGCCAGACGTACTGCTGCGCAGTCGAGGCAGTGAAGCGGAACTCAGGGTAGCGCTCCATCAGATCGAGCTGCGTTGTCCAGGAGCGCGCGACCTTTTGCTGCGTGGCCGAGACTGAATGGAGAGTAAGCCCACGGGCTGTCGTGCTGCAGATGCTGAGTTGCACTCACAAGGCCACAGCCACGCAGTCTGGAGAGACGTGGAGGCATGGGTGAGCGGATGACCGACGCGGCACATGTCCGACTCACGTCGATGTGGCAGTGTCCGAGGCTCCACAAGGCCGTGTCGTCCCTGTCCTTGCGGTTGCCCTGCTCATACACGCCCTCCTCCAGCTTGTCCCAGTCCTTGCCGAGCACCTCCTGCGCGATGCGCCGGCACTCGCCGATCGTGGCGGGATCGTCCTGCCGGAAAGTGTCCTGGATCTTGTTGGCCACCCAAAGCGCCTTGTTCTGCAGCGGACCGTCGCGCGGCATCTCGTCGACAAGACCGCGCAGCAGCTGAAAGTCCCAGAGCAGTCGCCATGCTGAGTGGCAGAGCAAGTCAGCACTCGAATCACGCTCAGTCACGTCGCGCAGCCTCACCCTCTGCATTCTTGACGACCAGGTCGCAGCTGGCGAGCGTGAAGTAGCGGTTCGGGTCCGGATCGCCCTCGCGCGAGTTCTCGACGCCGAACATGCCGTTGCACGTCACTTCGATGTAGAGCACGAGCTCCGACTTGCGCGCCTTGGCCGTGATCGGAAAGTCGACGCGGCGGTTGCTGTCGTACGCGCCCGTGATGCCCTGCAGTGTCACGCCCTCGGTGTCGAAGATCAGGGCCTGTGAGAGGCAGTGAGCATGCCCGTCTTCGTCAGCGCTGAGTCAAGCGCACCTCGCATCCCGGGTCAAACTCGAGCTCCACCCATTCCTTGTTGTGCCACGCGCTCGGCACATTGATCGTCAGACGGACCCAGTGATTCGTCCTGTCTCGAGCGTCAGCGATCGGCACCAACTAAGGTTGCACTGGCATGTGCTCACCAGCTCGGCCCAAATTGGTCACCCTTCTTAGCCGGCCGGTACACCTGCTTCACCGCTTCGTCGAAGCCGGGCTTCTCGCCCGCCTTTGGGTCCCAGCGCTCGATGCTGATAGCGTCTGACTTGTCCGTGCGCGCCTCGAACAGGACGGAGCTGAGGTTGTACTTGGAGCTGCACACCAACTAGAGTGTCAGCAGCGCTCAGACTTCGAGCGCTTCGCCGTCCGTCGGGGATCGTGGCGCTGCCGAAGTCCTGAGGGTAGCCGAGTGGAGGTGCCATGACTCTTCCGCCAATGAGCCACACAAGACACCTCTGTGACCGCCCTAGCAGCTCTGTGCCATACACAGCCAGCCAGACCCATCTCGTACACCTCGTCACTCACTACTGTCCACCCACGAACTCGCCCAGGCGCCGCTCCTGCACGCTGCGCACGTCGACGCCGTGGACGGGGCGCCGCGCCTCGTCGGCGCGGACGGGGTACGGTGGCTTTGCAGGCGGCATGGCTCGATGGGATGATGTAGATGTGAAGAAATGGATGTATGCTCGCCGGAGCGACGGAGATGCACAGCTCGCTCACTAGAGGGGCCCGTGCCGTGAGCTAGGAGCCGAAGCGGGACGAGCGCGCTGGCAAGAGCCGGCCAGGGAGCAGGCGTGCGGGCAGTGGCGCAGGCAAGCAGGCAGGTCGTCGTTGAGCCTCTTTGATGAGGCGGCGGCGGCGATGGCGCGGATCAGGTGGCGCACGAAAGTGTGCTGGGTATGTCGTGGACGGAAGGCTGCAGCGGCTTCGCTGGCAGATGGCCGGGTCGAGCCCTCGCATGCTGCGAATGCGGGGGTGGCTCGTGCGCCGCGCCGCGCCAACGGAATCCGCGGAGTTGCGGCGGCGTGCAGGACCCTTCCCTCCTGCCTCTCGACTCCCACAACCTCAAGCTACGCTCACTCCGTCAGGACAACAAAGCTCGCGAGACGCGCCTGGAAGTCGCTGTCAGAGATACGGACCCTCGCACATGTGCGCTTGCGCCTCGATGCGCACATAGCGGCGTCGCAAGCGGCGCAGAGCAGCAAGGATGGCCAACGGCCTCGTGCCGGCAGCCGACTTCGAGGCCGCGATTGCGCATCTCGCACTGCAGTCGTCGTTCGCGCCGTCCAGCTCATGTGCTACGCAGGCTTCACGGTCAGCAGCCGCGCCGAGCAAGAGCAGTGCAGCGCGCCCTGCAGCGAGCGGCTCGCGTGCAAGCATAGACTGTCTTGGACCAACGCTTCCCACCGAGCTGCTGCTCCTCGTCGCCTCGCATCTCGGCACGTCAAGCGACCACCACGCATGGCGTGCATCTACCTCGAGCGATGCTGAAGCCTACAGGACGCTGCTCAGCCTCTCAGCCTCGTCGTGCGCCTTACACAAGCTGCTTGCGCCACAGGTATGGCCGCGCGTGGTGCTCGAGCACCCGCTGCGCCTCTCGACGCTGCTCTGGGTGCTCTCGTACTACTCGCGCATGCCGCAAGGTCGCCTGCGAAATCCTGCAGCGCACATCCGATCTCTTGCCCTGCGCTACCCACGACATCTGCCCGCAGTGAACCAGACGGCGCTGCGGGCTCTGCTCAGCGTCTGTGCGCCCGAGCGCTTCGTGCAGCTCGAGTGGGAGGCCGAGGAGGAGCCAGAAGCGCCCACTTTGCGCCTCCTGCTTCCGCCAGCCGTCCGCTCGCTGGCAGATGCCGCACAAAAGGCGGCACGCGCTGCAGTCACCAGCGAGCAGAGCGCAGCTGTGCGAACGTGGGAGCGCAGCGATCGGCCAGGCTCGTATCCGATCAATGGTAGCGCGCAGGTACTGGCTGCGGATGCCGCCCTCGACGAGCCAACTTCTTGCATCGAGCGGCTGAGCCTCTCTTGTGGCATCTTCTGGCCAGGTGAGTCCGCATTGAGCCACGCGACACTGCACCGCTGACAGCAGCTGCAGGGCATCCATACCTCTCCTGGTTCCGCGCTGTGCGTCATCTGCGCCTCATCGACTACGACGGGCATCTGCTCTTGCCCCATCTCCCGCCGCTGCTGCTCGCACTCCGCGCTCCTCTGCTCTCCCTGAGCATGTCCTCGTCCAAGACGGCCGTGCTGCACTCCGACACTCTGATCAACGCCGGCTGCTGGAAGGCACTTGAAAAGCTCGACATCTACGCCGTGACGCCCGAGCCGCCGCTCGACAAGGCGCTGGCGTCGTGCCGCCACACACTTTCAGACCTGCGTCTCGTGCTCGACGTCAGCGGCGCTTTCACGAACTATGATGCGCTGTGGACGTCGCTGACCACGGCATGGCGCTTTGATCGCGTCGGTGACGCCCAGGATTCGGGTGCGCCTGAGGCTGTCTTCCCTGCGCTGCGCAACCTGCAAGTCGATCCCTTCCCGCAGCAGCACACGGCGCCCTCATTCACCGACTTTGTGCGCGCGTGTCCGAACCTCGAGACCATCAACGGGCAGGACGCCGTCACGCTGCGGCTCAAGGGTCTAGAGCTCGTCGACCCGGACCACATCACAGGAGCGCTCGCCTTTTGAACAGCCGAGCTCTTCATGCAGACGTCATGACTATTCTCGCCGCCGCGCCTCATCCCGCCGAGCCCAGGCGCCGCGTCCCGCCTCAAAGATGCCCCAGCCGATGGCGCTGCTCGCTGCCTTGCGCGCACAGCGCAGGCCAAGACCATCGAGGAACGCGCCGGAGCCCTCTGTCCGCCACACATGGCGCGCTGTCCCGAGCAGCGAGAGTGCCTCGGTCGGACCACTCGCTCGCCCGTGTCGCGGATCGGTCTGCAGGCGCGTCTTGAGGATGTCGAAGGGATGCGTGGCCAGCGTCGCCGCCGTGCCGGCCATGAGACCTGAACAGCCGCGACATGAGCCACTGTGCGTTAGGCCTTCGGACAAGCGACTCACCGCTCAGCACCACGACACCTGGATCGCCCGTGCCTCTGCTCCTGCCCAGCCACGCCTTTGCTCCCTCGTACGAGGCCATGTACATGCCAGCGTATGGCGCATCCCGCAGCGCCGTCGCCGAGAAGCCCTGGAAGAGGCCGCGCACGCCGTCTGTCACGTAGATGTGCCGCAGTGCACTGGATATTGACGAGTACGCTTGCGGTGCGAAGTGTGATGACTGGCAGATGCGCGTCAGCGGCTGCTCAAGAGCTACCTGCACTTCCATCTCACCTCGAAGCGCGCCTTGACGACAGTCACAGGGCAGAGGACAAAGCCGATGGCCGTGCGAGCCACAGCACCGGTCACGACGTTACCCAGCGTCGTGAGCTCGGCCATGGTGCTGCTCTGGCCCGCTCGTTCGGGCAGCACCGGCCGCGTCGGCAGCGACAGCAGCGGTATTGAGCTCGTGGAGAAGATGCGCCGCAGCTCCGTGACGGAGTAGAAGTAGAGGGCGACGCCAGGTACGTTGCTGCCAGGACGTGTGTGAGCTCGGAGCTCGCCATGCGGTCCAGCGTCATCAACTCACCGCACCACCGTCGGACCAGTGCCGCGCCACAGGCCCTGCACGCCTTCGGTGCTGACGACTGTGCGAGCCGTGCGCAGCAGACGAGCCGTGCGCCCTTCACGAGTGCGCGAAGTGGACGGATCGGGCGCTTGCTGCATGCGCGTCTTGAGCAGGTCAAGCGGCTGTAGCAAGAGACACGAGGCCAGGCCTGAGGCGCCGCCCGAGAGCAGTGTCGCATACGGCGGAATCTTGCGCTGAGCAAGAGCCAGGCATCAGCAAGCGGCGCAGCAAAGGAGTCGAGGCTACCGGTAGCGCTCTCGAACGAGGATGCGTGCCTCCTGCTTTCGCCGCAGACCAGCATGCTCACCTTTGGCTTGGCCGCGAGACGTTCGAGCGCCTCCTGCGCCCGTGCAGCAGCGGCCGCGGACAGGCTGGTGGCGTCCGCCATGATCGCAGCAAGCGAGCGTGGCAAAGACGACGCGCGGACGGATCAGAACAGAGAGCCAGTTGACGAGCCCTGTCCTGAGGCAGTTGCTTGGCGAGTGCCGGGTAAGGCCCAGCAGGCCCGCGTGGCGGCGAGTGGAGGAGCGCCGGAAGAACGCAGCGGCGAGGCTGTCTGAGTGCAATCCACCTGGAGCGAGAGGAGCGATGCAAAGGAGCAGAGCGGACTGGAAGGACGGATGAGGTCGAGGTGTCGGGCACTTGCAGCAGAAGGTCGAGCAGAGAGGCGAGGAGTCAGAGGTGCGAGGCAAGAGGGCCAGGCGCGAGCAGCAGGTGGAGATCTCGCGGTCGCTGCCGCGCGCGGCTGCTGCGCTTCCTTCCCGCGGCCCGACTCCCGGTGCGCCCGGCCCGGCCGCTGACATGAGCCGCCCGAGCTGGGCGCTCCTCGCGCCTACACCCCCGCCAGGCCTCCCTCTGCAGCACGGATTTGCTGCTTTGCTGCGCTGCACAATTCGAGGCCGGTGCTCAAGACAGGACGACGGGCGCAGTGATAACCAGCAGACCGAAAGTCAGATCGATCTCGGAGGCCTCACATCGAGGCGAGGGCGGCCGATGCTCTCACCCGAGTCCCGATGCACCGCCTGAGGTCTTTCGCTTGCCCCACGACTGGCGCAGCCGGCGAGGACGCACCTCGAAGCCCAAGCGAGCGGCCGGGGCGAGCGAGCAGCATTCAGACACGACAGCGCCTGCCTGCTACACGGCTCGCGAAGCACGAGGTGCACCTGCAGGTGCGTCGGCCCGATGCTTCGGCCCGATGCCTCGCCGAACCGTCATGCGGCGCGGCGCGCGCAGAGGGCGCTGGCAAACGCGTCCAGCAGACGAGCCAGCGACACGCAGAGGCTTTCTGAGCCTTCGCGGCCGCGGTGCTGACAGCACGACGAGAAGACACACACGGTGCCAGTTTGCTCTGCTGACGGTGCGCTCAAGCCGCCAGCACCAGTGAAGCACCGGGCATGGCCGCCCACGAGGCGGGAGCCGTGTCGGCAGCGGCGGGCAGCAGGGTCTGCGCGGCTCCTGCTCCCATGCAACTGCGCACCGCTCCTACGCGGGGACGCGCATGCGTCGCGCATGATCGCCCGATGAGCGAGTATGTGAGCGATGCTTCGGCCGCTCCTCAGATGCTGCCCAAGGGGCGGCGTCGCATGCATGGCCTCGCTCGCTCCGACGCTCGCTCCGCCACACCAGATGCAAGGTACGGCGTAGGCTCCGAGACGGCAGCACAGGGAGCTCCAGTCGTCAAGAGGCAGCACAGAGGAGAGCAAGGGTGGCCCCTGTCGGAGGCCGAGAGCGGGCAGCCCTGTTGCTGCGCAGCGGCATCGCACCATAAAAGAGCGCCCTCTCCAGCCGCAGCCGCTCGCAGGCCCATCCGTGACCAACAATGCGCTTCTCTTTCCTCCTCGCCGCACTGGCGCTCGTCGCCGCTCCGCTCGCCACCGCATCACCGGCGCCGCAGCGTGCAGCGGCCGACTTCTGCGCCAGCTCGAACCGCGACCCGCTGCTCGCCATTCTGCGCGACCCGCGCATCCAGCCGCAGGCCGCCGCCTTCTGCCGCGCCTTCATCCGGCGTCCGAGCGTCGTCACCAGCACCGAGACGGTGCAGGCCACCGACACCGTCTCGACACGTCCGCTGGAAGTGACCACAACAACCACCACCGTCGTCGCCACCGAGACGCCGCAGCCAGTCACCACAGTCGAGACTCTGTATGATGTCGTGACCGTGACTGAATCGTTCTACAAGTATGGTATCATCGATTACGACTGCAGGTCAGTGGTCAAGGCGAGATGAGCGCATGCCTCGGCTGATTGATGGTCTCCCCCGTGCCGCCGCAGCCAACGCAGGGAGTACGAGGAGCGCGCTCCTGCCGCGCTGCGGCCGTACCTGAGCCCCCAGAACATCGGCCGCTACGCGGCGCGCATCTACAATGGTGAGCCGACGCAGAGGACGGCAGCATGACCGAGTGTCTGACGCAGCCGCAGCCTGCGGGTGCATTCTCGCGCCCACCACGCGCACAGCGACGCAGATTCAGCGCGCGACAACGACGGTGCGCACGCATGCGGTACTGGTACAGACGCTGCAATTACTCTACTCACTCGCCTCGTCCCCCTCAGATCACGCTCGAGCCCACCTCGACGGAGACGATGACGAAGCTCATTTTCGTAAGTGAGGTCGGCTGCAGGGCTGACGAGCTCCGCTCAGACGACACTCCCGACGCCGACCGAAACGCTCACCACCACATCCGCGTATACGGTGACGGATTACACCACTACGACCGTGAGCTACAGCGCGGCCTAGGATGCGGTGACGAGGAATGCTGCGTGTTTGGTGTCGCGCGACGGCGCCCGGGTGTCTGCCAGGCCCAAGAGATGCATCATGCCCCATTTGCTGCCTGTGGCGTCCGCCGTGCACTGCGTGCGTGGCTTGTGCGTGGCCGCCGGCTAGCGTCTCGTTCCTCGCAGTAAGGCGCACAGAACGGCCTGCCGACAGGGCATCGACGCAACGGCGGTGGATACGGTGCATTGAGTGGAGCCGAGCGCGCTGATGAGGGATGCCGAGGACGCCTAGATGGAACCGCGCGCGCGTAAAAGACATGGGGCAGAGACGGAAGCGAGAGGGGTCGGGGCCGGGATATGATTAGGGAAGCGTGCTGCTCGCCGGGCTGAGAGGAGGCGCCCACAGAGCGCACGTCTCGCCGCAGCGTCGTCTAGATGGTGGTGCGCGAGGTGTGATGAGCGGCGTTATTGCCCGGGTGCCGGACATGGCGGGCCGGGGAACTCGGAGTCGACGAGGTCAAAGTACGGGTGGTTGAGCGCATCTGCGACTTTGATCCTGCGCCGTGAATGGTGTGAGCCTGCATCGCGGCACTGTGGACGTTGCATGCTCACCGTTGCGCCGGGTCAAACGCCAGCAGCCGCTGCAGCAGGTTGAGGAAGCGCGAGTTGTGCTTCTGAAACGCCGCTGGCCCGCTGACGATGTCCTGCAGGCGCTTCATGCGCTTCATGTAGCGCTTGCTGTGCGGCTGCGTCTCCTTGTTCGGGTAGTGCACCTGGCCGCCGTGGAAGTAGTCTGGCTTCGTCGACTCGGCCTTGCGCCGGTAGTTGTCGGGCATCGGCCCGAGCACCACCTCCATCATCGCCAGATGTCTGTCGCCGCGGCATCAGCAGGTGCTCGCCTGTCACTCGCTCGCGCGACTCACTCGAGGTTGTCGTGCGTCTGGAAGAGCGCGTCGCCGGTGAAGAACTCGACCAGGATGCAGCCAATGGACCACGCGTCGCACGGGAAGGACCAGCCCATCTCTGCGCCAGGCGAGCGCGTCAGCCAGCCGTGCCTCCAGTGAGCTCAGCCGCAACTCACGCAGGATGATCTCCGGCGCGCGGTAGTGCCGCGTGGACACGACCTGCGAGTGGTACTCGTTGTCGAACGTGGCCGAGCCAAAGTCGATCAGCCGGATCTCAGAGTTGCGCAGCACGCGCTTGCGCCGCGCATTCGGCCGCTGCAGGAGCACGGGTCAGCAGCGCACGCTTCGGTGCGGCGCGCGCGCGCTGACCTTGGACAGGGCAACGACGTCCGCCGTGCTGTCGACGAGCAGGATGTTCTCCGGCTTGAGGTCGGTGTGCACGAGGTTGAGGCGATGCAGGACTGAGAGCGTGGTCAGCGAGGTGCCAGGACGCTCGAACCGCGACGCCGACTCACAGGCCACGCTGCGCAGCAGCTGCTTCGCAAAGGACCAGATATGCCGCGGCGGGAACGACGCAAACTGGTTCTCCTTGAGAAAGTCGAACACGCTCTGGCCGAGCAGCTCGGTGACGATGCAGACGTGGTTGCGATAGTTGAACATGTCGATCAGGTGGATGCACTTGCTGGAGACGAAAAGGCGGTGAGGACATGTCGCACGCGTTTGCAAGCCGGGCGCCAACTCACTTGTCGTTGTTCGGGTCGTGCTCGCGCAGCTTCTGCAGCACGCGCACCTCAATCTGGCTCGCATCGCGGTACTTCTGCACCGCACGGATGATCTTGATCGCGACGTAGCGCCGCTTTGACCGGTCCCAGCACTCGACGACCTTGCCAAACGTGCCCTGACCCAGCTGCTGCATGATTTTGTCTGTGCAGAGGGATCAGCCGAGGCGCGAGCGCCGTCGGCGAACAGGCACACTCACAGCGCTCAGTGACGTCCTCGCCCTTGCGCACGATGAAGTGGCCCTCTTTGTCCGCGACAGGCAGCGACTGGATGGCGACGCGTGCTGGCCGCGGGGGATAGTCCTGCTGCGGCACCTGTGCGGCGAAGTGAGCTCATGCCCATGCGGCGCCCAGCGCGGCACTCACCTCTCGTCGTTGCCGCGACGCATCTCCGGAATCATACACCGCAGCGGCGGGCGCGCGTGCAGCTGCGCCGTTCGCATAGGCGTCGAGAGCGCCAGACGTCGACGCGCCGAGTTGCGCGTACTGCCGGTCTGGAGGATAGTCTGCTGCGCTGGGCACTGGCAGTCCGCCCGTCGCCGGGTCCTCTCGCCGTCTCCGCTTCACGTCGGCGCCGAGCGCGCCGTCTGCTGGTGGATACGCAGCTTCGTCGTCGTCGAGCGCGGCCTTGCGCTTGGCCTTGACGCCGGCCGTCGCGTCGAGCTCGGCGTCGTCGGGATGATAGCGCGCCTTGCCGTTGCCCAGCGCCGCCGCGGCCCGCGTCGTCCGGCCGGGTGCGGCAGGATAGCGCGAGTAGGAGCCCGCATACGCATCGGCGGCGAGCGGCTGTGCCGGCGGCGCATCGTCCTCCTCGCCGTCCGAGATGAGGATGACCTCGTGCTCCTGTGTGGAGGGCGCGGCGCCGGTCATCAGCGTCGGCTGCGTCGCGAGCGGGTCAGGATGTGTGGCCGCATTCTCCACACGGCACCGTGCCGTTGTCTGATGCAGCGCAATGTCTGACTGGCAGCAGAGGCGCGGCGACGCCATTCGTGCTGCGGCGTGGGCCGGAGCGGCGCCAGCGACGCGTTGCCTGCGCCATCGCCGCGCGCCGCAGCGGCGTGGAGATGGCGCCGCCGCGCCGCCGCAGCCGCAGCCAGCAGCCAAGCTACTCCACTCTGCCGGCGCGCAGCCGTCTCGCATCCCTCTCCAGTCCCTGGCACGGCGGCGAGGCACAGATCCACGTGACGCAGCGAGGGCCACATCGCAGAGCAGCACTCACCCGTCCGCCGATGACCTCGCGCACGCTGGCGGGCACGCGTGTGTTGTACGGCCGGCGCGGCAGCATGGGCGCGTCGGCGGGGTTGTACGCCAGCGCGCCGGGCGGCAGCTGCGGCGGCTGCTCGGGATCGTAGTGCAGCTGGTGCGACGGCCCCGCGGCGGCGTGCATGTGGCCGTTGGCGGCGTGAGAGGAGGAGGAGGCGGCTGCGTTGAGGGCGAGCGCGTCGTCGAGGGCCGCAGCGCCGGCGCCGGCCGCGTCGGGCGCGGAGCGGCGCTGCTTCTTTTGCCGCGGCAGAGTTGCCATTCTGCGGCCGGCGAGGTGTGCGAGAGAAGCGGGTGGTGCTGCGCGGCTGCGAGAGCGAGACGTGGGTGTGGAGAAGAGAAGCCTGCCGGCGCCGTCGACGATGACGCCCTCGACAAACGGCAAGAGCAGCAACGGCTTCGACGCGCGCGCCGTGTGTGAGGCGCGCCGGGCGTGGCGCGGTGGGCGCGCCGCGCGCGCACCGCGGGAGCTTGCGGCCCTCGCTGCTCTGCCGCCGCTGCTGCTGCGCTGCCGTGCCGCGGCGTGGGGGCAGCCTCTCCTCTGCGGCACAGCAGCGCCGCCGCCCGCTGAAGGCCGCCGCCGCGCGCTCCGCCGCTGATGCCGCAAGCGCTGCTGATGCTGCTTTGCGCGCCGCAAGGCAAAGCGATGATGCAGCGCGCGCAGTCGAGTCCGCCCCCGCTGCCGCGCCAGCACGACGTCTCGGTCCCTCGTCAGCACAGCGCTGAGCAGAGCGCAGCAGAGCATCCTCGGTGGGAGCACGAGAGGCCTCATCATCCTGATCTCTGCTCGCCAGGGCAGCATCGCAGCACCCGCCGCTGCCAATTCCGCCTTGGCCTAGGTCGCAGGCGCGCAGCCAGACCAGTGCAGGAGCTGCTTCGCGGCGGCCAGGCACGCCCGACAGCCCGTCGCAAGTGGCCGTCTCGCCTCAGGGGCTGTGACTCTGATGAGTGCAACAGCAGGGCAGATCAAGCAGACAGGAGGGGCCTCCATGAGCCCCATGGCGCAGCTCATCTGCGGACGTGAGTTCCGACCCTGAGGTGGGACAAGGAGCGCAGCCAGCAAAGAGATGCTCGAGCCGCGCACAAGACGCAGAAAGCGTTCACCTCCAGCGACGACGGCACGACTTCGCTGCGTCTTGATGCTGGCTCTGCGTTCGTCGCAGCACGAGCTGACCAGGCAAACGTGCGAGGCTTGCTTGCCGCTGCCTTTGCGAGGTGCGAGGGGCCGGCTGCGAGAGTGGAGGTGCGCTGTGCCTCCCACGTGGCGCTGCTCTGTCGCCTCTGGCGGGCGCGCCCGCCGCCCGTCTAGGCCACAGGCGGCCGCGGCACGTGCCGCTGGGCGTCATGCGGCCGCACCGCCGCCGCCTGCGCTGCGCCGCGCGCTATCGCCGCACCAAGCCGGGAGCGCCGCCTGCCTCACATCCTATCACCTCGACCTCGCGTGCCGCACCTCCGTGCCGCACCCTCTCACCCCGTCAGCCGGCTGCGCACTGGCTTGCGCTGCTCTGCCGGCGCGTCCCTCTCTGCCGCCGCCATGCGGTCCCGCGCCTGCCACGCCCGCGCGCTGCTCCGCCTGGCCGCCTCGCATGCGCCCGCCGCATCCGCCTCGGCGGCGCTGCCGGCCGCTGCGGCCGCTGCTCGCTCATCGGCGGCAGCGTCGCTCCACGTCAGCTCCTCGAAGCTCGGCAGCGCCGGCGCCATGATGCACAGCGTCGCCGCCGCGCACTCGTCGCCCTCGTCGCAGCGCCGCGCCTACGTCGCGCCGGCCGACTCGGCCGGCCGGCGCCGCGCTGTGCGTCCGTCGCCGTCGCGCCGCCGCTCCTCCTCGGCGGCCGTCGCGTGCGCTCCCGAGAGCCCGATGCAGCCCAGCGCCGCCGCCTCGCGGTCGCGCGGCGCTGCCTCTGCTAAGGGCAGCGAGACGCTCGTGCTTGCTGCGCCGCCACCCTCCTCGCTCAACGACGTCGCGCTGCAGTCCTTCTTCTCAGTGCACCGGCCGCTGCTGGAGCACTCTGTCGTGGCGCCGACTGCTGATGGCAAGGGCTCCTCTGGCTCCTCGCCGCGAGTCAAGGAGATCGTGGCCGACATGATGAGCAACTCAAGCAAGGCCAAGGGCGCCATCATCGAGATCGCCGTGCCCTACGACCAGACATGGCCCCGCGCGCTGCGCAACATCGAGCCGCAGCAGTTCTCCAAGCTGCTCGAGCGCCTCTCCAGCCCCATGCGGCCATCATCGACGGTCGGCCTCTCTGCCCACGTCTACCGCGAGGCAGCGCGGATCGCTGCCGACGAGCGGGCGCGCGCCGACCGCGCCGACGCTGTGTCTGCTGCCATTGAGCGCGGCGAAGACCCGGCGATTGCCGAGTCGCTCGGCTCCGAGGCCGACCTCGTTGTGCTTGGCGAGCCGGACGGACCGCACAAGGACTGGGCGCCGGGCGTGGCGACGTACCTGGCCGAGCACACGCGGGCGTTTGAGGCGCCCGCTCCGCCGACCGTCGGCGCTGTGCCGCACTCGGGCGCGTCCATGCGCGTCTTGTCGAGCGAGGAGCAGGAGATGGAGGCCATTGCTGCTCGCCTCACGACACTCTTCCTGGACTCGATGCGCGGCTCTGCCTCCTCGGGCAGCTCCCAGGCGCTGCACCAGGACGACGACGAGCCGAACCTGCTCCTCTCGCACGCCATGGTGCAGGCCAGCCTGCCGCGCGCCCTCTCGTGGGACAGCGTGCTCGCCAAGATGAGCGAGGCTGCCGGCACCGAGCCGGCCGGCCCGGCCGTCAACCTCAGCGCGCTCAACGCCGACCTGCTGCCGCGGCCCGTGAGCGTGGACATGGACAGCGTGCGGCGCAAGCGCAAGAAGAAGATGCGCAAGCACAAGTAAGTCAACGCGTGCCCCTGCCGTGCTCAACGCGTGCTGACTGCCGCTCCCAGGTACCGCAAGCTGCGCAAGGCAACGCGAGTGGAGCGCCGCCGCCAGAAGACGTAAGAAGTGAGGAAGCGGAGCTCTGCGCACCGCTGGAGACGATGCCGTGCGCAGCTCCGGCAGCAAATGAGATAGAGACACAAGTGGCGAAAGCGCGGTGTATGGTGGGCGGCATTTTGCTGCCGCCGGCCGATTAGATTGTTGCTACAGTCGAGGGTGACGTCGGGCTCGTTCGCTCGCTGTCCCGCCTCACGCCTTCCAGTCTCCCGCTGCCGCATAGTCATCGCCCGTGTCCGGCGCCGCCTCGATGGCCGCCAGGAGCGCCTTCTGGCTGATGCCCTTGCCGCCGCTGCGCGCGCCCTTGCCCTCGTCTCCGGGCGCCGCTCCGCTGCCGAAGAGGTCGAGCACCTGGTCCGTCTCCATGCTCTCGAGGCCCGCGTTCTGCTGCGTGACGACCGAGTTCGCCACGTTGAGCTTGAAGCGCTGCAGGCTGTGAAGAGCGGGAAGACGTGGTCAGCGAGTGGAGCGCAAGGTCAGCTGCACGGCGGACGCACCCCATGATCTTGGCCTCGAGCGTGTCACGCGTGATGAGCCGGTACACGTTGACGACCTTCTTCTGGCCGAGGCGGTGCGCGCGGTCCATGGCCTGCAGGTCCTTGCTCGGGTTCCAGTCGTGCTCCACGAAGATGACCGTGTCGGCGCCCGTGAGCGTGAGACCGAGGCCGCCGATCTGCGTCGTGAGCAGCAGCACGTCGATGCTCGGGTCGGCGTTGAACGTCTGCACGATGCCGTGGCGCTTCTCCGCCGGCACGCCGCCATCGAGGCGCATATACGTCACGTCGGGCATGTGGCTGCGGAAGAGGTCGTGCTCGATGATGTCGAGCATCTGCTTGACCTGGCAGAAGATCAGGACGCGGTGCTGCGCCACAGCCGCCTCCGCCGCTAAGGAGTTGGCCTCGCTCGAGCCCGCCACGCCAATGCCGCAGTCGTGCAGCAGCTGGCGCAGCGCCGTGAGCTTTGGTGCGTGGGCGATGTCGCGCAGCGAGCCGCCGCTCTTGGCCAGCTGCTGCTCGATCTCGCGATGCTTGGGCCGCGTCGGGTCGAAGACGAGGCGCGGGTGGTTGACGAGCTTACGCAGGTACTGCAGCTCCTGGAAGACGTGGTGCGTCGCGCCAGTAGACGTGCTCTCTGCGCCGCTCTGCCCGTCGAGCGCCGTCTCGAGTTCCTCGCGCTTCTGCGAGCGGCTGTAGTCGTCGTAGAGCTGCTTCTGCACGGGGCCGAGCTCGCACTCGATGTCCTGGATGATCTTTGGCGGCAGGTCGTCCAGCACGTCGTCCTTCAGCCGGCGCAGCAGGAACGGCAGCACTTGCTTGTGCAGCGCCTCGAGCGCGAGCGCAGCTTGGTAGGTGCGCGTCAGCAGTGCCGTCTCGCTCGCGTGCGGTGTGACTCACCAGCCTCCTGCTCCTTGGCATTCGACTTGCCTTCGCGCGTGTTCGAGATCGGCTTACCGAAGCGCTCGTTGAACGCGCGCTCCGTGCCGAGGAAGCCAGGCATGAGGAAGTCGAACAGGCTCCACAGCTCGAGCACATTGTTTTGGATCGGCGTGCCGGAGAGCAACAGGCGGTGATGTGCGCGGATCTGCTTGACGGCCTGCGTCGTCTTCGTCTTGCCGCTCTTGATGATGTGACCCTCGTCCAGGATGCAGTAGTGCCAGTGCACCTGCGACAGCATGGCAATGTCGCTGCGCACGGCGTCGTACGAGGCGATGACGGCATCGTGGTGCTCGATCTGCTTCGCCAGGCGCGCCCGCTCGTTCGGCTGCCCGGCGTACAGCAGCGGCCGCAGGTTCGTGGAGTACTGCTTGATCTCGTGGAACCAGTGGCCCGTCAGCGTCGGCGGGCAGATGATGAGCGAGGGCAGCGGCGCGTTGTCCGGCGTGCTGGTGGCGGCGTAGCGCTGCGCCCGCTCGAAGTGCTGCGCAGACAGGATGCAGATCGACTGCAGCGTCTTGCCCAAGCCCATGTCTGCGGATGGACTGGAGTGAGCTGTGCACATGCTGCGCAGCGCGTCCTGACGACTCACCGTCGCAGAGAATGCCATGCAGCTGGAACTTGGCGAGAAAGGCCATCCAGCTCACGCCGTCGCGCTGATACGAGCGCAGCTCGGCGTTGATCTTGACCGGCAGCTCGTACGGCTCGACCTTGGAGCCGTCGAGAAGCTGCGCCAGGAAGTTGCGATCCGTCTCGCGGCGCTGCATGAGCTCTTGCGAGAGGCCAGGAGGGTCCGGCAGACCGGCCTGAGGGCAGATGGGGTCAGAGAGGCGCGAGAGGGCTGGCCACAGATGCTCACCTCCAGCGGGATCATCTTGACGAGCGATGCAAACGTGTGCGTCGCGACGGCGCGGACGGCGTCGTCCGAGTCGCTCATGCGACCGAGCACGGGCACGATGAGGACGATGACGTACGGCAGGAGCTTCATGTCGAGGCGTCGCACGAGCTCTGCGAGTAGCAAGCAAGCGCAAGTCAGCTCCGAAGCCGCACGGCTCTAGCCTCAGGCGTACTCACGAGACAGAACTTCGATTGCGCCCTGGCGGTGATGCACGTTGTGCATGTCTGCTACGAGCGGCAGGATTGCCTGCACGATGTGGCGCATGGTCACTTCGGCCATGCAGTCGGCCATGGTGCTCAACGCCTTGGCTGCCGCAGAGCGCACGACCGCCAGAGGACTCTGCACCGCGCGGCTCAGCGGGTCGAGCAAGGCAGAGGCACGTTCTTGCAAGCTCGCGTCCAGAGACGGCAGGACGACTTGGATCAGCGTGCATGCGTCGAGCACGCCTTGGCCGAGCGACTCGGGCATCGGCGTCGATGCGCCGAAGGCGTCGAGCAGCGCAGCTGTGCTGCAACTCCACAGCGCCGGGACGACGTCGAGGAGAGCGGGCCCAAAGCGCGCAGCCAACGTTCTGAGAGCGATCTCGGCGCCGCGTCTGATGAGCTTGCTCTGCCGCACCTCATCACTCTCGGTGGCTTCTTCCTGACGCGCACGACCGCGCCCCGCTGGTGCCGGAGGCGGCTCATCGTGCGAGAGGATGCCGTCCAGGCGCGCCTTGGTGCTGTCGAAGATGGGTGTGTTGCTCGTGTCCTGGCAGACGAAGGCGCAGAGATTCTTGACGATCTTGTCTGAGGGGTTCGTGCGCGCGCCAGGCTCGCTGCACAGCTGGATGAGACTGACCACCGAGGCGGCTGCGCGCGTCTGCAGCTCGAGGTTCTCTTCGAACTGCAGAGGAAGGATCAGAGAAGCGAAGAGAGCCCTTCACCGAGAGACTCACCTTCACGGCGTTCATGAGGCTCCTGATCACCGGATTGAGCTTCGCAGGGAGTGTGCCGAGCGCGACGACGGCGCCGGCCACGCTTGCAAGCAGCTGGTTGTCCTGTTGCTCCTTCTGCGTGGCGTAGAAGCCGATCGCCACGACGAGGCGGTGCCGTCGCTCTTCGGCCGCTGTCGTGCCGGTCTCCAGCTTTGCCTTGCTCAGCGTGCTGAGAGCGAGCAGCGCGTCCAGGCCGGCTCCCGCGACGTGCTTGGCTGTCTCGATGGTGAATGCACCGGCAGAAGCGCCTGTCGCGTCGACCTTCGAGGGCAGCTCCGGCACCGAGGCTCGCGCGATCTTGAGGTCTCGCGCCGCGGTACTGTACAGCGCCTGGCAATCGGCCTGGATACGCTGCAGCATCACGGCCATCTCGGTGTACGTTGCAGGCGTGGGTGACTCGAGGATGCCGATTAGCTGCGCCGCGAGAGCCTGCGCCGAAGTGCTCGTCTGCGCCAGTGCCATGCCCCGGTCCTTAGACGACTCAGCCCAGCGCTGGATCGTCACTGCTGCAAGACAGCGACGCAGGGCTGCGGGCGACGAAATGTACTCGGTCAGCAGCCGCTCGAAGACTGACGAGTCATCGCCGGTCGTCCAGAGCGCCATAGCATCTCCTAGCGCCTCAGCGGCGCCGATGCGTCCTCGAATGACCGTGTCGACGCCGATGAGCGTCAGGTCCTGCGCAAGCACGTGCTTGTCGATGTTATGGTTCTGCTTGCTCGATCTCGTGGCCTCGAAGAAGAGCGTAAAGTCGAAGGGAGAGCCGAGCGGGGTCATGAGGATGCGGAAGAGCCGCTCGACGTGTGGGCCCAGAATCTGACTGAGCGCCACGTCTCCGGAGCCCAGCGCCAGCTTCCAGGCCTTGGCGCTCAGCTCACGGATCGGCGGCTTCTCCTCGACGATGAGGTTTTGAAAGAGCAGACGCATCAGGGACGCGTCGATCCAGTCGCGCGGCAATGAAGGGTGCTCGAGGAAGACACAGAGCGCGCTGAGGACCGAGAGACGCACGGACGTGATCGTGTGCCGGAAGAAGGGGAAGAGGCGTGGGATGAGACTCGACAGCGCAGGTGACGCCGGAGCCGTGAGCTGGTCGATGACGCTCTGGTGCTGCACCAGCTGAGCGAGCAGGTTCATGACGCCGCCGATGCTGCTGGCGAGGTCGTCCTTCAGGTCCTCGAGGCAGCTCCACAGCTGCGACAGAACGCTGGCGAGCTCAGCGGTCATGCCGCCCACGAGATGCTCGACCGCCGGAATCAGCACCTGTGCCGCGACGTGGCGTACGTCGTCGTCCTCATCGCGCAGACTGCGGAAGGTCAGCGCTGCCAATGGCTAGCCCGTCACAGCACTCACTTCAGAATTGCTAGCTCGACACTGTCACGCAGCAAGGCAGTGGGCTGCGCACTGCTCTTCTCGTCCGACATTGCATCGCTTGAGCTCAGCAGCAGGTCGGCGCGCACCGAGAGCAGCCACTTGAGGCCCAGCAAGCCGGCGTGACGGACCTCCCAGGCGTAGCCCTTGTACCGTCGGCATGCCGCAAGGCCGCTGCTCGGCTTGATGTCGGCCTGCTGGCCCGCCTCGGTCACCACCCAGTCCTGGCGGACCATCTCGACGAGCGCAGCGTGCGTCTTGAGAGCCTCAGCCTCGGGCATGGACTTGAGGAGCGACGCAAGCGCCTGCGCGGCAGTCTCGCGCACGGGCGTGACCACCTGGTCGAAGACGAAGTCGCCGAGCCTGTCGAGGCAGAGTACGGCCAGCAGACGGATGGACATGTCCGCGCACCAGGCGGCGTGCAGCTGCACGTTGCCCTCGCGCGACACCGACGGAGATGATGACATGCCGCCGCAGCTGCCTTGAGTGCTGAGAAGCGAGCGCAGACCGAGCGCTGCGCCATGCCGCACCTCCCACTTCGGCGCGAAGAGATCGGCGAGCAGGACTTTTGAGAAGAGATCGAACGGCCACTCCTGTTCGGAGGTGGCGAGTGCGGCGTGGTCGACGGGGCCATCCTCGGCCTTCGGAGAGGCCATCTTGCCGCTCCAGGAGGCCGTCTGCGTTCGCATTCCGCCCGACGGAGATGATGCGCTTGTCGATGAGGCAGCGTCAAGCACTCGCGTCTTGCTCTCCGGTGCACGTGGGGCGAGATCCTGCGAGCTGCCGCTGGGCGCGATCTTGCGCTTGCGCTTCAGCTGGTTGCGCTCGCGCGCGCTCAGCTTGCTGAGGTCGATCTCGTCTGTCGGCGCGGACGGCGCAGGAGGACTCATGGGCGAGGGCGCAGCAGGCGGCTTTTGCTCGGCCTTGAGCGACGTCGACGCTTCGCTCATCAGCTCCTGCTCGACGTCCAGGCCGAGATCCAAATCCTCGCCCGCCATCGCGCCCAAGCCAAGCTTCTTCATGTCCTGCTTTGCCGAGGCGAGACGCTCTGCGACGCTGAGGCTGGAGGATGCATCGTACTCCGAGCCTGCCGAGGACAGCAGCTTCTCGCCGCGACGCAGGACGCCTTGCGGCGAGAAGGCGGCGAAGGTCATCAGGTCCGCCGGCGGCGTGACTGGTGCAGCAGCCGAGAAGTCCTTCTTCTCGTCGACGAGCTCGGCCGCGAGCGGATCCCAGACGCCGCATGCCGCGCAGATGAGCTCGATGGCGCTGCCGGCGGCGATGCGCGTCTCCCAGCTGTTGCTGCGCAGGAGGGGCATGATGCGGTGCAGCAGGTGCAGCGCCTCGATCCACTCGCCCTCGGTGCCGCGGTAGGCGCAGCTCGTGTCGGCGGACGACGACGCTGCGGCCAGGTTGGCGCGAGCCGCGGCAGACGAGGACGACGTGCCGGCGAGGGCGCCGTCGCCACGGCCCACGCGCATGCCGGCGATCTGCGCCAGCTGCCGGGCCGCGAGCGAGCGCACGGCGGGCGTCGAACCGGTGTCGAGCAGCGTCACGAGCCGGTCGAGGCCTGCCAGAGGTGTTAGCGCCGGAGCGGGAGGTGGGCCTGCGGCGATGCTCACGGCTGTTGGCGCCGCCCTTCTGCGGCGCGGCGACAGGTGCATTGCTGCTGGATGCCGCAGCTGCGGACCCGGAGGCACGGCGCGGCGGCATGGTGCCTGCTCCTGCTTGGGGTGCCGTTGCTCAAGGGGCACGGCCCCTGGTGCTGCACGGTGCGCGCTCTCGTGCGGGGAAGTAAGAGTCCGGGCGTGGCTTGAAGCTTGTGCGGCGCTCCGCGTGGGCTGCTGTGATGCGCGGCCGGCACGGCGAGCCGCAGGGGCGCGGCGGTCCTTATGTAGACCGCCCGCTGTCTGCGCGCGCTGCGGCCGACACGGCTCAGGTGCCTCGCTCAGGAGGCCGGCCGCCGCGCGTCTCGCGAAAGCGTGTCGGGCACTCGAGCAGTCTGCTGCGCCGCACCGCCGCGACGTGTCGTGCCCTCTGGCGCTGCAGCAGCGCCGCCTCGCCGGCCACAGCCTCAAGAGCGCCTCTCTGACGGCCCGCTCACGTTGATGAGGCTGCGAGCTGGCTCCGTGCAAGTGACATGAGAAGCTCGGATCCACATCCAGAAGTGCTGAATGGGATACAGCCCACAGGCGCAGTCTACGTGTCGACCTGGCGCGGCGGGGGCGCCCGAGGCGGCTGGGCGTGCCGCTCCAGAGCAGATCCGGGCCTCCGGGCAGCGGCTACATCGATGCTTGACACGCGAGGATCGGACTCTGGGCTGGCTGCGAGACCGGTCACGGCCGACACATCAAGTTAGCACAGAGTAGCGTAGAGCGTCGAATGTGATGTGCCTGCGGCGTTCTGAGCTCACGCTGTGAAGCGAGAGAGGGATGCTTATGACTCTGCTCCGGCACGCACGCGAAGCGCTCCCGGCCTCCGACGTGTCTCGACCACGACCAGACCGCGCCTGTCCAGCCACGAGCCCTATGCGGTGCAGCACCAGCTACTGCACGCGCTCGAGACAGGAATAACGGTGCACATATCTGCGTCTCCTGCGCTCGGCCGGCCCCTTGAGAGGACACAACGCGGCCGTGGACAGAGGCGGTCTGCACCGCGCACACGTCTTCAGACCGCTGCATCGGGCCGCTGGCAGATCGGGCCGAGAGCACAGCACAGGCACAGGCCCCGAGCGCTACTGCTGGGCTCGCAGCAGCAGCTCCTCTCTCCCGAGCAAGTCGCGAGAGGAGGGACGCTTCGTCTGTTGGTCGAGGCGGAGGGCAGAGCGGCAAACGCAAAGACGCGAGACGCAAAGCGGCAGCCGCATCATCTTGCAGGCGCCGCGCCGCCGTGCTCTCCTGCGCGAGCAAGATGCGCCGCGGGCGGAGCGTGGAGTTGGCGGTACGGCCGCGCGCCACACACCAGCGTCAGACAGCCGCAGCGCCTCGCTCTGCCTCTCGCTGCACCCGCTTTTCGCATGCCAACGCTTGTGCGGCGGTGCAACGTCGGAGCCGGCGGCCGCAGCGGCAGCAGACGTGCTCGCGCTCGACGATCCCGAGGGCCGTCGAGGGGCCGGCGCGTGACGAAGCCCTGGATATTGCACTCTGGGCATAGAGTGCCTCGCATCTGATAGGCGTGGCGGCGAGAGACAGGCCGACGGTGTGCAAGCGGCGCGCGGGAAGCGGATGCCGCGCGCGCGAAACGAGATGCGGCGCGCGGCGGCTTGCGGCCGGCTCGGCGCTTCCAGCCCCAGCAGCAGCACCAGCGCAGCGGCGGCGGAGCGCGACGTGCGCGGTGTGGAGCGGCCGTGCCGGCGTCTGCGCGAGATTCGTGCGGCGCCATTCCTCCGACAGCAGCAGAGAGCGCATGCTCCAGCTAGAGCAGCATCGCAACGTCGACTGCCTTGCAGCCACCACCACGTTCCTTGCTCCACGCTCCGCCGCAGCTGCTGCACCGTCTGCCACCCCCACATCCCGGCGCCGCGCAGCCTGGGCACCTCCAGGTTCCCGCCTCTCGCTGCTGTCGCTCTCACCACCATCGCAGCCCTAGACCGCCAGCATGGCACCCTCGCTGCCCCACGCCATCCGCATCCGCCGCACCGACTCGGGCTCCGTCGTGTCCGCCGGCGGCGCTGCGGGCTCGTCGCGGCAGCAGCAGCAGCGGCAAGCACCCGCCGGCTCGCTGCAGGGCGGGCAGCCGCTCGCCGGCTCGCGCAGCCACTCGCTCGCGCCCGCCGCGTCGCGCCACAACCAGGGCCGCCGCGGCAGCCTGCCGCTCACGTCGCCCTCGCACTCCACCAACGAGGAGGTGCGCTGGCTCTCCAGCCACGGCGGCGCCGCGCAGGACGAGCGCGTGGGCATCGAGATGCAGCTCGCCGAGCGCGCCATCCGCGACGAACACCGCGCCTCGCCGCCGAGGAGAGGCGCCGCCGACGCAGGCGCGAGCCGGCAGCCGACCTTTGTGCAGCGGCCAGTGGGCCTGCGTCGCGGCTCCAGCCGCACGTCCGTGGTCGAGGCGATGGTCGCGCGGGAGCGACGCGGGTCCGCCGACGCGACGGCAGGCACATCCAAGGCGCCGACTGAGCCGGCACAGCGGCCGCGCGAGGCTAAGCGGGCCGCTCCCGTAGCGGCGCCGAACACGCTGCATGCTCTCGTCGAGGGCGAAGAATTCGCAGGGCCCTCGTCACACCGCCACGCCGAGCAGCCGTCGAGCTCGTCGCGCAGCAGTGCACACGTTGACGATCAGGAGGACGACGAGCCGCAGGATGCCGAGCAGAGCAAAGAGGGCGCAGATGCGAAGCGGACAGGGCCGTCGGCTGTGCAGCGCTGGGGTAGCATCGCCAGCTTTGGCCTGTGGAATGGCGAGAAGTCGCAGCTCAGCGACGAGGAAAAGCAGCAGCAACAGCAGCGCCAGGCCGACGAGGCTGCGCGCCAGAGGGAGCAAGAGCATCACGACGAGGAGATTGTCGACTACGTGAGTGCTGCACGCCCGTGTGACCCAGTCGCTGGTCCTTTCACTAGCGTCACTGCTGCTCGCGCCTCAGCTGCGAGACCAGGGCTGAAGCTGACTCTCTGTACCGTTCAGCTCGACGTCGTCGATCCGGAAATCTCTGCGCTGGGCTATCTGAGCAACGTGCAGAACAGCATCTTCTTCCCGAACATCCCGGCGATCTCGCGTGGCACCTTCTCGCTGCCGAGCGTGCCAAAACGGCGTGACGGGCCCGGCGGTAGCCTAGCCCGGCGGAGAGGCAGCACAGCAAGCCGGAGCACGATGCTTACCGCGCCGGACGAGCTTGCACGAGCTGAAGAGGGCGAGGGCGACGGGCGGCAATCGCTGCGCGCACCCACATTGCCAGATGAGGATGCCGCTGCCGCACCACAAGCATCAGACTCCGACTACTCCAACTCCGTACACGACGCCGACGGGCGCAAGATCCCGCAGCGCGACGGCAGTCTGGCAGCGCGGCGCGGCTCCGCCATGCCGACGCTACTGTCGCGCATGAGCAGCACGCTCAGCGCCGCCTGGCCGCGCAAGGAGGAGGATCCGGAGAGCGAGAAGCACATCGCCAAGTGGAAGGAGATGGACGAGGACGAACGCAACGCCCTCGACGAGCACGTGCGCTTCCTTCTCACGCGAAGGCAGAAGTTCAGGCGCGGCCTCAAGGGCTTTGGCAAGTTTGTGCGCACGCCGATGGGCTTCATCATGACCACCTACGGCGTGCTCATCACCGGCTGGGGCATGTGAGTGGGGGCACGGCGTGCACAGAGCGGACAGCCACTGACTTTGCTGCAGCATGATCTGTCTGTTCATCTTCAGGTGGATCAACCCGCCGAACCGACGCTACTGGATCGAGATTTGCGATCAGGTGCTCTGCGCTCTCTTCGCTGCTGTCGGTCTCGGCTTTGCTCCGTTCCGTGCCATCGACACCTAGTGAGTCGCGAGAGGACGCGACGACGTGCACAGCCGCTCATGTGTGTGCCGCAGCCGCATGATCTACATCGCGCACTACCACCACCTGACGTGGCAGCGGCGGCGCAATTTGAAACTGCCGACGCTGGAGGATCCAAACGACCTGCCGCGCCCGGTTGCCAATGGCGCCAACCAGGTTGAGCGCGTCGAGTCGCACGACGTGCCACACGACGACGATGCGAGCAACTCGTCCAAGCGGCCAATGGTTGTGCGTGACAACAAGTTCCACACTGCATCGCGCCACACGTCCGAACACGATCGCACGCCTCTGCGCGTACCCGAGTCGCCGCAAGACGGGCACAATAGTGCCACGTCGCTGCACTCGCCAGGAGAGGAGAGCAGGGACAGCGGCCCGAAGCGGCCGCCGATGAAGCGCAACACGACGATCCAGTCGGAGATCATCAAGGAGGAGGAGGACGTGGTGGTGCTGACGCCAGAGGAGCAGAGCAAGCTGGAGCACCACCAACGCAAGGTGAGCGCTGCCGTTTGCGTGCCTCCTGCATGTCACTGATGCATGCACCTCAGTTCCACGCCTCGCACACGTACTACCGCTTCCACGAGACGTCGACGCACCGCGCCTTCCCGGTGAGTGCCGATGACCGCTACCGCACGGCGTCTGCTGACGTTCGATCATGGCAGCTGGACCTCATGATCGTCATCGTGTGCCTCCTCGATTGCCACTCGCTGCTGCAAGCGACGCTGTGAGTATACTGGCGCTCAAGGGAGGGTTCCTTACTGATGCCAGACCTTCAGCGGCGGCTGCACGTGGGGCATCTACTATCTCAACCGGCCGACCGCCTTGACCGCCACGCTCATCACCTGCTCGCTGAGGCGAGCACATCTCACATGCTGCGCAAGAGTGCAATGCTGACCGCGACACCTCTCCACAGCTGCAACGCCGCGGCCGCGATCGTCATGAGCGTCGGCACGAAGCGCACAAAGAAGCGTGAGGAGGTCGAGCGACGTCTGCGGATCGCACTCGAGACCGAGGCCTTCGAGATCATGCAGGAGCGGCAGCAGATGCAGGAGGTGACCGGCACCCCCGCCAAGCCGCTGCGGGGCGTGTCCACCATGCCCAAGGCCAACACGGCCGCGTGATGCGACTACATTATGCCAGGCCCGAACGATACCCGTGCGCCCAGCTTAAGCGATATGCGACGACATGTCTATAGCAATGAACGATAGCGCCAACATGCGTCGCCGAGCGCCCGTTGCAAGGGCGCAGATGGGTCACCGGTTCGCGCGGACGTAGAAGTGCGGCGCGAGCTCCGTCAGCCAGTCCTGCGGTGGCATGTGAGCAGCGCATCAGCGCGCGAGGGAAAGGGTGCGACCCACCTCCTCGACGACGGTCAGATCGCGCATGAAGCGCTTCGACGTCTCGACGACCTCGTGGAAGACGACGTACTTCGTCGGCGGCACGCGGCTGAAAAGCACCGAGGAGGGATGGACGTGCAGCACCTGGACGACATCGTCAGCGCAGCCGCGGCGAGACCGTGAGAAGGCCCGGCTTACTGCGTTCTCGCGCACGCTGCGGTACGAGCCGTCCGGCTGCACCCTCGCTGCGTTTTTGAAGAACCCAGCGGCGATGCACTTGCGTAGCCTTGCGCCGTCGCCTTCGCACGAGACGACGTCGATGCCGAAGCGCTGCAGGTACTTGAGCAGCTGGGCGCGGATGTTGACGGCGCGGCTGAGCGCCTTGAAGTTCAGCCGGTGCTGGCCGCACCACTTGGCGCTCTGCTTGCCGTGCCGCGAATTGACGAAGGCGGCGTACACGTTCAGCAGCGTCAGGTGGTCGCCTTCCTCAGCTGTGAACTTGCGCCGCTCCAGCTCGCCCTCTGCTCCGGCGCGTGACCGTCCCTCGTCTGGGATGATGAATGGCGTCGACACCGAGGTCATCGCGGCGATGGACAGAATCTCGTCGCTACAGCGGAAGTGCAGGGACTCGAGAAGCTGCCGTGGAGCGGATCAGCCGGCGGGTCTACGAAGAGGCTGGATGACACTGACCACCTTGGCCAGCATTGGGTCGACGGGCAGCTCTGCCATGCGCTCTCCGAGCGGCTTAGTCAGGCGACCCCAGTCGTCCAGCGCGCCAAGGCTGGCGAGGAACTCGAGAGCGCGCACGAGCATCTCCGACGGCGGCGCCGGCGGCAGGTAGGCGAAGCGAGCCAAATTGTCGATGCCCAAAGCCTTGAGCTGCAGCACCTGCGTCGAGATGTCGGAGCGCGCCAGCTCGGGCGGCGTCGTGAGCGGCAGAGCGTCGAACGCTGCCTCGGGAAAGAGGCGCAGGCATTTGCCGGGCGCTGTCCGGCCTGCTCGTCCAGCGCGCTGGTTCGCCGACGCCTGCGACTCTGGCAGAACAGAAAGGGCATCCATGCCGGTGCGTGGGTTGAAGATGCGGAGCTAGTGAGGAGCATGAGCCTCGCACGGCGAGCCCGGATGCACGTTCGACTCACCTTGACGAAGCCAGAGTCAATGACATACTTGACGCCGTCGATTGTCACGCTTGCCTCGGCAATGTTCGTGGCCACGAGGCACTTGCGAGTGCCCCGCGGAGCGGGCTCAAAGATTGCTGCTTGCTCTTCGCTCGACAGTCCTGCATGCAGAGGAAGCAGTGCCAGCGGCAGGGAGCCAGAAGGGAGGCTGTAGGTCGATGAGCATCTGTGGATGGCGCCAGCGCTGCTGCGACTCACTCGACTTGCCGGTCCGCGAGGGCCTGCATACATGCATCGATCTCGTCCCGCCCGGTGAGAAAGACCAGGATGTCTCCTTGCGGCTCCTGCGCGCTTGCAGTATCAGAGAGCGCTCGCTCGTGCAGCACTACGCGTGCAACCCACATTCAGGTGCACCTTCCATGCCGCGTCGATCGCCGCGACGAGATAGTCATCGACCGGCTTCTCGGCGTACGCGATCTGCACGGGAAAGGCCCTGCCTTCGAGCGAGATGATGGCAGCCTCCTTCTGCGGCGGCGCACCCGCCGCATCAGCAAGCGCCTTTGTCGGCTGTGCCAGGTCTTCGTTGAAGAAGTCGGCGAAGGCCTGGGCGTCGATTGTTGCTGACGAGATGATGATGCGCAGAGACGGGCGCTTTTTGCGGATCCTGAGAGCGGTCCGGTCAGCATCAGTGCGGCGCTGCCACACGCTTCTGCTCACTTCTTCAACAGCCCGAGCAGCATGTCCGTGTATGCGCCCCGCTCGTGCGCCTCGTCGACCATGATGACGGAGTAGCGCGACAGGAGCGGGTCGCGCATGCACTCGCGGAAGAGCATGCCGTCGGTGCAGTAGCGGATGCGCGTGCGCGTGGAATGGCTCAGGTCCTCGAAGCGGATCGTGTAGCCGACCTCGTCGCCGAGCGGACAGCCGACCTCGGCCGCCACGCGCGCCGCGACCGAGACGGCGCTGAGGCGGCGTGGCTGCGTGACGGCGATCTGCCGCCCGCCCGCGGCCCAGCCGGCCTCGAGCAGGTACTGCGGCAGCTCTGCGGATGCACATGTCAGCCACGTAGGCGGTACACAGCAGATGAGCGCACGCACGCGTCGTCTTGCCGGAGCCCGTCTGTCCCACGACGACGACTACCGGGTGCTGCTCGACGAGGTACAGCAGCGCCTGCCGCTGCTTGGCGATGGGCAGCCGCGCCCGCTGCCCGGCAATGCCGCCGGCATCGCTGCGGGCGGCCGACGGCCCGGCGTCGAAGGAGCTCTCGGCCTCGCTGGCGCGGTCGAGCGACGAGCCGGGCCGCGCCGTGCCGGGCTTCCAGAAGTGTGGCATGGCCTCCCTGTGCCCGCTGCGAGGGCAGCAGCAGCTGGACGATGACGTGTCTGCCTGCGCCGCTCTCCGAGCTGCTGGCCGGCTGCTTCCGAGAATGTGGCTTCTGCGCCGACGCAGTGCCTTGGCGCTGACTGTGCTGATTGAGGGATGTGGAAGGAAAGGAGGAGTGCGCCGCCTCCACCGCCAGATGACGCTGCGCCCTCGGCCACTTTCGCCGCCGTAGTGGCGCTGCAAGTGCGCGGCGCACGGCCGGCCGTCGGTCGCGTCTTCGCGCCGCGTGCCTCTTGCTTCATTGCGCCCACAACCAACACTCTTGCCCCTCTCCTTCACCGGATAAGAGAGCTGCCAGCAGCAGCGGACGCCGCACCGCCGCACCGTCTCTCGCCTTCTTCACCACACCCCCTGCTGCCCAGCATGGTCGTCATCGATCTCGGCGGGCACCTCTCGTCCGTCGCGCCCTTCATCGCGTGGGCGACGCTGCCGCAGTTCGGCACGTCGCTGCTGCTGCAGGGCGTGTACAACGTGCTGCCAGCACTGCGCCCGCAGACGCCGCACACGGCGCAGGTGCACCACAACCGCGCCCGCGCCGTCATCATCGCCGCCTACCTGGCCTACACGCTCTACTCGAGCGTCGCCGCCGGCGGACCGAGCTTCTACGAGATCCTCGACGTGCCGCTCGACGTCGACGCCGACGAGGTGCCGCGCCGCTTCCGCAAGCTCGCGCGCCTGCACCACCCCGACAAGGTCGGCCCGCGCGGCGAGGCCTTCTTCATCAGCCTGCGCGAGGCCAGCGACGTGCTGGGCGACGACGTGAAGCGCGGCGCGTACGAGCGGTGAGTGAGGGCCCAAGTGTATGCGTCAGGCTTTGCTCATCGTAGTGCGCAGCTTCGGCCCGTCCATCGTGCACTGGCGCGACGTCATCACGGAGCGCGAGTACATGGGCGTGGGCGTGCGCGAGAGCATCCCGTACTACGTGATCAACGCCGCCGTCTTTGCCTTTATCAACTGGATGAATGGCGAGGCGGCGACCGGCTTTGTGAGTGGTGCCGATCATGTTGCGCCCGGCTGCACACTAACTTTGCGACAGTGGCGCCTCACGCTCTTCCTCGTGCTCTTCTCCTTCGAGGCAGCACTGCTGCTCAACCCCACACGGCTGCTGCCCATTCCGCGCTTCCAGCAGATCGCCTTTCTGCACCAGCTCTTCATCTCTCTCACGCTGGCGGGCCGGCAGCTCTTCCCGCTGCTGCCGCACCTTGGCCTCGTGCCGGCGCTCGGCACGAAGTTTGGCCACCGCAGCGAGCAGGAGACGCGCAACGATCTCGAAGAGCTGCGGGAAGCCGTCGTCAACCTGCAGCGCGTCGCATACGCCACGAAGCTCGAGGCGACACGAGCAGTCGGCGAGGAGCTCGCGCCCTTCCGGCCTGCCGAGCGGCCCTCGGCTGCGACGCTGCGCCAGGCGGCCGAGGCTGCCTGCGCCGCACGCGGCCAGCCGAAGCCGCCGGCGGACGCCATCATCATCAGAGAGCCCAGCGCCGGAGAGCAGGCGTGGATGAGTGCCTTCACCGAGGAGCTCGTGCGCAGGCGCACGCTTCTCGATGCAATCGCACAGCAGCAGCAACGGCCCCAGCAGCAACTACTCGCGGCCGGCGCAATCGTCGGACTGGACGGCAAGGCACTGCCGATGCCGCCGACGCAGGCGACACATACCCAAGCGCAGAAGCAGCCGGCGACTGGAGCGCCGCAAGAAGCGCGATGAGGAGCTGCAGACACAAAATGCGATTGAGAGAGCGTTCACGTGCAGTATGGACAGTGAGGCGTGCTTGGTGAAGAGTGGGATATGACGGCCTGTGAGTGATGCGAAGCGTGGTCACGGCGAGGGCTCTCGAGCACCCGCAGCGCGCATCGCGACCGAGCGGATGAGGCCCGCCTCTGCGCGGCGCCTCTCGGGACGCACGAAGCGCGGCGTCTCCTTCGCCGGCGTGTGGACGGCTGTCTCGTCTATGTGCTGCGTCCAGACGTGCGGCGATGCGAGGGCCGGCGGGCGTGGGTGCGACTCGTCGATGCTTGGCAGCCGAAGCGTGCACTGGCTTGCCGGCGAGCCGTTGGCGGTGGTGTAGCCGTCGATCTCGTCGTCGCGCGCAGGCGGCAGCGGGAAGGCGTCCGCGATGACTCCGCCCTTCTTGGCGAGGGAGAAGAAGGGGTTCTCGTCAGTCGTCTCCGGCGGCGACATCGGCCCGCCACGCGACCACAGCGAGTCGTCGGACGTGTCCACGCTGCCGTCCGAGGACAGCAGGAAGAAGAACGGCTGCTCGAGACGCGAGTCGCGCGTGGAGCCGTCCGTGCGAGATGAGACCGTGAGCGAGTCCTCGCGCGAGCTCTGCTCGTGGGACCGGCCGTCGATCGGTTCGTGCCCGGAGTTGGCGACGTCGGCGGAGAGAAGGTCGAAAGATGTGCCCTCTGCAGCCGAGTCTGTCGACAGCGACGAGGCGAAGGGCGGCAGGCGCGGTGGCTCGGCGAGACGCGCGATGCTGCGCGGCGACGGCATGGCCGGCACGGAAGGCAGCCCGGCGGCAGAAGCTCTGCGGCTGAGGTGTGGCGAAGACAGCTTCGCCTTGATCGCCTGAGACGTCTGGGTGAGGCCGCTGATCGCGGCTCGCCACTCTGCCGGACCGATCGTCTTGCGACGCGACTCTCGGCGCGACGAGCGCTTGCCGCGGCTCTTGTGCTCGACGGAAGCGACCGATGAGTCGATGCTGTCGAGCGCCTTGCTGATGGAGCTCGGATCGGCCGCGTCGAGCTCGAGCAGCGCCTTGACGGCGCCGTGCGGGTTCTGCGAGTGCCGGACACTGTCGCGGAGCTGCGCCTGGGACATGTGCGCAAACTCGCGGATCTGCGCTGCTCGCTGCAGCGCCAGCTCGATGGCCTGCTCGAGCGCGTTTTCGTCGCCGCCCCAGACCGACGGCGAGGCCGCGGGGCTCGAGACGATTGACGCAGGCGAGCTGGGATGGCTCAGCGGGCTGAACGTGTCGATCATCGAGCTGCGGCGCCTGTCGTTGGCGCGAGACCGAGCGTCTTCATCGCGGTCGACGTCGGTCTGGGCAGCCAGTGTCATCCACGACGGCACGCGCATTGACGACGGGAAGCGTTTCGGCGGGCCGGGCCGCTCCGACGGCGAAAGTGGCGCGTTCGTGGGGCTCACCGATGACACGCCTGTGGTCTGTGGCGCCGAAGGCGATGCTGGCGGACGCGCCGACGGAGAGATCAGTGGTGCCTTAGCCTCTGCCGCGACCGGAGAGCGCGCGCTCGTGTCGACAGATGTTGGCGAAGAAGGCGATCCGGCAGCGGGCGGCACGCGCAACGCCGGCAGCATTGGCCTGACGCCTTGAGACTGGCTGCCAGGACGCTGACCGTGCTGCGCGAACGAGGCTGCTCGACTGCGAGGCTTGAGTGACAGGCGCACGCTTTCGCGCCCCGAGGTGCGCAGCACGTCGTTGGCACGCTCGACGAGGTCCATGAGCGCCTGGTTGCGCAGCTGGCGCGGATCGTCGGTGCCGTCGAAGAGGTCCAGCTGGTCTGTCCACGCCGCTCCGCCGCCGGGTGATCCGGACATGCTGCTTGGCGAGCGATCATCGACCATCAGCCGCAGCTGGTCGTCGTCGACCGACATGGCCAGGTCGACGTTGTCGTCGATGAGGAGGAGCTCGGCATCGCTGTCGAGGTCACAGCGTCCGTCGAGCAGCTCCTCGAGGCCGGCCTCGCTCAGCACGGCGTAAATGCTGGCACGCACTTGCTCACGACGAGGAGCCAGCGACGTTTCCATCTCGGATGCGGCTGGCTGCTCGCCACTGAGCGCGGGCGGAGCGTCGGCCGAGACGTCGGGCTCCGAGGTGACTTGCACTCGTGGACTAGGCAGAGGCGGCACGTCGAGCTGCTCGGGCTGGGGCTTGCTCTCTGCGGGCACTTTGGAGGGGTCAGTCTTTGTGCACGTCGCGCAAGCCCAGCAATGCTCACGAGATGGTGCCGTCTGCATTGGCAAAGGCGAAAGCTTTGCAGCCCGCGTGGATGCATTCGACGGCGACCTGCGCAGGCTCAGTCTGCGTGGTGCACCCGGGCTGCCGACCGGAGGCAGTGGCACGTTGCGTGTCCATGCGGCATTGCGGCCCGCCGCGCTCTCGCCGCACTCATCGTCCGTGCTTGAGGCATTGCGACCGGCTACAAGACGCTTCCAGACGCCGTCGATGAGGCGAATCGGCTTGGACTGGAAAGGCCCTTGCGCGACGGGCTGCGCCTGAGGTTTGATCGGCGGCGGAACCTCTGCCTTCGGCACGGGTGGCAGCGAACGCTCGCGGCGAGGCGGCGGCGTTCTCGGAAGCGTGCTGCCAAGTCCAGCTGCCAAGTGCGTGGTACTTTCCAGTGACCCGCCGTCCAGAAATGCAGCGTTGTCCGCCGACGGAGCTGACGATGCAGTGGGCTCAGCTGACTCGCCTGGTGCATGCTGAGGCTCTTCGGGCGTCTGCGAGAGCGCTGGCCGTGCTGGACTCGTGGTGGACGGACGACGAGGCGCAGCAGCGACGGATGCGTCTTGCGAGGCGGGATCCGGAGACGGCGGCTCAGCAGAGTTGATGGAGCCGCCCGTCCGGCCGCTCTCGCCGCTGCGTCGACCGAGTTCTCGCTGGTCCTCGAACGGCCGGATCATTGCCGCTCCGAGCATCGCGCCGCGCGAGCGCTTCGCTGTCTCGATCGGTGGTGAAGTCACCTTCTGACAAGAGGCGCAGCATGCCTGTGAGTCGGACTTGATGTAGCGAAGAGCCGAAAGCGGCGGTCTCTCGGGCGGCGCCACTCGCGGCGATACCATCTCGAGAGCTAGCTCTGTCTGTGAGCGCGGCATGGCTGGTCGCGACAACGAAGTTGCTGCGGTCGGCATCTCGCGAGCACTGTTTGCACGAGTCGAGCTCAAGCTCGGACGCGGAGGCGCCAAGGTCGTCAGCTTCTGTGCCGAGTCGTACAGCGACGCCAGGCGCTTGACGGAGGCGTAGTCCGACGGCATGCCGGGCCGAGGTGTGCCGATGCTCGAGTGAGGCGCAGTGGTGAACTTCTTCGGCGCAGCGCGCGACCCTGGTGGCGTGTGCGAATCGAGACCTGTGCGCGCCTTGGGCGTCTGGTAGCGAAGCGGCGCCCAAGGCGGCAGTGCCTCTGAGCTGGCACGCCGCACGGGCTCGTCGTCGAAGTAGCTGCGTTTCGTCTCGTTGCTCGGCGTCTTGAGGGTCTCGATGAGCGGGCTGCTTGGCTCCGCGCCTCGCACGGCTTGGCCATACGTAACGAAGCTTGGGTCCGAGCGCGCGTTGGCCGAGGCAGCGGCGCTGTCGCCAGAGTAGACCATCGACAGATTGCTGAACGGCGGAGTGGGCGGCCCGACACTGAGGCCCAGGCTGCCCGTGCTCGACGGCAGCTGCGACGAGTGCGTGGAGCTCGTCGAATAGGCATCGTTGGCCGAGGGCCTGCGCGGCGAGGCAGTGCTCGAGGCGTACGACTTGGTGAGCTGGTCGACCGATGCGGGCGGCGAAATCGGCGGCGGGGCAGTTGGCAGGAAGCCGAAAGGCAACGCGACGTGCGAGGGCAGTGCCGAAGACGCGAATGGCGTGATGGACGGTGCGAAAGAGGTGGCCGAGGATGCGTGGGTCGATCGGCTGAAGGTGCTGAACGCATCGCTCTGTCCCGACGATGAACTGCGTAGCGACGCAGGACTGCCGTCGTACGTCTGCGGCGAGCGTGAGGTTGCCTCGGGTGCAGGTCGCGGGCTTGGGCTGCACTTGAACGGCGACATGACGTCGAGAGACGCAGACGATGCCGGCGAGGCTGGTGATGCGGGCGAGCCTGGCAGCGGCATGTGTGCCACGCTCCTGGCGGCCCGTGCGGCACGCAAGCCTTGCGGCGGAGGCATGTAGAGCGCAAGCCCGGTTGACGGCGAGACGGGTGGAGACACGGCCTTCTGTGCCGACGGAGCGCTGGCGATATCTGCAGTGCGCGGCGGCGAAGGCAGTGGCTCGCGGCTCACGGTGCTAGACACGGCTTGCGCGCTCGACGGTGGCGACACGCGGCCACTGGAACGGCGACTCGCGTCGCTGAGACGTGTCAGCCTCGGTGACTACGTCAGGGCCAGCAGACTTACACTTTGGGAACACGAGTTGGGTCGAGGATGCGGTCACGGCCCGTGCGAGATGCTGAGCTAGAGCGGCGTCGGCGTCGCGTCGATGCCGTCGACGCTGGACGTGCCGGGCTCTGCGGACGGAGCGCGATCTTTGAGCTTCGCTGCTCGTTGTGCGCATTTGCAGGCGACGAGGCGTCTCTACGCGGTGAAGGCGATGCGGGCGACGCAGGAGACTTGGGAGACGTGGGCGAGAGAGGCGACAATGCGAACGGGTGCTGACGGAAGGCGCTGTCGCCCGTTGGTGCACGAGAGGAGACGGTGGAGGAGTAGGACTGCGAGAAGGAGCTTTGCGAGAGATGCGAGCGTGCAGACGCGGCGTACTGTGCTGGCAGAGAAGGGAGCGGCTCCGAGGGCGCGGGCAGAGGCGCGGCGCTGCGCGGGGAGCGAGAGGCGGATCGACGGCGAGGGCGCGAGACGGGCGGGTCGCGAGAGGTGCTGCTGTTGCTCGCTCCGCTGCTGGCTGCACCAGAGCGAACGGGAGAGACTGGCGAGGCGAAGGGATGGCCAGACATGCTGCTGCCCGCGGGTGCGTGTGGTGAAGGAAGAGGGGCCACGCTGGGGCGCTGCGAGATCGCTCGCGGCTCTTAAGGCGGGCCGACAGCCACCGTGCACGCTCGCCAGGCTCTGCGCCAATGGCTCCCGCCTGGGGAGCTCCCGAAGTGCAGCGGGAAGCGACGCTCACACGAGACATGCAGTCCTCCGAACGCCCGATGGCGAGGTTGCGTCTTGCGCCGACACTGCAGCGGCGTACCAGGCACGCGGCGTCGTGCCGCGGCCTCGCTCGATCCGCTCCATGGGAGCGCGCAGATGATGAGCGGGCAAGCACGCTAGGGTTGAGGTCTCTCGGCCGGAATGCTGTGCGGCAGTACGCCACAGGCGCTGCGAGCGAGGGTCGGCGAGGACCGAGCGACACAATGCATGGAGCGGCGTGCGGCGCAGGAGCGACTTGGGCATCGAGGGGACGTCCTGCACCTGCGCGCGGCGAGGCGGCTCGTTGGCCGCGGGCGAGGCAGCGAAGGCTCTCTGCTTGAGCTCGAGCCGCCGCCTTCATCACGCCGCGGCTCGGCAGCTGGGGTGCGGCCGGGCCACACGCACGCTGCGCACCCACACTACGCCGCGCGAAGCGATCCGAGCGCAGAGCGGCGCGCTCCGTCCTGATCGCCCGGGCAGCGAGGCGAGGCCAGATGCCGACGGCGTGGGTCGGGGTTCTCTGGATGCCCTCGTGCGACCTTTCGTGAACCGCGAAGGCCAGGTCCGCCGGACTTGCAGATTGACGAGGTCGCGGCGTGTCGCGTCCAGCAGCAGGCGGCACGTTTCCGAGCGCTCGCCGAGCCCCGACGCGCGCGAGCAGGCCGAAGGATGTGTGCGTCATGCCGACGGCGGACAAGGGCTCAGCAGGAATCTTCTCGGCAGCGGTGTGCCGCTGCAGCAGGAAATGAGAGAGCGTGTCGAGCGAAGGACGTGGTGGCCAGAAGTAGACCGCGAAAGAATGCCGCACGGCGGCCCGAGCTCTGCGTCTTCGCGGACGTTCAGCCGGACGAGTGGCAGCTTGGCTGAGAGCGGCAAGCCGCGGAAGAAGCTGGAGAATGCTCGAAAGGTGTAAGTACGACGGTCGTATGAAAGCCAAGGCATCTCCAGCCAAGGCGTCTTCTGAAGCCGTCATTCCTGCGCTTCTCGTGCCCGCTTGGCCGTCTCGCCTCGGTCGTCCTGACGCAGCACGTGTGCAGTTGAGAGGATGCAGTCATGCAGGCTGTAAAGACGCAGACTTTCTCGCCTCCACCTCTGGCGGTGTGCAGCGAGATGGAGACGCCATCGTGCTCATGCTGAAGGCGTCGATGGAGCGTAGGCGTGGCATGCGGTCGTGAAGCACGCCGCGCGTCGGCCGTGGCGGAGACGCCGAGATATCTGCCGCCGCTGCCGCCGCCGTCTTTGTGCGGCTTGATGCGTGCTGGCGCTGCTCGCTGTCTAGTGCGTCAAGCGCTAGGCATGACGCTGGCTCGTCTCGGGGTGCAGAGCTCGCCGCTTGAGCGTCAGCAGCGTGCGGCGTCCTCGTCGACGCAGCGCTCTCGTGCATCCGGCTCTCGCATCCGGCTCTCTGCACCGTGCCGTCGGGTGCGGCCCCAGGGCTTCCCACGCTCCCCTGACGGGCGCCTAGCTCGCCGGCGCATACAAGCTTCGCGAGTTCGCGACGCGTCGCGCTCGTCGCTCCGCCGGCCTCGTCGTCATGGCAGACGCACCGCAGAGCCGGCTGTGATGGCGCTGATCAGGCGGCGAGCACGCTGGGCTCGGCTGCGTAGTGATGGCCCTGTGTGCCTGCTGCGACGGTGTCGGAGCGAAGAGTCGGGCGCTCCATCTCGTACTCAGTCAGACCTCGCGCTGCAGGTTTGAGCTGCGCGCACATGTGCTGGTGCAGCATGCGTGCAGCGGCAGCGGTAGCGCAGTGCCCGCGCGCGCGTGTGCCGGAGCCGTGGGCCGAGGCAGCATGCAGGCGGAGAGGGAGCAGGAGCGGCGTGGAGGAGAGGAGGCGGCGCTGCTGCTGCTGCTGCTGACGACGCTGCAGCTGCACCCCAGGGTGCAGCGGGCCGCCATGTGCTGGCCAGGTGCCTCGCCGGCGCCCGCGCCCGACGCACGCGTCAAGCAAGCCGGGCTCCGCGCCGTGCTCGGCGGTCAGCACGGCAGCAAGAAGCGGCACCGGGCCAGCCGATGCGCCCCGCCGTGGCGGCACCGACTGAACGACGGCAAGCAGCAGCTCCCTGTCCTCGCCGTTGCGGCTTCCTCGCTGCGCATCGCATCTGCCGTTCCCACGTCCATCTCCTCACTCCCGGTTCCCTCTGCCTCCTGCCCGTCTCGCTCGGTCGCCTCGTCTCGCCTGCCCGGACCTCGCCTGTGGACATCTCCGACTCTGCCCCTGTCCCGCACGCGCGTCGCCATCTTCCGTCTCTCTGCGCGCCGCTCCTCCATCGCGCCTCCTTTTCCTCGCGCACCGGCGCCTATCTAGCGACACCTACTCCTCACCCACTACGCCCGCCTCTGGCGCAGCGTCCGCGCCGCCGCCGCCGCATGCAGTCGCGCCCCGCCGTCTCGCGCTCCAGCAACAGCGGCGGGAGCGCCATGAGCAGTGCCGGCGGCGGCGGCGGCGGCGGCAGCGCGTCCGAGGGCGAGATGCAGTGGAGCGCCGCGCCGTCGCCGCACCTGCCGCAGCAGCAGCCGCAGCCGCAACAGCAGCAGCATGTCAGCTTTGCACCGCCGCCGGCGGGCTTGCAGCAGCACCCGACGCCGGGCACGCCGGGGATAGGCGGCGCGCCCTGGAGCAATGCTGGCGAAGAGCGAATGTGAGTAGCGCCGGCTGTCGAGAGAAAGAGAGAGGCGGCATGGGCTTCTGCAGGCTTGGCGAGGTGGTAGCAGAGTGGCGGCGGCGGTGGAGGATCCACTATCCAGAGAGGGCTCTGTGCTTGGCCCAACTCGTGCCGTCTGCTAATCTGATCTGGTCCGCAGCCTGCACCTGGCTATCCTCGAGTATCTGCGCAGCGCGCTGCCTTCCTGCGCCCGGAGCTTTGCTCAAGAGAGCGGCCTGCCCGAGGACGCACGGCTTCCAGGCAGTGCTGGCCCGTCCAACTCGCGAGGGCGGCTGTGGGAGGCATGGAGTCGCTACTGGCCGGTGAGTGCGGCTGATGACGTGGCGCGCGGTGTTGCTATTCTTGGCTCACACAGAGTGGGCGTTCAGGAGCTCCAGCGGCAGAGCCACATGCACGCCATGGGCGGCGCCGGCACCATGTCGATGTCCTCCTCGCAGCGCTCCTCGCTTGACTACGCTCCATCACACGCACACGCCTCGCAGCCAAGCTCGGCGCACGCCACGCCCATCCTCTCGCGCAACGCTCCGCAGTTTACCTCGCCATTCGGCTCGTCGCCGCAACAGGCGGGCCAGGGCATGCACCACGGCATGCAGTCTAACCAGGGCTACAGCATGTCGCCGAGCCCCGTCGGGCAGCAGGCACGCATGCAGCAGCAGCATATGCAAGCGCAGCAGCAGGTGCAGCAGCAGCAGATGCAGCACCACGAGCAGCAGATGCAGCTGCAGCACGCACAGCAGATGCAGCAGCACCAGCTGGCGGCGCAGCAGCAGCACCAGATGCAGCAGCAGCATTCGCAGCAGATGCAGCAGCAGAACTCGCAGACGCAGCACTCGCAGCAGATGCACATGCAGCAGCAGCAAGAGCAACAGCAGCAGCGGCACATGCGCCAGACGAACGTCGCTCCGAGCGCCCAGGTCATGGTCGGCCGCGCCGTCGAGGCACTAGGTTGGCAGGGCCAGTCGATGCAGAACCTCTCGCCGAACGACCGCGTGAGTAGGTCGCTGTCTCTGGCTTGCGCCTAGCGCTGACGGTTTGCGAAACACAGGCGAGACTCCAGGCGCAGATCGGCCAGCTGGCGCAGCAGGACGCCCAGGGCGGGCACAACGAGCTGCGCGTCATGCAGGCCAACGAGCGGCACCAGGAGCAGCAGCAGCAGCGCCAGATGCAGCAGCAGAACCAGCAGCGCGTCTCCTCGCCCCTCACGCCGCAGCACCCAAACTTCCCGATGCAGCAGCAAGGCTTCCAGGGCGAACCGGGACAGAGCCAGACGAGCTTCTTCGCGCAGCAGCAGGGCCCCATGCCTGGCGAGCCGGACGTTGCCGCGATGCAGGCGGCAGCGCGCCAGCACGAGCAGCAGCAGCAGAGAAAGGACGGCTCTGTGAGTGCTTCCTTCTGTGCTCGCTCGCTGCAGCTGTCTCACACACATCCAGCAGAGCACCGACTCGCCGAGCCGCAAGCGTGCGCGAGATGCGATGCGCCAGACCTTTGGCACACCGCAAGGCGGCACGGGCATGACGAATCGCGCACTCTCCAACGTCGAGCAGCGCCGGGACTTTGAGGAGCAGAGCCGCCTGGCGCGCAGCCTGCAGAGCAGCAGCAAGAGCATCATGTCGATGGCGCGCTCAGCGTCGTCGGCTGCTGCAGCTGCGCCTCCTCCGACCAGCGCTCCCCTCGGCGCTGCATGGACGAGCTCGGCGAACACAACCGGCGGAGACCTCACGCGGGCATCCAGCAGCATGGGTGTCGCCGGCGAGAAGCCACGGCCGCCGCCCATCGCCACGCCGCCTTCGCGCCTCTCCGGCCAGAAGACGACGCCGCACAAGACACCGACCTCTGCCAAGGCCCTGCACATTGCCACGAGCCACGCGCAGGGCCAGATCTCGGCGCAGATCCGCACGCTGCAGCAGCAGCAGGCTGCGCGCGGCGGCGCACCGTCGGCCTCGAGCGCCGGCGAGCAGGAGGCGCTTGTGGCGCAGCTCAGGACGATGCAGGGCCGCATGGACGCCAATAACGTCGCCGGCCTAGTCGACGCAGCGCTGCTCCCTTCCGCGCCCGCATCGATGGGCAATACCTCTGGGCACAGCAGCGACGCGAACAGCAGCGCCAAGGAGGAGGCAGAGAAGGAGGCCGCACGCATCATGCCGCCTCCACCATCGCCCTCGACTGTGCCGTCGCCCGGCGCAGCCGCCACGCAGGCTGCGAACGGCACGCCCTACATCTCGCCGGCGCACTACCGGCCGCCGATCTCCGCGACCAACAGCAGTGGCCGTCTCTCCCTTGCCTCGCAGAACTCGTTCCCCTCCTCGACTGCCACGTCGCCGTTCGAGCCGAGCAGCCAGAGCATGTCGCAGGACCTTTCCGCCTCAGGCACCTTCTTCTCACCGCAGTTCGACGACATGAGCTTCGGCCTCTCGTCGAATGCGACGCAGGACGAGCGCGACGCCGAGTACGCCCTCTTCGACGCGTTCCTGTACCCGGACCCGTCCGGCGGCGGCGAGTCGCATCTCGCGGCGCAAGGCCTAGGCGGATCGCGGACGCCTGGCGTCACTGCCGGCAATGCCTTCTCCGGCTGAGCAGCCGGCCGCTCCTATCTCAGACTCTTCCTCATGCTCGCCGTCAAGGCGGGCACACCCAAGCCTCCAGCTTCAGCTTGCTATCTAACTTGCTCGCCCTTCTCTGCCTTTTCGCAACACCCGATTCCACTCCGCGCGGTCCACGCTCCGCATTCGTCCTCGCAGCCACACTCATTCATCCCCCACGTCCGCATCTCTCTCGCATTCCTTCGCCCTTACTTCCGCATCTTGCATCCGCTTCGCCACCTGCTTCCTTCTGCGCCTTCTCCGCCGCCTCCATCCACGCGCTCGCCCGCCAAGCGAGCCACTCCTCGCTGTACTTCTACGTCTTTCGTCTCGTGCACGCCGCGTTTGCGCGTGCTGCTGCTGCTCTTGCAACGCTTGATCTTATTCTCGAACCGCGTGCATTGTTGAGAGCGGGCGAGGTGGCTTGTCGCTAGCCACGTCAGCGCTGAGCAGTCACACTTTGCCGGTGTACTCGGCGTCCAGCTCAGGGTAGTGCCGGAAGAGGTCGTACCTGTTGTGACGAGCGTCAGCGTCGCGTTCCCGACATCAGCGCATGCCTGCTCACTCGTTGAACGGCGTGCGTGCCTCGCTCTTCAGATAGCGCTGGATGGACTCCGTCTCGCGCAGACGGCTCTGCAGCTCAAATAGGGGTGCGAATCGCGCCTCCTTCTTGAGCGTGCCGAAGTAGCGTGGGAAAGCGTATGCCAGACCCTCGAGCAGCTGTGCCAGCGTCAGCTGCTGCGCGCGAAGAAGTAAAAGCACCGACGCACGTGGAAGAGCACCAGATCGGCCGCACTGACGCCGCTCGAGTGCAGCCAGCCGTTGCCCGAGGCTGAGACTTGCGCTGCGAAGGTGCTCAAGAACTTCGGGACACGCAGCTGCAGGAGGTACGGCGCGCGGCGCAGCGAGACGTCGCGCTGGTCCTCGTAGTAGAGCGAGGCATCGCTGTGGCGGGCGTCAGTCGAGCGAGAGAAGCGCAACAGACGACGCACACCGGGTGATGGACGTCGTGCACCTCGTTGGCCAGGTCGAGGATCGTCTCGACGCGCTGCTGCACCGCCAGTCGGCCAGCCTCGTCGCTCGGCGCCAGTCCCAGGCGTGAGGCGAGAAAGTAGAGAATCACGGGTGTCTGCGACAGCTCGACCTCTGCCGCGAAGTCTGGCGGCGCATCGGCGGCGCTGGTGTAGCGCAGCAGCGGCGGCGCGAAGTGCTGTGCGGCGTCCTGCGCCGGCAGCGCCGGCAGGTCGTGGAACGGCGTGCCGGCGTGCACAAAGAGCAGGCGCACGAACTCGCCGCGGCCCGGAATGCCGCGGTGGTAGTGCAGGGCGTAGGACATGGCGTCGCGTTGCTGGTGGTGGTCGCGAGGCAGGAGCAGGAGCTGTGGGCGGCGTCGTGCGGTCCGTGCATCGCACGGCGGCGCTGCTCCCACGCGCTGCGTGCGGCGACACCTCGCGCCCTGCGACAAGCAGGTGGCAGAGCCGCCAGACCAGCGCCAGCTCGCAACATACTCGGCAACGTCCTTCTAAGCCGGCGCTGCTTGCCTTTCCTCTTGCGGCGACGCCCGGCGGTGAGGATGCCCCCTGTCGTCTCCAGGGGCGCGCCCGTGCACGCTCGCACGCCCTCGTGTCGCCAGAATTCCGCGGCTCTGGCGCTTCGCTCTCGCGTGCCGCGGCCCGACTCGCCGCCAAGCGCCGCGCCTTCGCAGATCGGGCCGCGCCGGCGTCTTCTTCTGCCTGCGACGTGGAGGATGCACCGGCAACGGCGACCACGCTCTCGCGGCCTGCACTCTCACCACCATCACATCTGCCGCCCGCCATGTCCGCCGCGCCCCTCATCCTCGTGCGCAGCAGTATCAACATCGACGACATCTACGCCGTGCCGCACATTGTGCGCCCCGGCGAGACGCTGGCGTCGCTGAGCCTCACGTCGCTCGCCGGCGGCAAGGGCCTCAACGTCAGCGCCGCCACGGCGCTCGCGGCCGGCGAGTCAGGCCGCGTCTTTCTTGCGGCCAACGTCGGCGACGTGACGTGGCCGGTGCAGGAGCTGGAGAAGAGGGGAGTCGACTGCAGCCACGTGCGCTCCGTCGATGGCGCCACGGGGCGGGCGGTGATCCAGCGCGCCGAGGACGGCGAGAACAGCATGTGAGTGCAGCCGAGAGGGCAGGCATGGTGTAAAGGGCGCAGGTGTGCACATTTGGGTGGCGTGGTGCTCATACTGCGCAGCATCCTCCTGCCAGGCGTCAACCACGCGCCCGGCGCATCGCCCGACGAGCTGCTGGCAGCGCTGCCGCGGCAGCCGGGCTTCCTCATCCTGCAGAACGAGATCCCGTGGGACATCACGACGGCGTACGCGTCCTTCTTCGGCGCCAAGGGCACCGACGTCGTCTTCAACCCGTCGCCCATGCCGTCGCAGGCACAGCTCGAGGCGTTCCCGTGGAAGCAGCTCGCCGTGCTCATCGTCAACGAGGGCGAGGCGGCCGACCTGCTCGCTGCACTCTCGTCACAGAAGGCGGACTCGTCGTCTGACGCCAAGGCAACGCTCGAGGCGCTCGTGGCGCTGCCGCAGTTCAGCGGCCTCAAGTGGCTTGTCCTCACACTCGGCTCGCAGGGCGTCATCGCGTCCGTGGCGCTGCAGGGCGGCAGGCAGGTGTTCGCCTCCCCCGCGTCGAAGCCGCAGGCCGTGCGCGATACGACGGGCGCCGGCGACACGTTTGCCGGCAACCTCGTGACGCGCCTCTCCGAGGTCGAGGGCGAGCTGCAGGCCAAGCAGGTCGAGGAGGCGCTGCGCTGGGCCGGCCAGGCAGCGGCCATGGCGGTGGAGAAGGAGGGCGCGCTGGAGAGCATTCCGAAGCGGCAAGACGTGCAGCAGCGGCTGCAGGGCTAATGTCACACTGTCTCCGTCACCCTCGCAATGCCATGCATCTGTCTATTGCGGCCGCTCGGGCACCTCTACGCTGACCTTCTGCTCCTGCATCAGCCACGCGGCGCGCCAGCGCACCTGTGGCCGCTCGAGCTCCTGCCGCGCCTGGATCAGGCGCAGCTCGTGCGTGCGTGCGTAGAGAACATGCGCCTCTGCCTGCTGCTCTGCCGTCAGCTCTTGCGATGCGTCGGCGGGAGTGGCGGCCTGCGGTGCAGAGGCAGCCTCATTCGTCGCGGCGTCGACGGTGTGCTTCAGCACGCCGGCCACGCTGGCGATGGCCAGCTCGGCAGCAGTCGCGAGCGGCGTGATGCCCTCGCCTTGCGTGTCCGTCTTGAACCGGCCCAGCACGAGCGCCGAGAACAGATCGCCGACGCCGACGAAGTGACCCTCGACGTGCGGGAAGCGGATGATCCACGGCTGCAGCAGCACCTGCTTGCCCTCGCCCCGCGCTGCGTCGACGTCGAATGAGGAGCCGACCTGCACCATGTCGCCCTTCTCTACGCCAATGTCATCCGGCACGCGTTCCAGCGATGTTAGCACGACGTGTCGCACGCCGTACGTGACGTGCAGCGTCGCGAGCACGCTGAGCAGGCTGCTGCGATCTGAGATGCTGCGTGCGGCCAGTTGTCTGTGCGCCTGTTAGCACGAGACATGCCTCTCACGAGCAGCTACGACTCACTCGGCCTCCCAGCTGTTCGGCGTGATGATGTCGGCCAGCGGCATGAGTTCGCGGTACAGCGGCAGGCATGCAGTGTCGACGTAGTAGCCGCGGTCCGTGTCGCCAAGCACGGGGTCGAGGAGATAGGTCGGCACGCGGGCGTGTGCTTTCCGGACCGAGGCGATGAACTGCGAGATGACGTGGAGTGCTGTGGGCGACGGCGTGTAGCCTGTCCAAGAGAGCAGCATCAGTGCGATGCCAGGAGCACTGGCCGTCTCGCCGCTGGCTTGGGCGCGCTTCACTCACCGGTGAGGAGCCGCGCATAGCGCACGAGGCCATTCTGCTGCAGGCCCTGCAGCACGCTCTGCAGGTGCTCGGCATCGAGGCGACAGCCGCCCATGCGCCGGTAGCCGGTGTGATTGCCTGGAGGACCACGAGGTGTGAGCATGCGCAGATGCTGAAGCGCTGGGCGAGGCAACGACGCGCGTGGAGCAGCAGTGCTGGGGGCACAAGACTTGCCGCTCAGCCAAGCCGCCCTTGTAGCTGGCGCTGTCATGCGTCGCAGCTACGCCTGACCCTCTCACTACCGCTCATGCCGCTCTGGCAAACCACGCACTCAGCTGTGTCGTGTTGCACACGTCGACGTCCCAGCCGAGCAGCTGCAGGGGAAAGGTGGAGCAGCGGTTGCCCACGTAGCCCGAGACGACGTGCGACTGGATCGAGAGGAGCCGCTGCGGCGCGAGTGCCGGTGCGGCCGACGACGAGGCGGCCATGCTGGCGTGCGTGTGAGGTGAGGAGATGAGGGCGGGGAAGATAGGAGCAGCGAGAGGAGGCCGAGCGAAATCGAAATGCGCCGCACTTCAGACTCAGATTGTGACTCGGTGTAGTCCGCGAAGCATTTCTTGAAGTGCGAGAGGCGCGATTGTTGTAGTCGCGCGGCACTCGGGCGCGCAGCCCAGAGACGCCCGTGCTGACGCGAGGTGGAGCAGCCGCCGGCCTTCTCTCGTCTCCTCCACCATCCCGTCTCACTCCAGCCGCACCCCTTGCATCCCGCCAGAACAGCACCGCAGCCACACACTCCATCTCGCCTGCCGCTTGCATCTTCGCAGACATGTCGCTGCCGTCGCTGCGCACCGCGCTGCCGCGCCTCGCCGCTCGCGCGCTGCGTCCTCAAGCACCTCGCTGCGTCGCGGCCGCAGCAGCGCCGGCGACGAGCGCTGCCGCTTGCCGGAGACGCGAGCTGCATGTGTCTGCGCCGCGTGCCCGCTCGGATGACCCGGGTGGCAAGCCCAACGATGGCAGCCACCCGACGGTGTACGAGTGAGTGGGCCGCGCGGGTGTAGGGTCAGAGCGGGCGCCAGAGAGCATTGCACGGCGACAGCGAAGAGGCAGCAGCAGCTCGCTGGCTGTCAGCGAGCTTCGCGAGTGCACCCGCTTCTCGCGTTGCCAGTCTGCACCGACGCTTCTGCTGCTGACACTTCCTCAGCGACTTCTTCAACCTGCTCTCGTCGCCGACGGACAACCCGTCGATCACCGTGCACTCGCTCTCCGACACAGCCATCACGCTCGCCGACGGCCTCGTCATTGCGCAGCCCGTGCTCTTCCTCAACGGCAGCGTGCTGCTCTGGGACGCGCCGCCGCTGAATGTCAAGCAGGCGGCGCCCAGCGGCTGGGGCTGGGAGGCGTGGGACGACGAGTGCTGGAAGGTGGTCGAGGTGGTGGAGCCGCGGCCAGGTGCGTAGCGGGCAACAATGGTGCAGCGCGGCGACTGACACGCTGTGCAGAGGTGATCATCTTTGGCACCGGCGCGACGGTCTGCCCGCCGCCGCAGCGCATCAAGTCATACCTGCACTCACTCGGCATCCAGCTGACCGTTGAGAGCACTGTGCGTCCTGCGTTCAGCCTCTGCTGGCCCACTGCTGACGCACAGACCCCGCGCAGCGCAACGCATGCTCGACGTACAACCTGCTCATCGAGGAGGGCCGCACCGTCGCCGCGGCGCTTCTGCCGTCAGAGCGAAGGCCCACGCAGAAGGTGCCCAACGACGAGGGCGGCGAGCACCTGGAGAACCGCAAATAGCTGGAGAGAGGGCAGAGAGCGCAATGTCATGGTGCTGCTACGGTCTATAGGCGCCGGGCATGGCTGGAGCGAGGTTCGAGCGTCGCATGCACAAGACGCTCCTCCTCGCCACGAAACGCGCAGCCTCGACGACCCGCGAAGGCGCAGACAGTGCGAGCTTGGCCGGTGAAGGATATGCATTAGGATCGTGCAGCAGGTGCAGCTTCGTAAGCCGTAAAGAGGCGTGATTGCTCCTTGGCCACGTATCTGCAGCAAAAAGTAGCGTGAGCCCGTGCGGGATGCCTGCGCGCAGGCAGCAGCAGGCGACTCACGCCAAGAAGTCGCCGAGGTGCTCCTTGAGCAAGGCGACAGAGGGCGCATCCATCGTCGTGTGTGCGATGATGCCCGGCAGGTTGACTGGAGCGGGTGTGAGGGGCGCGGGCACAGACGGCAGAGAGGTACCCACCAAAGAGACGCAACAGGTGCTCGGCGCCGTAGACGTCGCTGGCCTTCCACTCGCCAGCCTCGGCATCGCCGTCGCCGCGCTTGCGGCCGGCGCCCCTCCGCTCCTCCTTCTTCGCTGCGTGCTCCTTCTGCAGCTCGAGGTACTGCGCCCGCTCGAAGCGGTACAGCAAGTTCGCGCCGAGCGAGCGGTCAAAGTAGAGCGTCAGGCCGAGCAGCACCTCGTCCAGGACCGAGGGCGATCGGCTAGGGCTAGGGTGAGCGAAGGCAGGAAGAGTGAGGCGCGTCACGCACGAGGAGCGGTCTTTCCGTGCGAGGTAGAAGGCGCGGTAGTCGGAGAGGATGGTCCGCACCGAGGGCGTGCGTGGCAGGGGTACGAGCTGCGAACATGTCGTCAGGCACATCACGCATCACGCCGCGCCAGCAGACGCACGAGGTTCTTCTTCGTCACGTTCTCCCAGTCATCCACGAGCTGCAGCTTGAGCGCGTCGGGCAGCGCAATCTTGATCTCTGGCCGCTTGATGTACTCCTCCTCCTGCCCAGAGACCGGCTCAGCGTGATGCGAGACAGGCTTGTCCACGCATCGCTACTCACGCGCTCGACAGTGCCACGCTCCTCGCGCTTGCGCTTGCGAGCGCCCGCCGTGTCCGTGCTCTCCCGCCCGCGCCGCCGGCCCTCGCCGGCTCGCTCGCTGCTCGTCGCGTCGGCGCCGGCCGAGGAGGCGGCGAGAGCAGCGGCATTTGAGGCGCGCTGCGCATCTTGCAGCGCGCGCTGCTTCGCCAAGTTGGCGTCGGTGTGCTTCAAGAGGCGTGTCGGCGGCACCCATTCGTCCCAGCTGGCGGGAGTGCGTCAGCCCAAGGAGCACGGCGAGGGCACGTCCAGGGCCAGACGGCCAGGGTGTCGCTGCATGACTGGAGCTCTACCTGCAAAGCCTGCCTACTCCGGCCTCTCTCGCCGCCGCCGCCAGCCGCATGCGCCTGGCCCCACTCACGTCTGCTTCCAGCCGAGGTAGTGCACGCGGAAGTGCGGGCCCGTGGCGCCCGAAGCATTGTCGTCGCCCGTCCACTTCTCGGCCTTGAGGACCTGCCGGTACAAGTATGTATCAGCAGCGGTGCGGGTCTGCCAGCGCGCTGGCTCAGGCAGCTGTGTAGCGGCCACGCACCTTGGCGGGATAGATGAGCGGCCCGTGGAAGCAGAGCACCTTCTCGTCGACGGCAAAGGCGAGGCTCATCGTGCGGTCTCAGACTAGCTGTGCGCGTGGTATAGGGTTCGGTCAGGTGGCTCTGGAACGGTGACGCTGGCGGAAGGTCGTGCGGCGGAAGAGAGTGAGGTGCAGGCGGTGATGATGATGGGTGGAGGCGGAGCGGAAGGACGCGTCGCGTGAGGCAAGCAGCGCTCATGGCGCGGCGCCGCGCGGCAAAGGCCAGAAGACATCGCAGATGCACACCGGAGTCGCTCGCGCGTTCGGCCCAGCCAGCCCGGCGAGGTCGCTCGACGACCAGTGCTCGCTGCCGTCTGCCTATGCGCGGCACACATGCAACTCTCGTCAACAAGAACAAGACTCTCAGCGCCTGAGAGGAAGTGAGATGAGTACACGTACGGAGCACCGCTTCAGCGGCAGGCCAGGCACCGCGGCGACACGGTGTCGGACGAGTTGCACGCTCGTGCGAGCTGCCCTTGCGATGCACGAAGGCTGTCGCTGTCAGATCGACCGCGCTGTCGCAGCAATTCGCCCACAGCTTCCATGTCGTCGATTCTGAAGCGAGATCAGCTATGGGGTGCCTCGCTCTTGCTCGTCGCGGGGACGACGCTACGAGATCTGCTCTGCCCTCTCTTGCACAGACCTGGTCGCCCAGCCGGCTGTCGTGCGCATCGATCATCCGACAGCCGGAGCTGTGCTGCTTGTACTCTTCAGCACCAGCAGCAGCAAGTGGCGAAATGTCGCATCGCGCATCTCGGGTTCAGACTTTCGTTCTTTGCGCCGCGAGCTCGTGGTGCGCGGTTCGCTGCGCTGTTGCGCCGCGCCGGACGAAGGAAGCGCGGCGGCGTGTGGCTTGCGGATCCGGCGGTTAGCGTGGAACCTCGGCACGGCGCCGTCGATGCGGGGGGCAAGGGGCTCGCGCTGTGCCTCCTTCGGCCCTCATTCCCTCACCCGCTGCATGCTGCAATTCCTCCGATGCTGCATCTCGTCACTCTCCCTCGTGCACGCCGATGCCGAGCGGCGCAGACGCATCAAATAGCTTGCATGTCAGGCACGCTGGGCTAGCACTATCAGATTGCGGGCCTCCTTGCGCTCAGACGCTGCACCGCCTCCTCGTTCCGTCGCATCCTCGAGCGAGCTCTTGCCGCGGCTGCGCTGCCGCGGCTGCGGCTGTGACACCTGTTGCGGGAGCTGAGACGTCTTTGCATGCAGCGGCTGTCGCTTGTTGCACGACCTGCAGCAGCCGACCGTCGGAGGCGCGCTGCGCCCTGCTCGTGCACAGGGAACATCACGGCTCCGCTGCAGTGTCTCTCCGCTGGCGTCTCCGCACAGACCCTGCATCTTCTTGCTTGGCCTCGTCAGCACTCGAGACAGCCACTCAATGCTGTGTGCTCCGTTTCCGCAGCAGCAAGTAAGAGTGTAGCAGGCTGCTGCTGTGAACTGCAGATGGCAGACGCACGTTGTGCACAGCCCTCACGAGGGCGCACAAGTCCTCCAGGCCTATCGACCCGGGCGCGGCGTGATGACAGCCGCTTGCTGAATGCGGCCAATGAGAATATCACACCAAGTCTTCTAGAGAAAACTGGTGACTGCTCGCTTTGTGGTGTGGTCTCGAGGTCGAGAGTCGACGTTTACGGAGAGCGCAAGAGGGCGGCATTCTTTGGGACGCGCCTGCAGGCCCTCGCGCCCTCTCGTGTCTCGTCGCAGCTCGCCTCAGCGAGCAGACAAGCGACGCTCTGCATCTGCTGCACTCTTACTGTCTCGCACACCACGAACCTCGACGGCACAACGACGATCCGATAGGCGGAGCGAGGTGCAGTCCGACGTTGGCGGGGCTCCGACGCGCGCGTGAGCCTCCGCCCCGGCGGCTGCAGCGTGCATCCCGGCGGCCCGACGCTCAGCATGCCGCATCGCGAGCCCTTTCGAGCTGTCGAGGCGCAGGCTGCAGGGCTGCGGCTGACAGCTGTGCAGCTGCTCTCGAGCTGCAGCACCAACCCACGACCATGAGCAGCTCGGATCAGGATGCCAGAGCGGGCTGACGCTGGCGCTGTCGCCAAATTCAGGCACGCCTGCTCGCCCCGGCTTCCTTCTGCCCTGCGGCTGCCGGCTGCGCGAGAGTGCTCATACGGCGCCCAGCGTCAGAGCGACGTGTCAGAGCGCCGCCTACGCTGTGCCTGGAAGTGTGGCTGTGTATCGATGTGATACTCCCCGAAGAGGGGAGGCAGCGGCGACTTTGCGCCCCTGGAGATGTCGTTGCACGCGGGGGAAGGGGTGAGCGCAGCAGCAGCTGCCTTGGAGCGGCAGCGGCAGGGCAGACGCCGCCGCTGCCAGGTGCCGTGCCGCCGGCGCGGGCGGGCGAGGGCGCGCGCGCGCGCGCGATGGCCGGTTGCCGCGGCCAGCTTCCGGCGCGTCAGCGCAGCGAGCCGCGCCGCGCCGCCGCGACCGCGGCCCGCCTGCCTCTGCTGCTTGCTGCGCTGCTGCGCTGCGATGCCGCCGCCGCCGGCTGGCTGCCGCTGCCGCAAGGCCGCGCTGCCGCCGCCTCGGCCGCGGCGGCGCGCGACGTGCTTCCCGCGCCATCAACCCCTTCGTCACGCTCTCCGCTCCCCGCAGAGCGCTGCCCACTCTCCACCACCTCCGTCTCACGCGCCAGACCATCCGCAACAGCCGGCTCGCCGCAGCCGCGCGTCCGTCTGCCCACGCTGTCCGCCGCACACGCCTTTGCGCCCGGAACGCAGGAGCGCAGCGCCAGCAGCACGCCGAGCAGCGGCAGCGCACCCGGCTCCTCCGTCTTCGCGCCGCCCGGCGCCGCCGCCGCAGCCGTGGCGTCGCCAGGCTCGCTGGGCACGCCGGCGTCGACGGCGCGCCTGCGGCCCTCGTACGCCGCCCGCAGCCCGCCGCCGCAGCAGCAGCAGCAGCACTCGTCGGCGCTGCGCTCCACGTCGGGCCCGTCGGGCAGCGCGTGGGCCAACGGCTCGCTGCCGCACTCGCAGTCCGCCACGTCGCTCTCCAACTCGTCGTCGTCGTCTTCGTTCTTCACGCACGCGCGCTCGCACAGCGCGACGAGCACGCCGCCCGACGCCGGCGCCTTTCTGCCGCAGTACGCACAGCAGCCGGCTATGTACGGCAATGCCGGGCAGATGCCGCACGCGCTGCAGATGCAGATGCAGCAGCAGCAGATTGCCGTCATGCAGGCGCAGTACGCGCAACACCAGCAGCAGCAGCAGATGCAGCAGCAGCAGCAGCAGCAGGCGGCGGGTCAGAAGCGCAAGGAGAGCCCGGGCAACGAGCCAAACGGCCGCGACACGCGCGACAGCTCGCAGGGCCGCGAGGCCTCGGGCAGCAGCGGCCCGGGTACGGCGGCGGCTGCAGCAGCTGCTGCGGCGGCGAAGCGCATCAAGACGGCGCGCGCCTGCGACTCGTGCCGCCGCAAGAAGATCCGCTGCGATGTCATCGAGGACGGCAGCCCGGCCACGGGCGACCCGAACAACGGCAACGGCGGGCTGACGTGTGCGCACTGCCGGCAGTATGGCTTTGGTGAGTGCACTCGCGGGTGTATCGAGGTGCCTGGCTCATCATGCCTCGCAGAGTGCACCTTCTTCCTGCCCATCACCGAGACGCGCTTCAAGAAGAAGCACGAGCGCGAGCGCGAGGAGGCCGCGCAGATGGCAGCCGCGCATGCGCTGGCACAGTCGCGCGCCGGTCTCGCTGGCGGCATGTACCCGAGTGCAGGTGCACCGCGCCTGCCAGTGCCCGGCATGCCCGGCTCGCTGCCGCCGCTGAGCGGCATCGCCGGGCGGTACGCCGGCTACGGTGTGACCTCGGGCCTGTCGCGGCTCGATTCTCAGGGGCCGCTGAAGATTCTGGCGACGCAGGAGTGGCCACCAAGAAGCGGATCAGACTATGCTGGCTCGGGTCCGCCAGCTGGCTTTGCGTCCAGCTCGAGCCCGCGCGCGTCTATCAAGGCTCCGTGAGTAGCACTGCGCCAAGAGCTCGGCGTATCACTGACGTGCGCACCAGGCGACCGTCGCATCGCGAGAGCGGAAGCGCCAGTCCAGGCCCGCCGCCGAGCGACACGCGCGTGCTGGGTACGTCTCCATGCCTCCTGCCGCAATTTCAGCCCGCTCACCTCTCTGCAGGCCCGACATCCATCGCATACATCGTGCACTCGACTGCGTTTGTGCCCGGCGCCGCGATTGAGGCGCACGACCTCAAGCACCACCAGACGTTCGAGGTCGGCGCGTCTGGCGACGGCATCATCAAGTTCCACCGGCCGCCGCGCCTGCCCGGCTCGCCTGCTCCAGACGCCGACGAGGGCGATGTGCCGATTTTGCTGCCCAAGTCGCTGCGCAACCGCGTGGCCGCCGACGTGCTTGACCAGCTGGCCGCAACGTACTTTTCGCGCCTCGGCTTTCTGTTCCCCATCGTGACGCCCGGCGAGTTCTTCAGCCTCAAGCCGCCGCCGCCGCTGCTGCTCTACTCGATCTGCGGTATTGCCGCGCTGAGCCGCGACGTGCCGAACGACGTGCTCGGCTCGATCAAGCTGGTGCTGAACCGCCTGTTCCGCGAGAATGACGTCGCGAGCAGCTCGAACATCATGACGGTCAAGGCGCTGCTCATCCTGAGCCTGCACAGCGACCTGCATGCGCCGACGAATGTGCAGGGCGGCACGCGCTGCTGGAACCGCACCGGGACTGTGAGTGCGACGTGAGGATTGAGGTGCGGCAGACCATTGGCTGACGATCGCTGCAGGCCATCCGGATGGCGCAGGACCTCGGCATGCACCGCGACGCCTCTGGCCGCGACGACGTCGACGAGGACTCGTACTATCTCGAGGAGAAGCGCCGCATCTGGGGCTGCTGCGTGACGGCCGACCGGTGCATCTCGATTTCTCTTGGCCACCCGCTCGCGATCGACCTCACCGACTGCGACGTGCGGCTGCCTTCGCCGCACGAGATCCTGAAGCACGAGGGCGCGCCCAAGTCGCACCCCGACCTCGAGCAGCCGTTTGCCTACAACACGGAGATGCTCAAGCTGAGCATCCTATTTGGCCGCGTCATGAAGACGATCTACAGCCCGACGGGCCTGATGAAGACGAACGACGAGGAGATCGTCGGGCTGCTCACGGACATCGACACGTGGAAGGAGTCGCTGCCGTCGGAGCTCGTCTTTACGGGGCCGGAGTGCGCGGCGTCTGCGGGCGTGCTGCACGTCGCCTTTGCGTGCCTGCAGCACCTGTTCTTCCGCGTCTTCATGCGCATCTCGTACAATTGCCCGCAGCACCTCTCGTTCAGCCTCAACATCGAGCGCATGACGGCCATGATCAAGGCGGCGCGCGAGGCCATTGAGTGGGTCGACCGCAACCCGTACTACCTCGACACGATGCAGTTCGTCTCGTACTGCCTCGTCTTTTGCGCCACGCTGCAGTACCACGCCTGGCTGCGGCGCGGCGAGCAGAAGGCGCTGGCGACGCTCAAGAAGTGCAAGGAATGCGTCACGCGCTTCAAGCGCGAGGGCGCGCGCGAGGAGCTGACGCTGCGTGCCAAGACGGCCGAGGTCATCACGCTGCTGTACGAGGCGGCGCTGGGCGCGTACGCCGACTCGGCGGCGGCGCCGAGCTCGGGCGCGCTGAACCCGACGGCCGGCGTCAGCAACAAGCGCACGGCGGACACGGTGCGCGGCATCGTGTTCAAGCCCGACCAGAGCAAGCCCGGCGGCGGCGTGTACGTGGCTGCCGACCGGCGTCTGCTGCTCAACGACTTGCCGACGGGCACGATTCTGCTGCACGAGACGGAGGCGGGCCGCGTGCCGGCGCTGATGCGCACGACGGCGCAAGACGGCACCAGCGCGTGGCAGACGCTGCCCGGTGGCAGCACCGCCAATGGCCTGGATGGCCTCTCGGCGTCTCCGCTTTCGAAGCCGCCGGCCGACTTTACGCACGTCGCTGGCGACGTGTGGACGGACGCGCAGGGCGCGGCCGTCGACCGGCGAGGCGAGCGGCTCGTGACGATGATCCCCGTCGGCGCGGCGCAGAACATGCTGCAGCTGCAGGGCGCCTGGAACAACAACGGCGCGCAGGCCGGGCAGATGGTGCAGGCGCTGCCGGACGCAACGCAGCAGGACGCAGCCTCCTCTGAGCTCTTCCCCCGGCGGGGCTCCAACGGCCTCTCCGCGCTCAACCTCAACCTCAACCCGCACCTCAACGACGCAGCCTGGGCCAGCACGCTTGCCGCGCTCGGCGACGCGTACACCTTTGACGGGCAGAACCTGGCGCCGATGCCCACCGGCGGCAGCGTCACGGGCGGCACGGGCAACATGGAGCCGCTGTTTGACTTTGGCATGGACTTTGCCAGCTGGGCGCAGCAGCTGGCGGTCGTCAATGGCGCGTCTGCCACGTCTGGCGCCGAGGCGCAGGGCGGCACGGACGCCTCGCGCCCGGCGAACCCGACGCTCGGCTCGATTGCGGGCGGCGACTTTCGATGAATGAGCAGACACGGCGGCGCCTTTCGCCAGTGGTCCCGTGCCCTCGCTCCAGTTTCCAGCTCCCGTCCTCTGCCACACCTGAGCGCCTGCATGCCCGGCGCATCTCTTTCTCTCTCCACGTCATCTGCTGCTGTAGCTATAGGACCGAACCGAGCGCCCGTCGCTCTGCATTCCCAATTCGTGCATAATGACTTGTGTATCGCGCTACGCCAGGCTGCGCCACATGCGCTCGGCGCCTTCGCTCTGCGGCTGGTCGTCGTGGCTCTTCTTGGCGATCCGCAGTGCTTCCCTCTCCAGCCAGCCGTCCTTGAGCCCGTCCGTCGCCGGTGCCACGACGGAGTGCACCTCTACGCCCTCCCTTCGCAGCTCCTCGACGCCCGCGCACGCCACAAAGTCTGGCGGCTCGCGCACGCCCATGAACACGCGCACGATGCGTGCGCCCTTATCTCCCTGCCTTGCGTTGAAGGCGAGGATGCGCTGCACGCACGGCACGTTGCCGGAGCTGCGCACGGAGCACGGCTCCATGCTGGTGTAGAGGTCGAGCTCTGCGCCTGCTGGTAGCGACGTGTCCGAGTCGAGCTTGGCCAGCGCGCTCTCCTCGGCATGCGTGTTGCCCGGCAGCTCGCGCGAGTAGCCCGTCGCCAGCGCGGCGCTCTCTTTGCCCGAGGCCGAGAACGAGATGACGCAGCCGACGCAAAAGGCCGTCTGGTTTGGCACGCACTTGTCGGCGAGCGCGAGCGTGGTGAGGATGTGCCGGTAATGCCGCTTCGAGTCTGCCTTTTCGCGCCTCCTCCGCGGCGGCGCGATGCGCGGTGTATCGTCCTCTACAGCCGAGTCGCTGTGCGCATCGCGCCAGTCGCGGCGCCGCCGCTCCCATTCATCGCGCCAGCGTCCGTACTCCTGCTCGATGCCGCCGTCGCGCCACACGCTCCAGCTGTCGCGCAGCCGGAAGGCCACGGCCAGCGGGTGGTCCAGTATGAGCTGCCGGAGCGGCGGCGCGGGATGCAGCTCGGGAATGAGCGCCGACAGGCTGGATCGTCGCCGGTGCGTCGGGCCGCGCGGTGCCTTGTCTTCGGCGCTCGACGTGCCGCGCTTGCGGATGCTATCGCCGCTGCCGACTGCGGAGGATTTGCCACGCAACGGCAGCGACGGCGCACGTCGCGAGGCGGGCGAGGCGAGCGGCGCCGGCAGGCGCAGCGGCTGACGCGGCATGTGCTCGGCGACGTAGTACCAGCCAAGCCCGAGCGCGACGCCGAGCGTCAGGCCTACCCAGATCTGCGCGGGCGTGTGGTACGAGAGGTGGTACCTGCGCAGAGCGTGAGTACGTCACGCTGGCAGCATCACACCGGCCACACGCACCGGCTGTATGCCGTCAGCGCTGCGCCCAGCGCAATGAGCAGCATGAGCAGCGCGTGCTCAGCGATGCGCATCGTGTTGACGAGCGTGCGCGGGCGCGCCGCACGCGGATGGTGCAGCGAGAAGTGCGCGAGGAAGAAGGCGGCGAAGAAGCCGACGAACTGCGCGTGCGACGAGGGCATGCCGTAGCCGGAGCCGAGGTGGTCTGCGGAAGATGATCAGCAAGGTGAGAAGCCATTCCATGCAGCGCGGCGAGGAGCGGCAGGCCATGCACTGCCGGCCAATGCAAAGCAGCACTGCAGTGCAGCTCAAAGCGAGCGCACGCAGAGCAGCAAAGCAAAGCACGCTGCAGCGCACACGTAGGCTTATCTATGGCAGCGCATCGCAAGCCTTGCAGTACATCGCATGTGCAGCCCACCCCGCTGCCCGGTACGTACCTGTTGGGCGCCCCTGCCGAATCGTGCGCTTGAGCCCCCAGTTGATGCCCTCGCACAGCAGCTGGCCGAGGAGCGCATTGACAAACGTCAGCTCGCGGCGGTAGAGGATGATTGTCGTGTATGCGCAAAGCAGGAAGATGGGCGAGAGCGTGACGAGCGCCAACACGCGCGCGAGCGGGTCGCGGCCGTCGTACTGCACGTGCGTGAGGCCGAGCACGGAGTAGGACGACGGGTCGATGGCCGACGTCGGCGCGGTGGAGAAGGGGAACATGGCGGCGGCTGCGCGGCCCGCAGGTGGTGGTGGTGAGAAGGAAGGGCGCGTGCATGGAGGGTCACTTCCAGCAGATGCTGCTGCACGGGCCACGCCGCGCGAAATCTCGCGAAACGGGATCGCGATTCGCGCGCTTGCCTCTCTCTGTCTCCTCCTCACCCTCACCACGCCGCAGCATGTCGCAGCCAGGCGACGCTGCCGCTGACGGCGCTCAGCCTCCAACACCCTCGCAGTCATCGCCACCACGCTCGCCCGCCTCGCCGGCGCCTGCCGCTCGCCGCAGCCCGGCGCCGTCGCCCGGCGGCCCGGCACACCCGCTGCTCGCGCCGCAGTCGCCGCTCGACGCCTTCCACGCCGGCGCCGCGCCGCGCACGTCGCCCACGCTCTCGCCCACGACGGCGCTGGCGCAGAGTGCCGCGCCCGCCGCGCCGAGCAGCAGCACGTACGGCTCGCTGAGCTATGCGCCGCGCAAGCGCCCGCCGCACCTGCACTCGCTGAGCCACCAGTCGGCCGCCACCAGCAGCGGCAGCGGCAGCGGGCAGTTGACGCCATCGCTCTCGTCGCCGGCGCTCGCCTCACAGCTGCTGGCGCCGCCGCCGCTGCACGACGAGCCGCGCACGTCGGACGCCGAGCGCAGCCTGGCGCTGCAGCGCCTCAAGGCCGAGGCGCAGGCGGCGGGCCTGGCGCCGCAGTCGCTCGGCTGGGCCATGCTCGAGCAGCTCGCGATGGGCGAGGGCGAATGGGCGGAGCTGGCGGCACTGGCAGACGATGGCCAGGTGAGTGGACGAGTGATGGCCAAGTGCTGCAGTGGCTGAGACGCAGTCTGCAGGCAACGCTCCTTCTGCCGCGCTCGTCGTGGAGCGGCACCCACGTCAGCGTGCCGCTTTCAACTATGCATAGCCACGTGCTCTGCGCACGCGAGCGGCCAGTTCCAGAACGGAGAGCAGAGATCGTGACGCTGTCCGGTCTGCGAGGCACGCTCGGCGAGCGGACAAAGGAGGATGCCGCCACTGAGCTCTCGTTTGGCTCCTTCATCCCGCGCTCCGATCATGCTTTTGTGGGAGACTTGCGAGACGAGTCCAGCCGCAGGTGAGTGGCTGCTCATCTCGAGGCGTGTTGGTACTAATGTCCTCCTCAGTGCCTTGCTTTCGGGCCTCTCTCCCTTGCCGATACCCGGCTGTGCGCCCGTCAATCCCGCGTTCACACTCTCGACGCACCTCGCAGAGCTTTCTCTGCCTCCGGCACCGCCACTCCGAGCGCCTCCATCGCTGCCGCACCGCCGACCTGCACGTGCCTCTGACGCTTCGGAGACCGCACGACGAGCAGCAAATCGAGCCTCTACGTCCTTCAGCACGCTGTTCGGCGGGTCTGGAAGGGCAGCACGGCAACGCGGCGAGAGCACGACGAGCAGTATCGAGGCGCCGGCACCGGCACAAGATCCAGCGCTGCTGGCACCGCCGGATCTCGCTGCTCCCGGCTCCAGAGCGCAGCAACCCGAGCAAGCACGCTCGATAAGCGCGTGGATCGTCGACCGCGAGGTGCGCAAGTCGGCTGTGCTGCGCGAGATGGAAGCTGCCACTCGCGCACGGCTCTCGACGACGTTGCGAGAAGGAGGGCTCAGCGAGGCTGTCATCGAAGTCGTCTGCAGGTGAGGAGAGTGCTGGTCTCACGCCACGCCGTGCTCTGACACGCCGCGCAGCTTCGCTTCTGCCTTCTTTCCGCCGGCAGCGACCACAAGCTCGCCCAGCCCGCGCTCACCAGGCTTCGTCGTCGCAGCGCCGTACCTGCAAAGCGCAGACGTCATGTCTGAGAGCTTCCAGGACATGTGTGCGAGCCTGCGCGATCAAATACGGGATGGACTGCAAGACACAGAGAAGAACAGCGATCGCACTGACGAGCTGGTCGAGCTTGCGGAAGCCGTGCTCACAAGGGAGCTCTATGATCGGTGAGCCTCATCGTATGTCGCCGTCACGCATGGGCTCACGACTTTGCAGCATCTTTGCGCCCGCGACTTCGCGCGACGCACGCTACGACGAAGCCTTGGCCCTCCGCATCGAGGCGCTCAACGACATGGGCCTGGACCTCGGGCACCTCGGCTTGCTCGTTCCGCAGCCAGACGAGTCCGGCCTCGACGTCGGCGCCGCACTGCGCAGCTTGGCACAGGAGTGCGGCGCTGCCCTGCAGCAGTTAAGCAAGTCGACATGCCGTTCGCCTCGCGATCAGCTTGCGGCGTTGGTCAGCGCGCACCAAGTCGTCGTCGAGGGCCTGGCGAGCCTGCCAAAGATTGAGCTCAAGGACGATGCCGTTCCTGACGCTGTCAAGATCGATGCCTCGGACGCCGCCACCAAATCGTCGCCTCCAGCGGAGAAAGCGGCCTCACCTCCCGCGTTGCCGGCCACGAAACCTCGCACATCCAGCGCCGACCTGATCCTCCCGATGCTCATCTACTCGATTGTACTGAGCAACCCGAGGCAGCTGCACAGCCACCTACTCTTCATCCAGCGCTTCCGCACCGAGAGCCTCCTGCGCGGGCAGGAGAGCTACTGTCTGGTGAATGTGCAGGCTGCCGTGGCGTTTCTGGCCAATGTCGATCCGCGAGTGCTGGGCCTCGGCGATGACCTGTCCAGGTGAGTGCCGCCGCAAACTCCATGTGCAGAGGTGGCTATGCTGATGCCGCGGCAGATTCGACAGGGCCGACGACGTGCTCCGCTCGCCGCACAGGGCGCAGAGCTCGGCAACCGCTGCGGAAGGGGCCTCCGCACCGATGCGCATCCGAGGCCGCGTGGCGCAGGAGATTGGCGAGCTGGCGGGCGTGTCGAATCGCGTCATTACCGGCGGTGAGTGCGACTTGGCACAGGCTGTAGGGTGTGGCTGATCGCAGCACCACAGTGATGGGCACCAGCTTCAGTGCCTTTAGTCGGATCATGGGCGCCGGCAATGAAGCACGCAGTATCGAGGAACCCAAGGACAGGACTCAGACTGGCAGCTCTCGCCCTGCGTCGCTGAGGCAAGGGAGCACGGGCGACCAGTGGCTCGTGCCTGAGGGCGCTCGGCGACTTGCGGGCGCCGCCGAGCACGCTTTGGAGCGAGGGCCACGCATGATCGGCGAAGGCGGTACTGACTACGGCGCCGAGGACTCATTTTCGCTGCCGATCCCGGATGCCAGGCCACCGCTCTCGGAGAAACCGAGTCTGTCGGACCGCCTCGCCTCACTCCCGATGCTCAGCCGGCTCTCCGCGACGTCGCCGAGCGGAGGCCCGCAGCGCGTGCTGTCGCCGGCACGCTCGCTCCGCGATCTGCCTGGTCCGCCGCCGCCGCTGAAGCCCGTCCGGACGCACTCGGGCAGCTCGAGCATCCCCAGTCCACTGCCATCGCCGCGGCATCTGGCCGCACCAGACCTACCCTCATCGCCGGTATGTTGTGCGACCAGCATTCAACGCATCGCGAACTGACACTCGACTCACTGCCAGGTCCAGTCGTCCTTTGATGTGCCTGCATCGCTGCAGTCTCCCTACGCACCGCTAGCGAACCCACCGACTGCTGCACGCCCGCTGCACGTCGTCCTTGCGAGCACTGGCAGCGTCGCGAGCATCAAGATTCCGCTCATCGTCGAGGCGCTGCTGCAACATGCAAACGTGCGCGTCCAGCTGGTGGCGACCGAGCACAGCCTGCATTTCTTCGACGCCGCCGCGCTGGGCGAGCAGGCGGGCTACGGCGTGCAGGATCTGGCGCAGGAGAACCGGGCGGCGGTGCGCAACCTGCCGCCCACTGCGAGGCCGCGGATGCACGTGTGGCGGGATGCCGACGAGTGGAGCTCATGGAAGAGCGTCGGCGACCCAATCCTGCACATTGAGGTGAGCGAGCGCAGAAGGGGCGCCTGCTGTTACCGTGGGCTCATCCTCGCCGCCGCACAGCTCCGTCGATGGGCCGACATCGTGCTCGTTGCGCCGTGCAGCGCCAATACGCTCGCCAAAATCACCGGAGGCATCTGTGATTCGCTTCTGGTAAGTCGCGGACCGCTGCCGTCGCAGGACGACAAGGCCTCACACTCTGCTCCAGACATCCTTTCTGCGCGCGCTCTCGCCGAGCACGCCGACGGTGCTGTTCCCGGCGATGAACACGCTGATGTACATGCATCCGCTCACGGCCAAGCAGCTGGCGATTGCGCGCCACGAGCTCGGCTACGAGGTCGTGGGGCCGATCAGCAAGCTGCTCGCGTGCGGGGACCTGGGTGAGTGTGAAGGGTGCGATGTGGGCGATGCGCAGCGATGCGATACGGACGATGATGCGGCGTCGACATGTGCTGACACGCTTATGTTCACTTTGCAGGACAAGGCGCGATGGAGGAGTGGAGCGACATTGTTGCGCTCGTCGTCAAGCGCTTCGGCCTGGTGCCACAGGAAGCGTCATCCTAGACGCGCAAAGGCGTGCATGCTCAATTTATCGCTGCTGCGCCTCGTTGCTGTCTGTGCACAATCCGCATGGTCCCCCATGTGGCGGGCCGCTGACGAGTCGATGAGCCTGGCTTCCGCGACGCAAGGCCGGACGCCTGTTCTCTCTCTGCCTCGCTGTCATGACTCGCACACACTCGCTGCAGGACCGCGATGCATTGCTACCGCACGTCGGCGGGCAGATAGCCAATCTCCTCTCCCATGCGCTCGTGAAGCAGCACCGTCTGCAGCACCGCAAGGCCCTGCCTCCAGTCGTCGATCTCCACGAGGTCGAAGGTCAGCGCCTCTCGCTGCTTGCGCTGCGGCGTCCACCGGCTCGCATGTGCCAGCCACCCGCGCCCACCGAGCCGCTCCAGCGTCTCCTCCAGGCCCTTGGCCTGCCCGACCACGAGGCCGATGTCTGCGAACAGCAGCGCCTGCAGGTCCGTCGTGCTGTCGCCGGCGTAGACGACCTTCCCCTGCCCGCCCGCCTGCCGCCAGGCCTGCGCAATCCGCTGCGCCTCGCGCAGCTTGTGCGGCGCGGTGCGGATGCCTGCCACGCCGTCGCCGGCAGACGTTGCGTCGCGCGACTTTGTCAGACGGCCAGTGCCGCGCCCCGTCGTCGCATCCGCCTCGACCTCGTTTGCGCAGATGGACGCTGGCCTCGCGCAGCCGTGGTGTGCCAGCGACGCGGCGATAAAGCGGGCGGACCAGCTGCAAGCGCCTCAGCGGGGAGCATGCCGAGCCAGACGCCGCACTCACCCGACGCTGATGATGTGCATCTCGACGCCGCGAGCGGCCAGCCACTGCGACGCTTCGCGCCAGCCGTCGCGCAGCGCCACCTCGCGTGCCCGCGCCTCCATCGCCGCCAGGTCGGCATCCTCAAACAGCCCGCCAGCCTCGATGCGCGCCTGGCTCGCGAGCTCGACGGCGTCCAGCGCCGCGAGTGACTCGAAGTGCTCGTCGAGATCGCGCGGCGGCGAGCGTGCTGCAGCATGCGCCTGCAGGTCGTCCATGTACGCCTCGCCGTACGCGGCAAAGGCAGGGCCGCGCGTCTGGGCGCCGGCGGGCGGCGCGATGAGGGCGAGCGTGTCGTGCGCCGAGAGCGTCTCGTCCCAGTCGAGCAGCAGGAGCATGGCGATGCGGCACGTGTGGAGCGACGCTGGCGTGCGTGGGAGCGAGCGATGCCGGTGAGGCGCGGCCGGGATGGCCGGCGGGAGCGAGGCTTGGCGACGTCGGCGGCGAGAAGGAGCGCAGCAGATGTGGCACCGGCGTTCGCTATTGGCGTGGTGGGCGCCCCGTTGCGTTGCGAGCGTCAAGCTGGCCGCGCTGCACCTCCACAACGCCGCTTACGGCCGACACGTCTTCTGAGGTGATCTGCGGCGCGGCGCCTGTCTGCCGCTGGCGTGTGGCTTCGCCGCGAAGAAGTGGAGCGCTCCGCGGTGCGCCGCCGCCCAGCCGCCAACTCCAACCGCCCGCAGCGCCTCGGCGTATAAGACGCAGAGCGCCGGCGCACGCCGCACCTCACACTCACACCACCACACACACACACACAGCCATGGTTACCGACTACAAGATCCTCGGCGACGCCATCGCCCTGCCCTTCAGCGGCCGCAGCGCGCCGTCGCGCTTCATGAAGAGCGCCATGACGGAGCGCCTCTCGTCGGTGCGTGCTGCTACACAGAGCCCGCGGCGCCACTGCTAACCTCTCTCTTGCAGTGGGACCAGCACGACCCGACGAACCGCGGCATCCCCTCCGACGAGCTCGTGCGCGTGTACGAGGAGTGGGGCAAGGGCGGCTGGGGCATCGTCGTGTCCGGCAACCTCATCGTGCGTCGCAGCCGCGGCGTCGCGCCTCGCCCGCTGCTCACACCCCTCCCCAGGTCGACACGATGAACCTCGAGGCGCCCGGCAACATGATCATCCACCGCTCGCAGCAGAAGCAGGACGAGCTCGAGTCGCAGATGCGCCGCCTCATCGCCGGCAGCAAGGCCGGCGGCGCGCTCTTCGTCGCGCAGCTCAGCCACGGCGGCCGCCAGGTCACGTCGGCGATCCAGCCGAACCCCGTGTCCGCATCCGACGTCAAGCTCGATGACCGCATGGGCATGAGCTTCGCCAAGCCGACGCCGCTGACCGAGGAGGGCATCCGCGAGACGGTCGAGAACTTTGCCTACGCCGCGCAGAAGCTGCACGAGTGGGGCGCCGACGGCGTGCAGCTGCACGCTGCGCACGGTGTGAGTAGCGCGCTGCCTGGCAGCACCTCGCCCTGCTCACCTTTCCCGCGCAGTACCTCCTGGCACAGTTCCTCGCGCCGAGCACCAACCAGCGCACTGACAAGTACGGCGGCTCGGTGGCGAACCGCGCGCGCATCATCTACGAGATCTTCGACGCCATCAAGAAGCGCGTCAACGACCCGAAGTTCGTGCTCGCCATCAAGATCAACTCGGTCGAGTTCCAAAAGGGCGGCTTCAGCACCGAGGAGAGCGCCGAGGTCTGCGCCGAGCTCGAGAAGATCGGCGTCGACGTGCTCGAGCTGAGCGGCGGCACGTACGAGGAGCTGGCGTTCGGCCACCGCCGCGAGAGCACCAAGAAGCGCGAGGCCTTCTTCCTCGAGTTCAGCGACGTCATCGTCAAGCAGCTGCAGAAGAGCACCGTGTGGACGACGGGCGGCTTCCGCACCGCCAAGGCCATGGTGCAGGCCGTGCAGGACGGCGCGACGCAGGGCATCGGCCTCGCACGCCCCGCCACGCAGGACTTTGACATCCCGCGCAAGCTCTACACGGGCAAGCTTGACGCGGCGCCGCAGGGCCTCATCCCCGAGGACGACTTTGGCATGACGAACCTCATCGCGGGCACGCAGATCCGCCAGGTCGGCAAGGGCCTGCAGCCGTTCGACAAGAGCGACGAGTCGGCCGTCGGCGAGTTCAAGGCGACGGCGGGCAAGTTCATGGAGGCCGGCGCCGCGGCCGCCAAGGACGGCGTCGTCAACGCCGGCTACCCGGACCACGCCGGCTCGCCGTATGTCCCGATCGACACGGCCCAGTAGAGCGCTCCTCGCGCACCCTAGACTTGCCCCACATTGCTCTCTGTCTTAATTTGCATGCATTGGTCCCCTACCCGCGGCGCTCGGCCACGCGAATGAGGTCGGCCGTGACGCCCATCGCCGTGACGGCGGCGCCGGCGCCGGCGCCCTGCACGAGCAGGGGGCGCTCGTAGCGCTTCGTCGTGAACGAGATGATGTTGTCCGAGCCCGTCAGCGACGTGGCGAAGGGGTGCGTGACGGGGTACCTGGCAGCGCACGTGAGCAGCGCCCGAGCCGGGCCACACGCCGCACTCACCGCTCGAGGCTCGCCTTCACCTCGCCCTTGAGCACGTCGATGACGCCCACATACCGCAGCACCTTGCCCTCCTTGAGCGCCTCGGCGCGCATCTCGTCAAAGTGCGCGTCAAACTCGGGCAGGCGCGCGACGTACTCCTCGCCGCTGGCAATGTCGCGCAGCGGCTCGGGCGTCAGGCTCGCCGTGGGCACCGAGAGGAAGCCCTTGGGCAGCGCCGACGTGAGCGACGGGATGAGGCGCGAGAGGATGGTCAGCTTGCGCGAGACATCCGAGCCGGAGAGGTCCGCGTCGGGGTGCGGCTCCTGCAGCGATGGGTGAGCTTAGGCCCCGGCAGCATGCACGACGGCACGCACCGTGTAGCCGTTCTCCTTGGCGACCTTGACGACCGTCGAGAACTTGACGTCGCTGCCCTTGGCCGTGCTGAACTCGTTGAAGATGTAGCTGAGCGTGCCGCTGAGCACGCCCTCGATCTTCTCGACCTCGTCGCCCGTGGCGATGAGGTCCTTGAGCGTGCCGATGATCGGCAGGCCGGCGCCCACGGTGCTCTCGCCGTACAGCAGCGGCCCGCTGGCGGCGTCGGCGGTGGCGGCCTGGATCTGCTTGTACAGGTCGAGCGAGCCGGAGAGCGCCTTCTTGTTGGGCGTCACGACGCTGAAGCCGGCGCCGAGGAGCGAGGGGTAGAAGGAGGCGACGTCGTCGTTAGACGTGTTGTCCACGACGGCCGTGTGCCGGCCTGTCTCCTTGGCGAGCTCCTGCAGCTTCGTCACGAGCTCGGGCAGCGGCAGCGCGGCCGTCGACGACGAGGCAAGCGCATCGGCCCAGCTGCCCGACGAGAGTGCGGCGGCGGCGGGCGAGAGGAGCGTCTTGCGGCTGTTCTGCAGCAGCACGATGTGCAGCGCCGGCAGCGCGCTCAGCTGCTGGATGACGGCGCTGCCCACGAGGCCGACGCCTGCGCTGTGTGAGCCGCTGCTGCACTGCAGGCGTGCCGTGCGACTCACCGATGATGGCGACGTTGATTCCCTTGCCAGACATGGTGAGTGGTTGGAGGGTGCGAGGTGTGGTGGAGAAAAGGTGGCCTGAGCGGGCGCCGCACCGCGCCGCATCTTGAGAGCTTCTCGCGCGCACGTGACGCACGCGCCGTCTCCACTGCCGCCGCCAAGGTGCCGCCGCCTTGCCCTCGCCGGCCGTGCGCGTCGCGGCCTCCTTCCCGTCCACCTCCTCCACCCACACCCTCAGCCATGTCCGACACCGAGATCGACATGGGCGCGCCCGTGCCCGCCGACGCCGGCGACAGCATGGACGTCGACCTGCCTGACCGTGCGTGCGCCGGAGCTCGGGGCTCGCCCGCGCTGCTGCTGACGCTCCACGCAGCCAACGACCCGGCGGTGAAGCGCAAGGGCCGCGGCTTCGGCGGCCGCGGCGAGGCGCACGACGGAGTGCGCGGCGGGACGTTTGAGAGCGTGGCGGCGCAGGGCACGGAGGAGCGGGCGGCGCGCTGTGAGTGGAGCAAGAGAGACTGTCCGCAGCGACGGAGACTGCGCTGCGATGCGAGCGGTCAGCCGAGGAAGCTTGCGAAGCGGCATCGCATGCTTCAGGCATCTCTTTACTGGCCACGCGCAAGTGCTGACACGGCTCGCCAGCGATCGAGGGCTGGATCATTCTTGTCACCGGCGTGCACGAGGAGGCCACCGAGGAAGAGGTGACGGACAAGTTCGCCGACTTTGGCGAGATCAAGAACATCCATCTCAACCTCGACCGGCGAACTGGCTACGTCAAGGTGAGCACTGGCCGCCGTGCCGCACACTGGGAAAGGCGCGGGCTGTGCTGAGACTGATAATTCTGCCAGGGCTACGCGCTGCTCGAGTACGAGACGCAGTCCGAGGCGTCCAAGGCGATCGCGGGCTGCGCCGCCGGCCTCACGCTCCTCGAGCAGCCGCTGCAGGCCGACTTTGCCTTCGTCCGCCCTCCCACGCGCGCGGCCAACGCCGGTGCGGCCACGGCCGGTGGCGCTGCCCCACGGGCGCCGCGGGCGCAGCTCGAGAGCCGCGACCAGCGCTCGGGCGGCAGTCTGGCGCAGCGCATGAACGGTAGCGGAACCGCAGCTGCACCGTCAAGCGGCGCTGGTGGTCTCAGGGAGCGCATGGCGCGCAGCCGGAGCCCGGAGCGGAGGTAGAGGGGCGACAGCGGGATGCGAGTGGGGCGGGGAGATGCTAGGGTCACAGCGCAATCCATCGCTGTACGTGCTCCCTGCCGCTTTGTGCCATGACGTCCGGACGAGGAGGAGCAGTGAGGAGATGTGATTCGCAGAGCCTGGATGGGTAGTAGATGCAGGTGGAGAGACAAGACGGAGCACGAGAGAGATGCAGCGAGGATGGGGCTAGGACGGGAGCGCGGGTAGTAGTGCGTGCTGGAGGTGCGGATCGGGACGCGAGAAGGCATGGTACAGAGGAGAGACACGAGGAGCGGTGGTCGGAGAGGCACGCGGGACGCTCAGTGAGCGAGGCCGCGGTTGCCCGTCGTCCGCTCGCCCTCGAGCTTCTGCTTGAGCGCGAGGAAGGCCTTGTTCTTGACGGCCTCCTGCTCGACGCATGCGTGCGTCTCGGGCAGCCGGTGCTTGCCGCAGAAGACGAGCGTGCAGTGCGGACATGCGCCCGCCAACTTCATCGCGGCGTCCTTGCACTGTCCCTCGGTGCCCGCGCCGGCCTTGCACCGCTGCTTGCCACCGCCGCGCAGGCGCAGCACGAGATGCAAAGTTGACTCTTTCTGAAGACGTGGCGCGTGTCAGACCAGATTCGGCGTGACGCTCACACGCTGCACGCACCTGAATGTTGTAGTCGCTCAATGTCCGCCCATCCTCCAGCTGCTTGCCGGCGAAAATCAGGCGCTGCTGGTCTGGCGGGATGCCTTCTTTGTCCTGAATCTTGGCCTTGACTGAGAGGCGGAGGCGAGAGGGTCAGCAAGCTGGCGACGAGCAGAAGGAGTCGGACTGGACAGTGTGCGGCAGCGAAGAGCCGCACTTGTCGGTCGCCGCCGCGTACCGCAGACGTCACCTCTTGCGCAAGCGGGGCCGAGGGCCAACGAAGTCCACAGAATGACGGCGCATCGATCGCGACCGCTGAGTGCGGGCCCAGGTGGCCCAACACGCCCGCCCGTCGCGAGCCTGAAAGACGAGACTCACCATTGTCGATGGTGTCGCTGCTCTCCACCTCGAGAGTAATAGTCTTGCCGGTGCTGCACAGGTCAGGTCAGCACGGGCGCAGCGACATGCTCGCGATGGCGCACGGCGCCACGGCGTGTCCTCAAGAGGCGCACGCCGCACGCTCCGCGCACAGCCACTCACAGCGTCTTGACAAAGATCTGCATGCCGCCGCGGAGGCGCAGAACGAGATGCAGAGTGCTCTCCTTCTGGATGTTGTAGTCGCTGAGCGTGCGGCCGTCCTCGAGCTGCTTGCCCGCGAAGATGAGCCGCTGCTGATCCGGGGGAATGCCCTCCTTGTCCTGGATCTTGGCTTTCACTGCGGCGCGTCGAGTGTCAGCTGCCGGCGCGATGACGGGTGATGAGGGCCAGCGGCGACGACGAGGTGGCGTCGGCGACGGAGCCAGACACGCGGCCTGATCGGTGCGCCACGCCATGGCGCTGTGGCACCTAGCTGCGACGCCACGTCCTCTCGCCGCTGTGCAGCCCCTCCACGCCCACCACACGCAGCGCACACACGCACCATTGTCGATCGTGTCGCTGCTCTCGACCTCGAGGGTGATCGTCTTGCCGGTGAGCGTCTTGACGAAGATCTGCATGGCGGCGGCGGGCAGCTGGGCGGCGTGGGTGGGCTGGCGAGTGGCGCGCGCGCGTGAGATAAGGCGGCGAGCGAGCGGTGGCGGCGGCGGCGGTGCTATGCACAGGTCGCGGCTAGAGATGAGCAGGCGGGGCGAGACAGCGAGAGGAGCGGCGAGCAGGCAAAACGCAGCGCCGAGGCGAGTGAGGTGATGTGGTGAGAGGAGAAGACGGAGAGGGGCAGCGGCGGCGCGGCCTTTGGGGCGCAGCAGCGCGCGGAGCGGGGGCTGCACAGCCTGAGCTGAGCGCGGGCGCGGCGTGACTCGCGCGCCCCGCTCGCCACGCCGCACCGCCCGCGCCGCCGCCGCCGCCATCATCGCGCATCCGGTTATCGTTGCGCCGCCGCCGCCGCTGCCCACACGAGCAGCCCAGCAGCGGCTCGCGTGATGGCGCCGCACGCCGCTGACCCGCATCCGCGACCGCACCCCGCCGCGAGCCCCTCGTCGGCCCGCATCGCTCGCTTGCTCGCCCTCCTGACCGCATCGCATGCGCCGCCGCGGCAGCGCTTGTCGGCCTAGCTCGGTGGAGGCACCCTCAGATGCGAAACCGAGCCGCAAGCCGTGCCTGGATCTGCGCGCGCGCGCGGCGCTCATGCGCGGCGATCCCGGCACGACCGCGGTGTGCCGCGCTTCCCCCTTTGTTGACGCCGCGCGCAAGGGGCTGCCGCGGCGCGCCGGCGGGCGCTTTCCTTTTCGAGAAGCGGCGCGCGGCGGCGGCGGCGACGCGCAAGCGGTCTCGCAGCGCCCACGCCTCTGCGCCGATCACTCGCAGCACCGGCGCCGCGCACGTGATGCGCCCTCGCAGCCGTCCTCACGTCCACTGCCTTGCCTTCCTCCGACGGGGCCTGAGGCCGGAGCTTGGCCCTTGTGGCATTGTGCAAGTCTTCACCGGCGAGAGGGAGAGGCTACAGCTTGAGGATGTTCCCAAGGGGGAGTGCTCTGGCTCGCGGGACGACACGGCCGCCGACAAGTCGCTGAACACCCGACGCCGCTCGCCAAAGACGATCGGCCGGAACCCTCGCCGGTGCAGCCCTGTGACCACCATGCCTTGGAAATTTGCCTCGCTGTGAGGGACCGTACATTCTGAGCCGAAAAGCTCCTTGCTGCTGGCGGTGCTGCCCTGCCAAGGCATGCAGCGAGCGTGCTCGGGCAACCGCGCCAGCGATCTCGGGCCGTCCACTCCGCCGGGCCGCCATGCGATGAACGGACAAGTACTGAACGGACGGGAACCGCTGCAGCACCTCCCGTCCTCGCAGCGCGTGCTGGTTGTCCGGCAGGTATGCTGCCTCCTCGCGGCCAGCATGGGCGATGCGAGAGCCCGCCCAGCGGGTGCGGCGGCGAGAGCAACACTTGTCCCACGGTCCATCGCGCGTGGCGGTGCTCGGATCGTCGGATGCGGCGCCGTCTCGCGTCGCCGTGGCATGCCAAGCCACACGCACGCACCATGCACGGCTCACCCTCTCACCTCGCGCCGACGTGCTCCAACACGAGCCCATCTTCCAGCGCACCTGCACCGCACCGCACGCCGGCCGCTCCTTTCGCTTCCCACCACCACACCCCTGCCCGCCATGCCCGCCGCGCCGCGCACGCTCTGCCTCTTCGACGTCGACGGCACCCTCTCGCTGGCGCGCCAGCAGATCAAGCCGGCGACGCTCGACGTGCTCCTCGGCCTGCGCGCCGCGGGCACGTGTGCCATCGGCTTCCTCGGCGGCAGCAACCTGGCCAAGATCCTCGAGCAGCTGCAGCTCGCCGGGCGTGCGCCGGTGCTCGATGAGTTCGACTACGGCTTTGCCGAGAACGGCCTCACGGCCTTCAAGGCTGGGCGCGCGCTCGACAGCCAGAGCTTCATCGGCTGGCTGGGCGAGGAGCGCTACAAGCAGCTCGTCAAGTTCCTGCTGCGCTACATCAGCGAGCTCGACCTGCCCGTGATGCGGTGAGTGCGCCACGTGCTGGCGCGCCGTCCACGCTCTAACAGACCCTCGACAGCGGCACATTCATCGAGTTCCGCAACGGCATGATCAACGTCTCGCCGATCGGGCGCAACGCTTCGTGAGTCGCCGCCTTGTCGCCCCGTCCGCTCTCCGTGTCCGTGGCCGCTCACGCGCATCACCTCAGTATCCAGGAGCGCATCGACTTTGAGATCTACGACAAGGAGCACCGTGTCCGCGCCAAGCTGATCAGCGCGCTCGAGGAGAAGTTCGGCTCGTGGGGCCTGACCTACGTGAGTGCGCCTGTTCGTGCTCTGCCCCGCGTATGCATCTCACACCTCTGCGCACCAGTCCATTGGCGGCCAGATCTCCTTCGACGTCTTCCCCACGGGCTGGGACAAGACGTACGCCCTGCGCCACCTCGACCTGGCGCAGTGGGACACGATCCACTTCTTCGGCGACAAGACGTACGAGGTGAGTGGTGCTGCGCCACGTCGCACAGGCGCAACGGCTGAGCCGCGCTGGCAGGGCGGCAACGACCACGAAATCTTCATCGACGAGCGCGTGCAGGGCCACACCGTCACGAGCCCCGAAGACACCGTCGCGCAGCTGCAGGCGCTCTTCCCCAGCGCCAGCTAGCCTGGCGCGCGCTCTCCGTCTCGTAGAGCAGTCCCTCGTGTCACCATACCCCTCCTGTCACCCAGCTGCCTTAGAGTGCGCCTGCGAAGCGCTTTCCATGCCACGCCTCCACAGTCATGCGCGATGCGCTCGTCGCAGTCATGACATTTCGAGCAGCTTGTCGATCGACGCCTGCACGTCGCCGTCGCTGCAGAGCGAGCGCCGTTAGCCCTGCCGCGTCTGCCCGCGGCCGCAGCGACTCACCAGCCCTCGAGCACCATCTGCACAACCTGAGGCTCGGCGTTCGGGAAGATGCTCCGCAGCTGCGTCGCAGGTCAGCGCCGCCAGCCAAGCAGGACGCGCGCAACTCACAGTCTCAATGCCGGCGGCGAGGTGCACGCGCTGGATCTCCTCGCTCTCCTCGGCGACATCCTGCGGCAGCTGCGCCGGCCGCGCAGGCGTCGGCGTCGCGGGCTCGACGTTGCGCACCGGCTGGGTGGGCGCCAGGAAGGACGGCGCAAAGTCGCTGGCAAAGCGCTGAGCGCGCGGAGCTCGGCCTGCGGCGGCCGAGGGCACGCCGAGTCCGTGCTCACCGTCCTCAGAGGTGGGCGTGCGTGCGCCACTGCCGCCTGTCATGGGGCCGTCGTCGTCGTCGTCGTCATGGTACGACTCGAAGCTGCTCTGCCGCGCCGGCGCAGGGCGCTGGGGTTCTATATAACCCGGGAAGCCCGGCTGAGCGCGCCGCCGCGACGGAGCACCAGGAGCGCCTTGTCCGCCTGCGAGCGTCGAGAACGGGCCGTGCCGCAACTCGTCGCCGGCAGGCGTCTGCGGCTCTTCGTCGTGCTCGGGGCCTCGGAATGCGCGCGTCCAGTTCGCGCCGCCGTAGCCCGACGTCGGCCGGCTTGGAGTCTCCTCCGAGTCGTTGCCGAAGAGCCCGGCGAAGAGACGACGGCCGGTGCCGCCTTGCGAGGCGAGATGGCCATGCCCGCTGTGCCCGTCGCCGGGACTGTCTGCGCCGGACGGTGACGCTCCGCCGCTACCGGCGGCGCCAGGATTGCTGTTCGGCGTGCGCACTCCATCGATGCCGTCGCTGAGAAGGCGTCCCAGCGCGCCCATAGGCCGAACGAAGCTGGCTCCGAGGCCGGCGCGCGCCACCTCGCCCGTGCGCGAGAAGAACGCCCGCGTGTCTTCCGCGATGGACATGGCCATGGGCGTCAGCGGCAGCGCCTTGGCCTGGTCGCCGTCAGAGCCCTCCTGCGCATAGGCTGCATCGTGGCTGCCGGCGGCGGCACCCGGCGAGCGTGGAGGCTGGGCGCCGCGAGGGCTGTCCTGTCCAAGGACAGGCGTGTCTGGCGGCGCAGCAGAGAGCCGCGCGATCGCGGCCTCGACGTTGCTCTCGAACTCCTCCTGCGTGATGTTCGACAGCGAGGTGTAGTCCATGGTCTCAATGAAGGCGATCGCACCCATCTGCAGGTCGCCCGTTCAGCATAGTCCCCCGACGAGCAGGGCCAGACGCACCAGACTGGACAGGTAGTAGCCCGACTCGCTCGAGAGCCGCTCGGGGTTGCGAAAGCGGCTGATGTATCTGCGTAGCGGGCAGTCAGCGCTGCGCCACGCGGCGCACGCAGCGCACTCACTCGACGTTGGAGATCAGGTTGTCCGGGCTCGAGCGCAGCACGACGAAGATCAGACACGGAATGAACGTGTCTGCGCTCTCCTGGCTCGATGCGTGCCGAATGAGCCCGAAGATGACCTTGCAGCAGTTGAGGATGCAGATGAGTTTGTCGCGAGGCGCCTTGTAGTGGTTGATCTTGAGAAGCTCTGCGCAGGCCGAACATGAGCATACGCTGCGCGTCCATATTAAGCGAGACGCCGCTCACCTTGAATCGCAAAGTCCACAAAGCCCTTGGAGTGCTCGCCCGCGGGCACGTCGAGATGCTCCTCGCCAATCCACTCAAACAGCTTTGTGCGCTGTCGGAAGACGCGGTCGCGCTCCAAGTCGTCGGTCTGCACCTTCCAGCGGCCCTCCTTGGCGATCGCGGGCGAGAAGGTGCTCGTGTAGAGGCGATTCATGATGAGCTTCTCCATCGCCTCGAGCGCATTCTCAAACTCAGGCTCGGACAGCGTCGAGAAGGGCGCCGTTTGGCGCATGATGCCAGAGATGAAGGCCAGAAAGTCGAAGATTAGCTTGGTCTGGTCCGACACGCGGTACGGCTTCCTCGTGAAGCCCTTGATGAAGCTGCGAAAGCAGGCAGGCGTCAGATCAGCGCGCGCCACACGCAAGGCGGACGAAGCCAGAGCTTGTGACGAGAGAGCTGCATCGGAGCACTCACCTGCGCACGTACTCGCCCACTGGCGCGGCACTCTTACTCCGCATCTGCTCCAGAAAGCGGTTGAAGTCAAAGGGCCGCTCCTCGCTCGCCGGCGTGCTCGGCGGCGGCCCCTTTCCTACGCGAATGTTCGAGCCCGGCGTGCGCGGCGACTTCGGAGCGCTGCCAAGCGAAGGAGTGGCTGGCGCCGCGAGGGACGGCGTGACCGGCGCCTTAGAAGGCGCAGCAGCTTCAGGCACGCTTCGCACGCTGGACTCCCCCTTTACTGGCACTGCAGGCGCGGCCTCGCTCGGAATCGCCATGAACGCCTCGTCTTCGGCTACGGAAGAAGACCTCTCCGCGGGAGGCTGTGCATCACGTACGGTGCTGCGCGCTTGCAGCTGATCATCAGAGGCGGGCTCGTGAAGCTGCGCAGGCGATGCAAGGCCGGGCGCCGGCGCAGACGCATCGTCCGTCGATGCAGCGTCGGCAGAGCCGTGCACGCCCACGCCCTGAGGCTCGTGCGTCTCTGCCGGCTGCTGCTCGCCGGCTGCGGTGGCGTGCTCCACTGGCTCTGCGCTTTGCAGCATGTCGTCCGGTGTTGTGAGCGGCGCGGCAGGCGCATCGGCAGGCGGGTCGTCGATCTGCAAGGCGTCTAGCGGCGGGAGCAGCGGCTCAGCTTTGTCCGCCGCAGGCGAGGGCGGTGCTTCGGCATGAGCGTCGCTAATGAACGCTGTAGGTGCTGCAGGTGGCCCTGCGTCCTCATCGACCGCTGCTGCAGTGGTGGAAGGCGGTTCCGCGGCTGCAGGCTTCACAGCGGCGCCATCAGCGCCGGCGGCCTCGGCAACAGCTGCACGCGGTGACGCTGCCACAGCTGCGCTCGACGCTGCGGCATCCGACTGCGAGGCTGGCTCTGCAGCCACAGAGGGCGTGTCGGTCATCGCGGCAGACGCCGCGCGCTGAGGCGCTCGAACGTGCGGCGCAGATGGAGTGAAGGACGTGCGGCGCTGGGCGTGATTGGCGCGGCGTGATGTGGCGTGAGGCGTGAGGCGTGAGACGTAAGGCGGGCGTGAAGGCGTGTGTAGCGAGCAGACAGCGAGGCGTCGCGAGCAACAGTGCAGCGCACGAAGAGGAGGATGTGGATGGGAGGAGAGTAGGCGCGCGCCGCACGGCGATGCGGGTGCGGGCCGCTGCGAGGCGCGCGCGCGGCGCGGCGGCCGTGCACACAAGACGCAAAGGCAGACGCGGCTCGCCGGCGCGCACAGCGGCGAAGCGACACGCTGCATCTTCGCGTCTCGCATCCTTCCTGCTGCACACCATCTCCCTTACCCCATGCTGCGGCGAGCGCCGTCCCTCGTAGCCGCTTCCGCGTCCTCGTCGTACATGCCCCGCACTGCCGGTGCCGCTGCCGCCCGGGGACTGCCGGCTGCTTCATGAGCGCCGCGTCCGCTGCGTTCCTGCTCGGCGTCGCGGCGTGCCTGCTCTGCCTGCTGCCTCTGCTCCTCCTCTTTCCGGCGCTGCGCTGGCGCGCCACCGCCGCTCTGCACACACTCGTGCCGGCCAGACTCGGCGTCGGCGCCATGTTCTCCTTCTTCTCCCGCTCTGCCGCACCGGCAGCGGCGCCGTCGTCGCGCGCCGGCGAGCACCATCCTGGCCTGCGCAACACGGGCAACACGTGCTACCTCAACTCCGTGCTGCAGAGTCTTGCCTCGCTGCCGGGCCTCGAGCGCTTTCTGCTGCAGCTTGAGGCCGATGCAGAAGCCGAGGATGTGGGCACGGCCGTGCGCGACGGGCTGGCAGAGGTGCTCGGTGGTGAGTGCCGACCTGCGCACGCGTCCTCCACCCCGCTAACGCCTGCGGCCCCTGCCAGCACTCAACTCTCCGCTCGACCGCCGGACTGCACTGCTGCCGTCTCTCCTGACGCGTGCGCTGTCGAACCACTCCTCGGCCGTGCACTCGCTCGTCGGAGCGCACGCGCAGCAGGATGCACACGAGCTCTTCGTCCTGCTCCTCGATGCGCTCGAGTCGGACGCACGAGCAGTGGCCGCCGAGAGCGAGGCCCGCCGACATGCACAGAGGGGTCTGCTTGCATTGACGGCTGCGGAAGTCGGCAAAGGCGCGGATTCGCGTGCCAGCCCGTCGCTTATGGACGGCGTCCCTTCCGCGAACGCGCTGCCATTCCGCGGACTCATCGCCCAGCGGACAGCGTGTGCCACGTGCGGCTACGTCGAAGCCATCAGGCACCAAGAGGTCGACGAGCTGTCGCTGTCCGTCTCCGAGTCACGCGCAGCCGCGGGCGTGGGATACGGCGGCATCTCGCTGGAGCAGTGCTTGCAGGTGTGGGGTGCGCTGGAGCGGATAGAGTGGGGCTGCTGGCGCTGCTCGCTCGTGGCCGAGCACGAGCGCCTCAGGTCGGACGTAGCGCGTCTCGAAGGCGAGCTCGCCTCTGCGGCACCAAGCACGTCTGCCAGCGGCAAGAAGGCAACGAAAGCCACGCAGCGCAGACGACGCCTGCTCCGCGAGGAGTCCACTGCATTGGCGCTCGTCACCGATGCGCTGAAGAGCAATGCGCACGAGGGCGACCTCTCGCTTCCACCGACGCTGAAGGTGCCGCGCGTCTACTCGCGCTGCGCCACGAAGCAGGTCCTACTGGCGCGACCGCCGCCTCTGCTGGCCATCCATCTCAATCGCTCCGACTACTCTGCCTCGAGCTTCGGCGCGAGGAAAAGCAGCACGCCTGTCGGTTTCGGGGAGTGGCTTGACGTGGCGCCGTTCTCCACGCACGGCAAGCTTGACGTCGATCCCTGTCGCCCGCTGGCACCGGCTCAGGCGACACGGCAAAAGGGCCTGCGGCACTGGTATCGGCTGCAGTCCATCGTGGTGCACTACGGCGCTCACGCCTTTGGGCACTACGTCGCCTACCGTCGGCTCCCGGCTGCAGCTTCTCAACCGCACGCGGCCGACAACTGGGCGCGGATCTCTGATGACTCCGTGCAACGGACATCGCTGCGTGAGGTGCTTGCGCAGCAAGACAGCGTCGTTCTGCTCTTCTACGCGCGCGGAGATACGCTGGGCGATCTCGTGCACGATACTTCGCATGTCTCGGTCAGCAGCTCGACGGCGGGACGCAAGAGTGCTCCCGCAAGCAACGGGCATTCTTTCGCCCACGCTAGCGGCGCCGCCGACGACACGCAGACCAGGGCACAGCGCAGCCCATCCGAAGAGAGCGCCTACACGCCCAGGGTGGTGCACTCCTGGAACTCTGCGGCCTTTCTGCCGGCGGCCGGGCTGCAAGGGCTCAGCGGCGCCGACGTGCCGACGCCTGGCGAGGACGCGACGATGCCGCGCGATGCAGCCTCATCAAGTCTCAATGGCAGCGTCACGCCGGCCCCAGGCGAGAGGAGCCAGACGCGCGTGCGTAGCTCGAACGGAGCCAACGGCTGTCAGGCCGATGCGAACGCCGCAGCGCACCAGCAGTCAGCAAACGAGCCGCCTCTCACGAGCAATCTGGCGGGCGCCAAGAAAGTACTCGTCAACGGGGTCTCTCGCGCTGCGAAAGACGTGCAGGAGCAGAGCGTGGGCCCAGATTGAGCAGCTCGCGCCCCCGCACCGCGCTCACGCATCATCGCCGCAACCGGCACAGACGTCCTCGCGATTGGGCATCCCTCGCGGACACTCAGTTGAGCGAGGGCGCAGCTGCGAGACCAAACAGGGCTGCACGGGAGCCGCCCGATCGAGCGCAGGCCGTGCCTCACGCTCACGACACACTGCGCCTCGGCCCTCTAGTGCACCCTTGCGCCCGCGCGTAGCTCGGCCATCAACAAGCGAAAGCGGCGAGCACCGAGCGGAACGCCCGCCCCTCGCCAGCGTATTGAGCATTCGCTTGTCATTATCTCAATGCATGATGCGCGACCCGCTCTGGCCTGCTCAGAGCGGCTTGATGTGCGGGACCGGGCCGTACGCGACGATGCGCGAAGGGTTGATCTGCTTGTGGCTCTGCGTGTAGTGCTTCTTGATCGACTCGAAGTCGGTCGTGTCCTTGAAGGCGGGGTAGTTCCAGTACAGGTTGCGCACCCTGCGGCGAGACGTCAGCAAGGGGCAGCGGCAGTCTGCACGCCGCAACGCACCAGCGGTGCAGCTGCGGGAAGTCGGCACGAATGGTGCCGAGGTTGCACTTGAAGTGAAGCTGGCCGGCTGCGTGTTAGTTGTCGGAAGCATGCTGGAGAGGCAGCTGCACTCACGACGTAGACGGGGTCGAAGCGAATGATCGTGCTGTGAGAGACGCATGCGTGAGTGTGGAGCAGAGTTGCGCTGGCGGACTGTCCACGCACGTGAACAGACGAATGTCGGCCTCGGTGAGCTGTCCGCCGACGAGGAACTCGCGGCCATCCTCGAGGATCTTCTCGACGCGCTCAAGCGACTTGAACAGCGGCTGGACGGCCTCCTCGTACGCCTGCTGAGTCGTCGCGAAGCCGCTGTGCAGGATAGTATTAGTGAGGCGCGCACGAAGCCACGACGAAGCACGCACGACTTATACACTGCAGAGGGGTCAGCATTGGCCCGCACAGGAGCGAGAAGACCACTCACCGCCGTTGTTGATGGTGTCGTAGACCCATTCGTTAAGCTCGTCTGCACGCTTGAGAGTCAGCAAGACCGGACTGGACGGCGGAAGTGATTCTGGATGTGCTGACCAATCTCCTTGCGCAGCTTCTCGGGGTAGAAGTCGAGATCCTTCGTCTCGGCTGGCAGGAACTCGTTCTGGACCGAGAGCCCGTCGTCAGCATGGCCCTCGACAGCTACGCGCCTTCAGGCAGACTCACGAAGCAGCTGTTGAAGAAGCGGATGATCTCCGAAGACTCGTTCGACACGATCGTCTTGCGCTCGTTGTCCCACACGATGGGCACTGCCACACGAGGAGCGTCAGCCAGCAGCTACAGCTCGAGCGTCGATTCACTCACCTGTGCAGCGAGCGTCGTAGTTCTACACACAGCGTGTTGGCCGTCAGCATACCTCTGGACAGGCCGACGCGGCCGACGCACCGAGTCGGCGGTCAGGTAAAGCTCGCGGATGCGGCGCGTCTGCTCGTGGCCCGGGATGTTGCAGCCGGTGCCGTGCGCAGTCTCCACGCCATCAGTGGCCTTGTCGTCGTACGGCACAAAGGACCAGCCCTCGGCGCCGAGGAACGAGTCGACGGTGACGAGCGGGAGCAGGTCCGGCACCTTGTCGAAGCCCTTGAGCTGGCGCACGATCATAGCGCTGCGCGACGAGCGGGTGAGCAGCAGGACACAGGGTGCACCGCGCCGCAGCACGCCACACCACCGACGCACCGGTGCGCCCACGGGCAGGCCAGCGCGGCGGCGAGAAAGTAGCGGCCCTTCTGCGGCTGAAAGGAGGCATGGCCGGGCGCGATCTCGTCGCGGAACGACGACTCCTGGCGGCGGAAGCGGCCGTCGTTGGAGGACCACTTGGTGCTGCCGTCCTTGTGCTCGGCGGCGGAGGACATGCTGGCGAAGAGGCGGCGGGGCGTGCGTGCGGCGGCGGCGAGGGCGAGGCGGCTTGCAGGCTGGAGCATGCGCAGGGAGCGAGAGGTCGGGAGCAGAGCGGCAGCGGGCGCGAGGGCACGGACGGCAGCCGCGCGCGGTCGTGCGGCCTCGGCCGTAAGCAGGCTGCTGCTCCACACGCGGCTGGCATCGTGTTTCCCACGGCCTCTGCGCCCGTCCCCATCTCCCACACCTGCAGCCAGACCGCCCCGATCTGCCCTTGTACACATGTGACTACGCCAAGATAGCCGTCAATATCCAGTGCGTCAGATGTCTGACCAACTGAGCTCGACCACGGAAGCTGACAGGGAGCAGGGCTCAGCGCTACCTTCCGAGTGTTGCACGGCAAAGCTTGGGGTTGACTTTGCGCGACCCGTCGGCTTGCGATGCCATCTGTCCGGGTTTTCTAGCACGACACAGAAGCCATGCTGTATGCCCAGCATGCAGCAAGCAGATTCGTCGACCTCGAACGTCGCTCCAGATATGCAGAGCTCAAAGACAGGGCCATGACTCGCGCAGGGTGCTGCTCACAGGTGCGGCGGGAAGATGTCGCCCCCGGAAGAAGCGGAGCGAGGCCGCGGGACCGACGCCGGCTTGGCCGCGGCGGACGCGCCGGCGATTTCTTGACTCGGCGCCGCGCAACTTATCAGCCTCGCGGTGGCCTCGGCCTGACTCGACGCGCGCCTCGAATCACCAGAAGAAGCGCCAACGCACCTGCTTCCTCTTCCCCATCAACCCCCGCCACATACAACACCATGGCCCCCTCTGCTGCTCCCGCTGCGGCCCAGTCCGCCGCCGCGTCTGCCAACGGCACGGCCAACGCCGCCGGCTTCGCTGGCTTCGCCAAGGCGCAGCCCGGCTCGTCGGCGCGCGCGGCCGGTGCGAACCTCGACGTGGCGGCGATGCTCTCCGAGGCCGCTCGCACGCGCCCGCCGTCGGCGATCCGCTCCCTCTTCCCCGCAGAGCTGCTGCCCGGCATGCTCTCGTTCCTTGCCGGCAAGCCGAACCCGCAGACGTTCCCGCTCAGCGCCATCACCCTCACCGTCGCGCCCGCGCCCGGCGCCAGCGCGCCCGTCGACGTGCCCATCAGCGGCGCCGCACTGGCCGCCGGCATGCAGTACGGCCCCACCAACGGCATCCGCGAGCTCAACGAGTGGCTCGTCAAGTGGCAGGAGCGCATCCATCGCCGCGCCTGCCCGGCTGTCGGCACCACAGCGCGCCCCGGCGCCGGCAATTGGCGCGTGACCATCGGACAGGGCAGCCAGGACCTGCTCACCAAGGTGCGCCGCCGCGCCATGGCTATCGGGCTGCACACGCTGACCAGCTTTCTCGCTAGACCTTCACCGCCCTGCTGAATCCCGGTGACAGTGCTCTGATTGAGAGTCCCGCATACACGTGAGCCTGGCGGCAGCCCAAGAATCACTGCCCACATGCGCTGACGCCTTCGTCGCAGCGGAATTCTGCCACAGCTGAGCACGCTTAAGGCGAACCTGGCGCCTGTCGCCTCTGATGCAGAGGGCATGTGCCCCAAGTCGCTGCGCTCCATCCTCGCGAGCTGGCACACGTCGCCGGCAACGCGCTCGCATCCGTTCCCCAAGTTCGTCTACACGACGCCCACCGGCGCGAATCCGGCGGGCACCACGGCCAGCGAGCAGCGGAAGCGCGAGGTGCTGGCGGTGGTCCGCGAGTACGGCGTACTGCTGCTCGAGGACGACCCATACATCTTCCTTGGCTTCGAGGGCCTGGGCGAAGACCCGGTGACGAGAGACCGTGGGCGCAGCTACTTCAGCCTCGAGACGGACGGGCGTGAGCAGGCCGGCGATGGCTTTGTGGCACGTTTCGACAGCTTCTCCAAGGTGCGCCTCAGACGCGAGCGTGTCGTCCATACGCCTGCTCACGCGCCTTGTGCAGATCATCGGCGGCGGCCTGCGCATCGGCGTGCTCACCGGGCCGACGGCCCTCGTTGATGCTGTGGACCTCGACACGTCCTCGGCCAACCTGCAGCCGAGCGGTGTTGCGCAGGCTATCCTCCTCGCCCTGCTCCAGCACTGGGGCCAGGACGGTCTGCTGCAGCACGTCGATCGCGTCGCGTCCTTCTACCGCGACCGGCGCGACGCATTCGAGCAGCACGCGCACGCGATCCTTGGCAGTCAGGGCGGCCAGAAGGCGGTGGCCGAGTGGGTCAAGCCCGTTGCAGGCATGTTCCTGTGGCTGCGGCTCAAGCTGCCGCCGGCAGAGGGCGCGCCGGACGGCGACTCATTCGCGCTCATCTCGGAGAAGGCCAAGGCAGCCGGCGTGCTCGCCGTGCCCGGCGTGGCATTCATGCCCGACGGCTCAAAGACGCCGTACGTGCGGACAAGCTTCAGCATCATCGACGAGAAGGATGTCGCGGAGGCCATGCGGCGGCTGCGCTCCGTCGTCGAGAACGCGTGGGCCGAGCAGGGCCTCGAGCTTCCATAGACAGCGCGCGCGGCGGACTGCAATAGACGTGCATGTGACATTACCAGCGCTGTGCCGAAGCGTGATGCAGAGCGGTGCTACGCCTGCTGCAGCAAGAGCCACCACAGGAGCACCGGCCAGAGTACAGAGAGAGCATCGTGCGCAAAGGTCGGCAGGGTGGTGTCGGCCGCGGCGCTTCTCCCGCCGAAGCGGATGCGCCGTACCTTGTCGGCGGTGCTCTCTTCAGCCTCTGCAGATTCGAGATCCACCAGCTCCCAGCCGTCCTGCGTGTGGGCGGCGTCGCTGCGGAGCGACCGCGGCAGCGGCGGGGCGCGCCGCCTGCGGGCAAAGTTGCGCAGGCCGGAAAAGCGAAGAAGGGCGACCGCCGCGAGTGTTGCGAGAAGAAGGAACGGGTAGTCGTGCGTCCAGGTGCGGACCTGGTCTGGCAGCAGACAGGGCGTGTAGAAGGCACTGGCCCGCTCGCTCGTCGTTGCCGGCAGCAGGTCTAGCCGTGCGTAGCCCGGGCGACGCACGCCCTCCGTCATGGAAAAGGCCTTGAGCGTCAGCTCAGGCACCTGGGCCGGCGCGAGCCAGGGCAGGTTGGCGAGCCGGACGCTGGAGTTGCGTCCGCTGACCGAGTGCAAGACTTCGCAGTGGTCGTGGTCGTCTCCGCTAGTGGAAGGATTAGCACGGGCGAGGCGGCGCACCACGAGCGACTTACGAGAACACGGCATCCGGCTGGACCTTCTCCAGCACCCAGCGCGACGTTGCCTCTGACAGCTCGTTCTGGTACGTGTTTGCTCGATCTCCGCCTGCCGTCATCAGTCTCGGCGACTCGCGCACCACAGAGTGCGTCGCGCCTCGTAGATCACACGACGTATCGGCCGGGCGATGCAGCGGCACGTGGAGGAGGAGCAGGCGCTGCGCTGTGACGGGAGAACGGTCGTCATCAGATCGGCAGGCTTGCGAATCCCGTGATGCTGCCGTTACGTTCGCCCGCCTGCTCTGCTCTGGCACTCACTATCTGCTGCGGGCGCAAAGCTCTGCACCAGCGTCCACACATCGCGCTCGCGAGGTGTCATCTGCGCTGGGTCGGTCCGCCCGCTGCGCTCCAGCGACACCAGCGCCAGCGCGTCCAGGAGCACGATCTCGTGACTTGGCGAAGCCTGGCCGCCGAGACGTATCGGCAGGACGGCATTCGTGCTTCTGTCACCGCTGCCGACGGAGGTATCGATCTCTGGGCGAGGTCGATGCCCGCCGCGTCTCGACCCCTCAGCCGGCGCCCAGACACCGCCGCGCTGGTTCTTCGCCAGACCGAACGAATCGAGCCAGCGCGCGTCGGCGCGAGGATCGACAGGTATCAGGCTCGAAGCGCCGATGCCTAGGTCGTGGTTGCCGGGTAGGTATGCCGCGGGCGGCGACGGGCTGAAGAGCGAGCGGAAGCGATGCACTAGAGCTGTCCACCTGAGCGACCGCATGAAAGCGCAGTGTAAGCAATCCCGCCGGATAGCAACGCAGTCAACGCTCCCAGCGCGAGGCCGCGAACCTGCGCGAGCACACGCACTCGCTGTCACTCATTGTCCGACGTCCGCCGTCTGTGAGATCGCCCGCCCAGATGACGGCATCCTTGCGCCAGCTGGCGCCCATCCACGCGCGCCGCGCGTAGGTGTCGCTGGCCCACCGCGCGATGCGCCGCAAGGGTGCGCTCAGATGCGGGTACGTGTGCGAGTCGATGAGCTGTGGATCGGCGGCAATGAGGATGCGGAGAGGCCGCACGGCCGCTGCATGTTGCCCGGGCTGCGCCGGCAAGCGGCGGCTCGAGCCGGCGGCGCAGGCGTAGAAGCGCAAATGCTCGTAGTCGAGGAGCACAAAGACAAGCAGCAGGCGCAGAGCTTGCAGCACAGGCGGCGGCGCGGCGATCGCGACGACAAGAGCGCGAGGGAGTGCGGCAAGGCGCACGGCAAGTGGCAGAGGCATGGCTCCGGCTTCGCCAGGCACGGCTGCCGCGGCTGCGAAGCCGTCGCAGTCGGCACGGGCAAGGCCGGCGGGCAGGTCCGCCTCGCGGTGGTGCAGAGCTACCTCAGAATGTCGCAGCCGCCTTGCTTGCCGTCCGCCGACCGCGATTGGGAGGGACGTCCCTCGTGGGTCAGGCGCGCTGCGGGCCGACTGGCGGGACTCGCGGCGTCGCCCGTGCTTCCGGCCTGGTGCGGAGAGAAGAGCGAAGCTGAGTGCGGCTGCATGCGCAAACACTCGCGGCGCGCGGTGGGATCAGAGTGCGATGACGGATTGGGCTAGCCGCCTCACGGCATGCGGCGAGGGCTTGGGACACGGCGTCGTGGTAGTGGGTAGGGCAGGAGCGGCGCTGGTAAAGCCGTGGTAAGGGTGCGCGCACGCTCCCGCTGCCGCGACAGAAGAGTCGCGCGCGCACGAGCCAGCTCGACGCGCGGCCCACGCTCACGCTCAGCCAGGCCGGCCACTGCACTCTGCTCCACCATCACACACCTCCGCCCTCCTACACCACTCAGCCTCAGCCTCTCCCGCTGCTGCACGAGCATTGCACCAGCTTTCAGACACATCCGCCTCGCTTCCCCTGCACCAGCCGCGCGATGGACGCCTGTCTCGCCCGCTTCGCGCCGGGCCACGCCATGCCGGCGCTCGCGGACGAGGACTTCAACGCAGCCGCCGCTGGCCTCGCGCCCAGTGCCTCGGCGCTGCCCGGCACGTTTGCATTGCCCGCCACGGATGTGAGTGCCTGAGACTGCGCTGTGGCTCTTCGCGCGTCCGCCTGTTGATGCGGCAGCGCTCACCACTGCGCCCGCGCACGCAGCCCGGACGCTTCCTGTCGCAGTACACCGACGTCGACTCGTCAAATCCCGGCGCGCGCATCAAGCTCAACCACGGCACCACGACGCTTGCGTTCCGCTTCAAGGGCGGCATCATCGTTGCGGTCGACTCGCGCGCCACTGCCGGCAGGTGAGGGTGTCTGCGACGCCTCGCCGTGCCCAGGAGCGCCCTGACACTCTGCTCGCCCAGCTACATTGCGTCCGGCACGGTCAAGAAGGTCATCGAGATCAACCCGTACCTGCTCGGCACCATGGCCGGCGGCGCGGCCGACTGTCAGTACTGGGAGACGTACCTCGGCACGCAGTGCCGCCTGCACGAGCTGCGCAACAAGGAGCGCATCTCGGTTGCCGCGGCGAGCAAGTACCTGAGCAACCTGGTGTATGGGTACAAGGGCATGGGCCTGAGCATGGGCACGATGATCTGCGGCTGGGACAAGACGGTGAGTGTGCAGCTTGGCGAAACGGGTCTCGCAGAGCAGCGTCCGCCCTGCAGAGCAGCGTCCGCCCTGCAGAGCAGCGTCCGCCCTGGAGCGAGACGCGTAAGCGAGGCCGTCGCTCTACGGTGCACTACGCTTCTGCTGGTCGAGACAACCCAGAGAGCCACGAGCAGCCGGCGACTGACACACGACCGCTCCCTCGCAGGGCCCCGCGCTCTTCTACGTCGACTCCGACGGCACACGGCTGAAGGGCGACGTCTTCTCCGTCGGCTCGGGCTCCACCTTCGCCTACGGCGTGCTCGACCAGGGTTACCACTGGGACCTCGAGGACGCCGAGGCACAGGAGCTTGGGCGTCGTAGCATCTACGCCGCCACACATCGCGGTGCGCACAGCCTGAGGTCCGTCACTTCATACATTCGCTCATCGCACTGCCTCCACAGACGCATACTCGGGCAACAGCATCAACCTCTACCACGTGCGCGAGAACGGCTGGGAGTTCATCGCGAACTACGACGCGGCAGCACGTACGTCGCACCCCTGGCCGAGCCTGTACACTGTGCTGACCATGCCCTCCCCGCACCAGTCCACTACGACGGCCCCGGCGACGTGCCTGGCGCCCCGGGCGGCGGCTACGGCTGGGCTGTGCGGACGGAGGGTCTCTCGAGCAAGCTCGAGGCCACCGCCGGCCAGCAAGAGGCGGGCCAGGCCGGCGCGCTGGCAGACGCCCAGCCGCTCAGCGCACAGGTGCAGCCGGGGCAAGCATGATGAATGACACTGCATCTGTTCGTCTCGCTCTGTCTCCCACCAGTGTGCACGCTGGTGGGGTGGGTGCGAGGGATCTCGGCCGCTTGATGACGGGCTGGCGACAACCCTATGCTTCAGCAGCGCTTAGGCGGCTGTCCGGGCGCAGTCGTCCTCCACATCGCTACAGCCAGCTCTATAGGGCTGTCACGCCGCCTGACAAGCTGTAGACCGTCTCCTCAGTGAGATAGCGCTCAAGCGCGCGATGGCGCCAATCTGAGCAGTCCATGGCGCCTGTTCATGCAGCCGAGAAACGCGCCGCGAAAACTCATGGCTGCCAACGCCTTTGACGGCGCGCTTGCACAAAAGAACGCGGCACTGCGGCGCGTTGGCGCCATTTGCGCGCGGTGAATTTGTGTCCGGCGGCCAAAACTACGCTGCGGCAGCCTCGCGCAAGCTCAGCTGCGCTGGCTGTCGCTGCAACGAGCATCTCACCATCACATAGCTCCCAGTAGTCTCCGGCTGTTGACCTACGGATGCGGCGGCACGCCGGCGCTGCGGGCAGCAAAGACACGCACATTGGATCGCGCACGCTCTGCCTCATGAGTGCTAGGCGTGCTGCTCATGACAAGACGGCTAACAGATGGTGCTCCAGCAGCAAGCGCAGGTCGAGCAAGAGAGAGGTGTAACAAGGCTGAGGCACGGTGTGGCAGCCGCCCTGGGCAACGCGCAGCAAGTGACTGACCTTTGCCCCTCGCTGCAAACTCATAAGGCCTTGTGTCGCATCTCAAGCGCTTCAGCAGGACTGCTGACTGCTTCACTCTGCTGACTGCTTCACACTCGCCACCAATGCGTCGGTCCGCCTGTGTACCAAGCAACAAGCTGATATGCACATTCTGCGCAATGAGCTGTCGCTCAGCAGGGTTGACAAGACTGCAAGTGACCGCGCTAGCGCACATGGAGCGCTACAGCAGACATCACTTCAGCAAGACGCTGCACGGAGCTCACTGGCTGCGTACAGAGCCGCACGGAGCGCCTGGGGAGTAGCGGAGCCGTTTTGGCGTGTTCTGCTGCTCAGGAGGCTCAAAGCCGACCGCGAGAGGGTCTGGACGCGTTGCCGCGCCGCGCGTCGGCGACTTGCTGCGCATTGTTCCGCAACAGTGAGTGGTGTGGCAACAGGTGCAAGGCCGTGCTGACCTGCTCGGCGCAGCGCATGCATGACTGCTGCGGCTCACCCCTGGTTCTTCGTCGTCGACTCGAGCCGCGCCCGCGCCGAGGAGACGGTGTGCGCCGTCTGGGTCCCACAGAAGGGATGGTGAAACGGCGTAACATTGCGGGAACGATGAGAGTGACGTGACGGCTGCTGCGCAGCGGGACGAGGCAGGCTACATGCAGGAGGTATGATGGCTCGGAACGTGAATGAGTGTGGTGGCGGCGATGGCCCGCAGGCGGTGCTCAGGCACGCTGCGTCAGAGCACGACTTCCCGGCACTGCAGCGTATCCGCCAGTGACGAGCTTGCCGGCCTTCTCGAGCGCAGAGACCAGCACGCCAGGCTGAGGAAGGGTGGGTGAGCGACGTCGGAGGGCTGCAATGGCAAGCCTACCTTCAGGTTGTCCTGCGGCACGAGTCCGCGGTTGATGAGGAAAGACGTCGCATAGACGGGCGCCTTGGCCGAGAAGCTCAGTGCCGCCCACACGGCCTCGGGCACGTAACGCGGGCGCTGCGGCGCGAGGCCCGTGTCGATGTCGTCGTCGACCTCGTCCGCCGGGGCGCCACCGGGTACCGCATCGGCGGCCACGTCCCAGATCTGCTTGGGCGTGATCGGCGAGGACATCTGCGTCTTGTACCAGCGCAGCTGGCGCTCTGTCGGCAGCAGGCTCGCCTCCGTGGCGTTGCGGAACAGCTGCTCCAGCGCGTCGGGGTCGTGCGCACGCAGTTCGGCGAACTGGCGCGAGGTGCTGTTGTACTGGCCGCCGACAATGACTGAGTGGTGAAGCGTCTCGTGGTTGTTGCGGCGGTCGTTGACCATGCTCTAAAGCTCTCGGTGTCAGGTCAAGAACGAGACCGAGGCGTGGGGCACGACCCACCGACCAGGCCGTCGAGCCAGACTCGAGGCTGCGGATCTTGGGCACCTTCATCACCTGACGCGTCTCCTGAAGCCTGCGCGGCGTCAGCCGGTGTGGTGCAGATGCAGCGTCTGAAGGACTCACTCGAGTGCGATGCGGCTGGGGTGCTGCGGCTGCTTGCCCCACCGGTGGCGACGGTCCTGCATCTCGCGGATGATCTTGAGGTCGACGTCGATCAGCGGGATCTCGCGGTCGGTGAGGTTCGCAACCATCCAGGCGAGCGTAACGTCGGACAGGCCGTGGAAGCTGCGAGAGATGTGAGTGCACGCACTGCGCCAGAGGAGCCGCGCGGACACACCTCTTGCTGCCGCCGCAGTCCGAGTGCGAGCCCTGGAACCAGCACTGGCGCAGCACCTGATCCTGACGCAGCTGCAAGTCGTCGAGGATTTAGCGGTGGAAGCGCCGCGGCGCAAGACGGGCCTCACGATGCGGTCTGCCTCGCTCTCCTTGTTCGGGTCAGGCGTGTACCAGCGCGTCACGCTGAGAGGCAAGGCGTGTCAGCGGTAGGGCGGAGAGCCCGCTGCGCGGCGCACATGAAGTCCTTGCGGTCCTCGAAGAGCGCCATGGCGTTGAAGGCGAACTTGACGCTGGGCGCGAGCATCGGGTCGAAGTCGCCGTAGTAGCGCGTGAGCTCGGGGCTCATGAAGTGGCCGGGGATCTGCGAGGCTGTCAGAGAGTGTAGAGGCACGGCTGCACCAGCGCGACTCACGCCCTTGGCTCCGACGGTGTCCCACACGCCGCACACCTTGACGTTGGGTAGCTGGATGCGGCCCTCCTTCGTGCGGGCGTCCTTGCGGCGGATCCAGGCTTCGATGTTGGCGGGCAGCGGCGTCTTGTTGATGTCTGCGACGGCGCGCATGCACGTCACCTCCGTCTCTTCGGCTGCGGGAGAGAAAGTGTCAGGGAAGGACAACGTGCTGCAGCGGCTTGCTGACCGTTCAGGCCGGGCCAGAGGCTGTGTACACAGCGTCAGCACTCATCAGCCAAGAAGACACGTGGTTGCTCACCCCGTGGCGCGGTGCATCATCTCGGCGCTGTGGATGATGGTCTCGGGCTTGCTCGGGTCGCGCAGCTGGTACGCCTTCCAGCAGGGCATCATCGCCAGCGCTGCGTCGCTCTTCTTCATGAGCCCGGCGTAGTTGATGTAGCCGACGAGGTTGCGCTGCGGGGGCGGTGTGAGGTGTGTGCATTGCGGAACCCCGGGCGGCTCACCCACCGCCGTGTATGCGCCGCGAGAGAAGCCGAATGCGTTGATCGAGTCGCCCGGCTGGTAGTTGTCCACGAGGAAGCGGTACGCTGTGCGAAATTGAGCGGGGCACCCCTGCGTGCAGCTCGGCAACTCACCATCGGCGATCTTGTCCTCGATGCCGGCGCCCGTTGCGCCTTCGAAGAGGTACGAGGCCAGGCTGCGGACCGTGCCGAGGCCGGACTGGTAGAAGACGATCTGGCGCGGGTAGAGGCCGTGCTTGTTCGGCACGCTGGCCGCGGGCTTGATGGCCTGCGCCAGGATCTGGAGAGCATGATGTGAGCTGCAGGGCCAGGGCGAAGGAGAAGTGCGCAGCGCACCGCGACGTTGGTAAAGTAGTCGGCGTCGTCGTCCTCGACAGTGAGGCTGCCGTCGCGCAGCACCGTCGAGACCTTGCGGCGCGACTGCCTGGCGCAGAGAGCAGCGTTAGCGTGTGCAAGCATCGGTAAAGCGACATCTGCTCACCACGTGCCGTCGCAGAGGACAATGAGGCGCTGCTCGGGGCGGTGCTGCTCGGGCAAGTTGCCGGCCTGGGGGTGCTTGGCCTGCGGCGTCACTGGCGCAGTGATGAGCAGCTGGGCGCTGGGCGAGGGCGGCACGGCACGCGAGCTCGAAGGCGAGGCGGCCGACGGCGAAGCGGCAGCGGTTGAGGCGAGAGCGGTTGAGGCGGGAGCGGTCGAGGTGCTCGCAGGGTTCTCGATCGTGGCCGTCTGCGCTGCGGCACGGATGGCGGAGGTGGACGCGGTCTTGCCCGAGGGCGTCGTCGGGGCGGGCGTCATGGTGGATGGCGGCAGGTCGTGGTGGGAGGCGAGAGGCAGCGCTGCGCACCGTGCCCTATATAGGCGCATCCCCTTGCGCCTTTCGGCGCCTCGGACGGGCCGAGACGGGCCTCCTCAGGCGGCCGTCCGCTGCGGCGTTAAGGGCGAGCTTGCGCACCTCCACGCGGCGGTGCGGCACGGCATGCGGACGTGCGCAGCGGCATCGTGCGGCGCGACAGCGTGGGAAAGAGGGCAAGCGCGTGCGGGGCGGAATCGTGATTTCCAGCCGCTGCGCAGCCCCGAACTCCCTGACCTCCACGTTCTCGGCCCTCCACCGCCCCATTGCGGGCGCCTGTCCGAGTCAATTCAGGCTCGATATTCCGCTCCAGACAGGCTGGACAGAGAGAGCCGCTTTTCTTGACTCAGATCCCGCAGGGGGTAAGCGTCGTTAGCAAGAGAGGCAAAGAGCTGAGGGCTAAAGGGTTCACTTGCCCTCGTCTCGCACTTCGCGCCTGTGAGGGAGGCCAATCCCAGCGCACACTTCGGCCCGAGCGACTAATGCTGAAACACACACCGTGCAGTTATCATGTGTGGCTGGAGAAACGAATCGAGGCGCATATGCTGCGGGTCGCAGCACCCCGGTGGATGTCCAACGACGCATCACGCGCGGCCGTGCGAGCCTGCCTGTGCGTCGAATGTCGAGCTCTGATGCGCATTCTGGCCCACACTGCCCCGACGGCGCAGGAGGCCGCCATCGCAGCGGACTGAGGTATGGCGTCTCGCGCGCAGTCGAACGACATCAGCAAACGATGGGAATGGCCGGCCCAGCCCGCCGCTCTGCAGCTGAGAGCATCGGAGTGCCACCACGAACAGCCGCCTTTGCACCGCCTTCAGACCTGTCATCAGCTGCACAGCGCCAGGCTGCGGCGATGGAGGTGCACCTGAGAGCGGCTCGCAGTCGTCGTGATAACGCATGACCTGCCGCCACGCCGAGAGTTGCTCTGCACGATCTCGGCGGCTTTGCAAGTGCTGCCCTCGACGCAACGACTCAGCGCTCAATGGCGCACGCGGAGTACAATCCGGAGCGAGATAAGCGACGACCAGCGCAGCGAGCAACACTCGCGTTCAGCAGCGAGCGAATTCCGTGTTCGGCAGCGAGCGACTTCCGTGTTCAGCTCCGTACATCTGTCAAACGGTGCATGCGTAGTTGCGCCGGCTGCTGTGTCAAGACGCTCGTGACGGCCGAGGGCTTCTTGAGCTCAAGACCACGAGCCTGCATCTGCCTGGCCGCCTCAGCTACGCGGCGGCGGAAACCTTGCGTGTTCGGGCGAGCAACGCTTCCGAACCGCACCGCTCGCACCGCCTCGCTGGGACTTCGCACGCCGGCTTGTACAGTGCCGGCGCCCGTCTACTCGCCCCACTTGCCTTATAAGCGCTGCCGTGCCTCACCTGCCCTCGCGACCACAATACCAGTCCAGCACGCCGAGGTTTGGCGCGCTCACGCTGGTTCGGTGACTCGAGTAGCATTCTGCCTTCCCTTCCACCATGCTGCCGGCACCATGTCTGCCGGCAGCTACGCCCTGTGCATCGAGAGATGCGTGAAGACCGGGGCGCTCATTTCTTTGTTTCCCGGAAGAGCACGTGCTGCTTCACTACGGTGCATGAGAGGGTCAGCGTGCGCCGTCCCGCGGCCGAGTCGGCCAGAGGCAAGCGATCCTTCTACGCAGCAGTGTGAAGAGCAGACTCGCAAGAATGCACAGCATGATGACTTGCTGCTTCCGTCTGCGCAGAAGGCCTCTCGACACAGCTCCCCGGCTTTCGCTCCCCACCCAGCAGACCGCAGCGCCCGACTCACCCTTGGGGTCGTACTTGCGCATCACGATGCGGTCGGCAGTGCGCAGCCGCGTGGTCGTGTAGAAGTAGCCCGTGCCGGCAGTCGACATGAGGCGGGCGATGATGACGCGCGCCTTGGACTTGGCGGCCATGGCGGGCAAGCGAGGAGGTGGTGGTGAGAACGAAGAAGACGCGCCGTCGGCGCCGCGGCGACAAATTACTAATGCGGCTTTACAACGAGGTCACTACAACAGCAGCCCAGCACTTGTATTGCGCCTGCGTCAGGTCACGGCTGCCTCCACGTCGGGCAGCTCACCTCTTCCTTCCTCCACCCACCACGACCAAGCAACCCTGCATCTGCGACACCAGCCTTGCATCGCAGCGCAGCGCATCTCGACCACCCGCAAACACAGCCTGACCCGCATCGCCGCCGCATGCTTCGCAGCCGACCGCTCATGTCCGCCGCACAATTGTCCTCGACCTGGGGCCCGTACCCCCCGCCCAGCGCCGCGCGGCTCGAGGATGTGACGCAGCGCCTCGCTGCCGTGACGCGCCGCATCAGCGAGCAGCCGTCGCCGCACCCGCGCCTCGTGGCGGTGAGCAAGCTGCAGGAGCCGAGCGCTGTGCTGGCGGCGCACCGCGGCCCGGCGGGCCACTCGCACTTTGGCGAGAACTATGCGCAGGAGCTGCGCGACAAGTCGCGCGTGCTGCCGCGCTCGATTCAGTGGCACTACGTGGGGCAGATGCAGACGAGCAAGGCGAAGATGCTGGCAGGTGAGTTGGTGTGTTGCAGCGGCGGCGGCGGCGGCGGCGGCGATGCAGCCTGATGCCGGCCCTCAGCCATACCCAACCTCTACCTCGTCGAGACGCTCGACTCGGAGAAGGCAGCCGACGCACTCGACAAGGCGCTCGCGAACCGCGACGCCTCTGCGCCGCTGCGTGTCTATCTGCAGGTCAACACCTCGGGCGAGGAGTCCAAGGCCGGCCTCCCGCCACTCCACGAGGCCAACGACGGGCCGCTGCTCGAGCTGGCGCAGCACGTCATCCAGTCATGTCCGCACCTACTGCTCCAGGGCCTCATGACGATTGGCTCGCGTGCCGCCTCGTCTGGCGCCTCCAACCCGGACTTTGACTGCCTCGTGGCCTCGCGCCGGGCACTGGTCGCGGCACTGCGCAGCGCTGCGCCCAAGCCGGCGCGCGACGGCTACGAGGCGCTGCTGCAGCAGGGCAACGACGACGGCGGGCTGGAGCTGAGCATGGGCATGAGTGCGGACCTCGAGGCTGCCATCCGCGCCGGCTCGAGCAACGTGCGCGTCGGCACCGACTGCTTCGGCGAGCGCGCCGGCACGCGCGACGAGGCGATGGAGGCGATGAAGCACGAGCTGGAGTGGGACGTCGATGCGAAGCGCAAGGAGCTCGGCCTGTCGGAGGACGAGTGAAGTAATAGATTGGGCAAAGAAAGGAGTGTGAGGCGCTGAGGAGCGCAGTGGCTGAAGAGCGCGGCGATACCGCCGGGGGGCCGGAGGGGTAACTGAGGAGCGCGGTGACCA